ATCTGCCTCAATAGAACAATAAATTACCATAAATTTCTATTGCTGGCCTATCCCTTTGGCACGATTTTCTTTATTCTTTCAAAATATGTTTATTACATCATTACGAACTAGAAAACACGTCGCCTAGGTTAGCCCACTCCTTTATAGTTGAGATAGGCCATTTTGATTGTAGCTGGTGTGACCTCGGTTCCATAAGAACCTAATTTACTAAAACTCAACTTTTTCCGTTTATACATGTTAGTTACACCTTAATGAACAATACCTAACACCATTTCGATAAAAAATATTATTATTTATCAATTTAATGCATTATTTAAAATCTGCCTCAATAGAACAATAAATTACCATAAATTTCTATTGCTGGCCTATCCCTTTGGCACGATTTTCTTTATTCTTTCAAAATATGTTTATTACATCATTACGAACTAGAAAACACGTCGCCTAGGTTAGCCCACTCCTTTATAGCTGAGATAGGCCATTTTGATTGTAGCTGGTGTGACCTCGGTTCCATAAGAACCTAATTTACTAAAACTCAACTTTTTCCGTTTTTACATGTTAAATACACCTTAATAAACAATCCCTAACACCATTTCGATAAAAAATATTATTATTTATCAATTTAATGCATTATTTAAAATCTGCCTCAATAGAACAATAAATTACCATAAATTTCTATTGCTGGCCTATCCCTTTGGCACGATTTTCTTTATTCTTTCAAAATATGTTTATTACATCATTACGAACTAGAAAACACGTCGCCTAGGTTAGCCCACTCCTTTATAGCTGAGATAGGCCATTTTGATTGTAGCTGGTGTGACCTCGGTTCCATAAGAACCTAATTTACTAAAACTCAACTTTTTCCGTTTATACATGTTAATTACACCTTAATAAACAATCCCTAACACTATTTCGATAAAAAATATTATTATTTATCAATTTAATGCATTATTTAAAATCTGCCTCAATAGAACAATAAATTACCATAAATTTCTATTGCTGGCCTATCCCTTTGGCACGATTTTCTTTATTCTTTCAAAATATGTTTATTACATCATTACGAACTAGAAAACACGTCGCCTAGGTTAGCCCACTCCTTTATAGTTGAGATAGGCCATTTTGATTGTAGCTGGTGTGACCTCGGTTCCATAAGAACCTAATTTACTAAAACTCAACTTTTTCCGTTTATACATGTTAGTTACACCTTAATGAACAATACCTAACACCATTTCGATAAAAAATATTATTATTTATCAATTTAATGCATTATTTAAAATCTGCCTCAATAGAACAATAAATTACCATAAATTTCTATTGCTGGCCTATCCCTTTGGCACGATTTTCTTTATTCTTTCAAAATATGTTTATTACATCATTACGAACTAGAAAACACGTCGCCTAGGTTAGCCCACTCCTTTATAGCTGAGATAGGCCATTTTGATTGTAGCTGGTGTGACCTCGGTTCCATAAGAACCTAATTTACTAAAACTCAACCTTTTCCGTTTATGAACATAAACTCATAATTCACTTCATATTGGGGTGTTAGGTATTGTTCATTTAGGTGTAACTAACATGTATAAACGGAAAAAGTTGAGTTTTAGTAAATTAGGTTCTTATGGAACCGAGGTCACACCAGCTACAATCAAAATGGCCTATCTCAGCTATAAAGGAGTGGGCTAACCTAGGCGACGTGTTTTCTAGTTCGTAATGATGTAATAAACATATTTTGAAAGAATAAAGAAAATCGTGCCAAAGGGATAGGCCAGCAATAGAAATTTATGGTAATTTATTGTTCTATTGAGGCAGATTTTAAATAATGCATTAAATTGATAAATAATAATATTTTTTATTGAAATGGTGTTAGGGATTGTTTATTTAGGTGTAACTATCATGTATAAACGAAAAAGTTGGTTTTCAGTACATTAGGTTCTTATGGAACCGAGGTCACACCAGCTACAATCAAAATGGCCTATCTCAACTATAAAGGAGTGGGCTAACATAAGCGACGTGTTTTCTAGTTCGTAATGATGTAATAAACATATTTTGAAAGAATAAAGAAAATCGTGCCAAAGGGATAGGCCAGCAATAGAAATTTATGGTAATTTATTGTTCTATTGAGGCAGATTTTAAATAATGCATTAAATTGATAAATAATAATATTTTTTATCGAAATAGTGTTAGGGATTGTTTATTAAGGTGTAATTAACATGTATAAACGGAAAAAGTTGAGTTTTAGTAAATTAGGTTCTTATGGAACCGAGGTCACACCAGCTACAATCAAAATGGCCTATCTCAGCTATAAAGGAGTGGGCTAACCTAGGCGACGTGTTTTCTAGTTCGTAATGATGTAATAAACATATTTTGAAAGAATAAAGAAAATCGTGCCAAAGGGATAGGCCAGCAATAGAAATTTATGGTAATTTATTGTTCTATTGAGGCAGATTTTAAATAATGCATTAAATTGATAAATAATAATATTTTTTATCGAAATGGTGTTAGGGATTGTTTATTAAGGTGTATTTAACATGTATAAACGGAAAAAGTTGAGTTTTAGTAAATTAGGTTCTTATGGAACCGAGGTCACACCAGCTACAATCAAAATGGCCTATCTCAGCTATAAAGGAGTGGGCTAACCTAGGCGACGTGTTTTCTAGTTCGTAATGATGTAATAAACATATTTTGAAAGAATAAAGAAAATCGTGCCAAAGGGATAGGCCAGCAATAGAAATTTATGGTAATTTATTGTTCTATTGAGGCAGATTTTAAATAATGCATTAAATTGATAAATAATAATATTTTTTATCGAAATGGTGTTAGGTATTGTTCATTAAGGTGTAACTAACATGTATAAACGGAAAAAGTTGAGTTTTAGTAAATTAGGTTCTTATGGAACCGAGGTCACACCAGCTACAATCAAAATGGCCTATCTCAACTATAAAGGAGTGGGCTAACCTAGGCGACGTGTTTTCTAGTTCGTAATGATGTAATAAACATATTTTGAAAGAATAAAGAAAATCGTGCCAAAGGGATAGGCCAGCAATAGAAATTTATGGTAATTTATTGTTCTATTGAGGCAGATTTTAAATAATGCATTAAATTGATAAATAATAATATTTTTTATTGAAATGGTGTTAGGGATTGTTTATTTAGGTGTAACTATCATGTATAAACGAAAAAGTTGGTTTTCAGTACATTAGGTTCTTATGGAACCGAGGTCACACCAGCTACAATCAAAATGGCCTATCTCAACTATAAAGGAGTGGGCTAACATAAGCGACGTGTTTTCTAGTTCGTAATGATGTAATAAACATATTTTGAAAGAATAAAGAAAATCGTGCCAAAGGGATAGGCCAGCAATAGAAATTTATGGTAATTTATTGTTCTATTGAGGCAGAATTTAAATAATGCATTAAATTGATAAATAATAATATTTTTTATCGAAATGGTGTTAGGGATTGTTTATTAAGGTGTAACTAACATGTATAAACGAAAAAGTTGATTTTTAGTAAATTAGATTCTTATGGAACCGAGGTCACACCAGTTTAATTCAAAGTTACCTATCTCAACTATAAAGGAGTGGGCTAACCTAGGCGACGTGTTTTCTAGTTCGTAATGATGTAATAAACATATTTTGAAAGAATAAAGAAAATCGTACCAAAGGGATAGGCCAGCAATAGAAATTTATGGTAATTTATTATTCTATTATGAGGTCCATTCCAGGCTGCATAGCTACACTACTAAAAAGTGGGCTAACCTATACTACGTCATTTTATGTTCATAACAATGTGTTTAACACATATCAAAAGAAAAACGAGAAAAAAATTTAAGAGGAGATGCCAGCAATAGGTTTTTTACTATATTTAGTTAGTAATTTTAGGTAGTTTATTAGTTTGTATTAATATCAAGGTGATTTCTACATTAATAAGCTTAAAAGTGCCCAGTATTGTTCAATACCAGATAAATAATGTAAATAGACATTTAGAACATACATTTTTGTAATAGCATCGGCGTGCAACCGAGGTCACACGAAGTGCATTCCAGGATACATAGCTACACTATTAAAGAGTGGGCTAACCTAGAAGAGGTAATTTTTTGTTCATAACCATGTGTTTAACGCGTATCAAAAGAAAAACTGAAGAAAAATTTAAGGGGAATTGCCAGCAATAGGTTTTTATGGTAGTCAAATAGTAATTTTAGATTTGGATTCAAATCGATGCGGTAACTACTTAATTAGCTAAAAAGTGCTTGGTGTTGTGCAATATGCTCTACATAATGTAAATAGATATATAAAACATGAATTTTAGTAATAGCGTCGTCGTGCAATCAAGGTCACATGAAGTGCATTCCAGGCTACATAGCTACACTAGTAAAGAGTGGGCTAACCTTGAATACGTCATTTTTTGTTCATAACCATGTGTTTAACATATATCAAAAGAAAAACGAGAGAAAAACTTAAGGGGAACCGCCAGCAATAGGTTTTTATGGTAGTCAGCTAATAATTTTATCATTTGGAAAAAATTGAAGGTGGTTACTACTTTAAATAACCTCAAACGTGTTTAATATTGTTCTTTATTCTCCAAATAATGAAATACTAGTTTAACATTCAACGTATTGTACAGTTTTATACATATATATTACTTAACCTTCATAATCAACGCTGTGCGTGTACCGCCAAACGCCATCTTGGCCGTGTTTCGCAAAAAAAAAATTCCCGCCACTTGATATTTTGGAGGTTATGTCAGCTGCTTTGTGACGAATCCTACTGTGACGCCATCATTGTTGTGACGTTTTACTGTGACGTATATTCGTCGGAGGGGCGGTAGGAGAAGTGGAATGGGTTATTGCTGTCCTATTGCCAGTTTCACGCTGATGAAAATTGCTCCTGAGGAAAGGGCAATAATTAATTATTGACGATCTGACATTAGCCTAATATTTTAGAGACGGTCTGTTTGAAAAGTTCGTTATTGCACCTTTGTGTTGACATTAAAATACTTAACACTCACTTCGCATTTATATCGACTTGGACATCAACAAAACAAAGCAAGCAATCTATAATAACGAACACGACACGACCACGCACGAACGAACTGAACTGCTACAAAAACATCAATCTCAATCATCATAACATAACACAACATAACATAAAAAACAGCCAACAACTGGTTGAGGAACAGGAAACTTTAAGTTGAAACAAAATAATAAAAAAAACATAACACCTGTTCACACTTCACAGCTTCTTAGATCGCTCTTACTTTCCCAGCCCTGCTGTCGTCATGATATCGTAACTTTTCTCCAAGGCGTATTCTACGGCCGTGATTCTACATAATATTCGTGGCGCGTAGAAAATTTATTACGGGAAAACTTATATGCAAATTTCGAATGTATTTCATATTGCTATGCTAATTGTTATCATATATCCTGAAGCCGTAGCCTCCTCTTTAATAAATAATACATGTGGATTTCAATTTAATCATAAATCTAACAGTAGTTGGACAATCTAACATGATCTAACTGGGATTATACCGGTCAACATGTCACAAAATACAACGTCGAAAATTTACGGCCGATGTCCCATAACATCGATATCTTAAAGCATCAACAAAAACCGCAGGAATCGCTAGGGGCTCAAAAGCGCATTCTAAAAATCCGCAACGATAACATCATAGTTTAGTTCAAAATTCCTCCGTTAACAGCGTTGTAGTAGAGAGCACAGCGCGTAATTTTTACTTCACTATTAGGCCTAGTTAATTATAAAATTAAGAAATATTATACAATTAATTTTAAAATGTTTCAATTATTAAATTAAACTGTCATAACCTAACCAAACTTACCAAACGTGCTGATAATGAAAAAATCGAATGAAGGTTTACTAATCTAAAAAATAGTTTTGGTCATAAAATAAAATTATAAATGCCTAAAATTCAATTTTATAATTTTTTTATTATAAAATTAAACTGTCATAAAAAATTAAACTGTCATAACCTAACCAAACCAACCAAACTTGCTGATATGAAAAAAAATTGTTGACAAAAAGTTAGTGCTGCCAGCGGGATTCGAACCCAGTATCTTCGGTTTATCAGCTCGGTACGCTATCCACTACACCACCGAGGCCGATGACTGAATTTCCGTATCGTTGCGGTAAAGGTGTTCCCTCAAGAGATCTGACAGCTCTACTACAACGCTGTTAACGGAGGAATTTTGAACTAAACTATGATGTCATCGTTGCGGATTTTTAGGATGCGCTTTTGAGCCCCTAGCGATTCCTGGTTATAGGATATCAGCAATCTGGGACTCCTCCGAACTCTACCACCACGGCCGCCTTTAACTCCGGTGGCCGTGCTACCACCCTACTGTTACCTGTTACTCTACTCCGGGGTAATTTGACAGTATGACTTTTAATTTAATTAGTTCGCCATTTTATAAGGAATTATACAATACAAGTTTATAATACTTTGGTATTATAATTCTAAATCCAGTAAAACATAAATTTTTGTTAGAGTGACAGACTATTGTTTTGGCAGAATGGCCGAAAATAATTGAATCAATAATCTTTCTTTAAAGGATGATTAATAATCTTTCTTAAAGGTGATGCTATATCGACCATCCTTTAAGAAAGATTATTGATTCAAATATTGGGTACACTTCCATATCTGTTGGCACAAGCAACCGAATGAGTAATATCGATTATTCGGTTGCTTAATTCGATATATCGGTTTCGATATATTCGTTTGGTTAGTTAGGTTAGGTTAACCTTACCTAACTAACCAAACGATATATCGATCAATATTTTCATTCGGTTGTTTGTGCCAACAGATATGGAAGTGTACCCCAATTATTTTCGGCCATTCTGCAAAAACAATAGGCTGTCACTCTAACAAAAAATTATTTCAGTACATTAATAGCCTACTCTTAGATATTCAAGAACAAGGATTATACAAACCAAGTTTAGGCTGTTTTTAGCTAATTTTCAAATGAAAAAGCTTATAGCTTATGTTACAAAAATACATGTGGTAAATATAAATAAGTGTCACCAAAATAACACATATTGGCTCCATCTTGATAAATCTGTTGTTATGGACAACAAAGTGGACATAAATTCAATTGTGGAACGGATGTTAGGAGCCCGTCAGTTGCGATCTGGTAGAACCGTAATAATAGCGGACTATGAGGTTCGTCATATCATTGCTAAATCACGGAAAATTTTCATATCCCAACCAATGCTGCTGGAACTTGACGCGCCTTTAAAGGTATGTGGCGATATCCACGGTCAGTATGACGACCTTCTTCGTATCTTCGCTGTCGGAGGATTTCCTCCCAGTGTCAACTACCTTTTCCTTGGCGACTACGTGGACAGAGGGCAACAATCCATTGAGACAATCTGCCTCCTCATGTGCTACAAGATCAAATATCCAGAAAACTTCTTCCTTCTGAGAGGAAACCACGAGTGTGCGAGCATCAATAGGGTTTACGGGTTCTTCGACGAGTGTAAACGAAAATACAACCTCAAGTTGTGGAAGCTGTTTTGCGAATGCTTCAACTGTATGCCAGTAGCTGCGATCATAGACGAAAAGATATTCTGCTGCCACGGCGGGCTCAGCCCGGACCTCAAGAGCATGGAAACGATCAGGCAGATAGGACGACCCACGGAGGTACCAGTGCAAGGTCTTCTCTGCGATCTCCTTTGGTCCGACCCCTCAGATAATGTAGTAGGCTGGGGCGTCTCGCGTGACCGAGGAGTTTCATTTACGTTCGGGAAAGAAATCGTCTCCAGATTTCTTATTAAGTTTGACCTAGACTTGATCGCCCGAGCCCACCAAGTCGCTCAGGATGGCTATGAGTTTTTTGCAAATAAACAACTAGTCACCATCTTCTCCGCCCCCAACTACTGTGGCGAGTTTGAAAACGCCGCAGCCATCATGACAGTAGCTGATGACTTGACATGTTCTTTTCAAATTCTAAGACCTCCTAATTATATAAAATTACCAAAAATATCGCTGTCAGCTAAAAATTCTCTTACAAAGAAACAATCATTCTAATACTAATTATAATGTAACTACCTATATACTGTAAGCGGGTTTTGAATTTCAGAAAATTATAACTCAACATTCTAATATTCCTGTTTTATAGCATGGGTACCACATCCTGAACGGTCTCAAATGCCTAACAGTTCTTCAGGTTTTTGGTATATAATTTTGTCCACAGATAGCTTCAAAATTGACTGTGTTGGTGGATATGCATCACTTCAATTTACAAGTTTAGATATTTATTGACAGGGGAAAGTGCTTGCGATTCGTTAGTTTAAGACATGTTGCATGGATCAGCCCCTTGGTCAAATTATTCCTTAGTTCTCAAACAGTAGTAATACCACTTAATACCGCCGCCGCAGCAAACCTGCAGACTAAGAGAATTTCCATTTGCCAGATTTGATTTTCACAAATCTATTTAATTAATTAGGTTTAACGAGTACCTAGGTTTGCTGCCACAGAGTGAGTAATAAAGTGCGTTTTTCAGTGAAATGTAAATATTTTCAATACATTTTATAAGTTTGATCAAAATATAACAAGCACACTACAATAATTTACTTAAAATAGCCTACGCAAAATTAATAACATTGAAATTTAAATTTCTTCCTTAAACAAAAATCGTAAAAAAACACAAGACACTACGAAAAGACGATAGCCTAAGTGTTTGGTAACTTATGCTTAGGTATTGGTTTGTTTTACTGATGTAGGAATAATTATAAATTAAATTAATTAAAATTAATATTAGTATATAACCTTGGGATTGGAGAAATGTTAGCATTCGTAAGCTAGCATTCGATGCTAGCATCGTAAGAGGGTCAAACGTTTTGGACCTTGCGGCTTGAGCCAAAATTGGGTTGCTTGGAGAGTACTTATTTAAAATTTTTTAAATTATAATACCTATTACGATGATTTAATTTATACCATATTGTACAAGGATATTAATATATCACGGAAAAATTAAGAACGTCTTCCGCGGTCACCATAATATTTAAAAAATATCTTCTGCAGACTTGGGCGATGTTGAGGGCATCACTCCTGTGTTCACTTAAAACTTAGAAAATCTTCTGCGGTCACGACAAAATCATGAACATCTTCGGCGGTTATGGCAAAATATAGAACGTCTACGTTAGGTAGGAACGATACTGAGGTACAGAGAAATTGTGAAAGTTTTCTGAGGTTACGTCAAAATGTGGAGATCCCCCGTGATCCCTTTTAGGTTGTGAAGACGATTTTGATGATTGTATATTAAATAGTAGGTAGTTGAGATAGCTATAAAAACATTAATGTATAAAAATAAAAAAGTTAACATTTTAAATTTTTAAATAATAACGACTTTAGAATTACTGTATAAGGAAATTTATATACTAATGATTTCATACCCACAGTCATCAACCCTTTCAGTGCTATGCAACGATATATCGTTGAGCGTCTTTTTCCCAAAAAGTGCTATGGAACGATATATCGTTGTCCGTATTTCATCCGAAGAGCGCTAAGTGACGATATATCGTGCCGGCGCAACTTTCGATCATGTGAGTTTAAATTAGCATTTTGGTCGACTTGGTTGTAGTTTCGAAAGCGATGGTTTCTTTCGATCCCTCATACGATCGAGGCTATCGTTCCTTAGCACTTTCGAGATGAACAATTTTATTTTTATGATTTTTTTTCTCGCACAGTAGACTTTGCCCCTGTGGCAAGCCTAACACTTTTTGGACGAAATAAGTTAATAACGAGTCAAAGAACACATAAAATCACACACATAATATACTTAATATTTCGCCTCTTTCTAATCCAAGCTAAATGCTTTTTCCTAAAAACATAACCACAAAGAGTCAAGAGTATTAATTCCATTGATCTATAATAATACAGAAATAGGAACAGTCAATAATGTTACTAAATGCTAAAACATTAAATCAAAATTAGCCTAACTAAAAACAATGTACAATAGGTTAAAACTTAACATTAAACTCTGACATTTCAAATTCATCAAACGAATAAAAAGGGTTTTCAACTAGCCATTTTTTTAGTGTTAGTTTTAAATTGATTACCGTAAATCAAATGAGATGAGTTTTGCAGTTTGATGGAGCCTATTAAAAAATCTAACACAGTTGGCTTTAAATGATTTACCTGTTTTGGCCAACCTGTGTTGGGGTAGGGCCTACATCCAGCTTAGCCTTGCCTCTAGTGTCATGTGCATGAAAGTGGTCTCTGGTAGTGAAATCTGAAAGATGTAGTTTTGTGTGGATAAGTACTTGGTAGATGTTAAGGTTTATTACTGTCATGATATTCAGTCTCCAGTCTGATAAACAATGGTTTACAGTGTCCCACTTCATCCACTCTACACATAGTTTTAAAGATTTTCTTTTGAATGATGAGAATGTCACGTAAAGCACTAGAGTGACCCCACAAAACTATTCCATAACAAATATGTGATTGGACAAAAGAAAAATAAGACATCCTCAAATACTCATCCCTCACACAATCAAGTTTCCACATTAACAAGGACACAGACATTTTCTTACAAATACCATCTAAATAGTAGGTAATTTGAAATTTCACCTGAAATAACAAATTGAAACAAAGGTTCAAATCAAACACGCATACAGTATTATCATTTTGAGCTGCATCTTGTTCCAGCTTGGTTGTGTTACAGTTCAACTCAAAATTCAAATCAGGGAGATTTATAAAGAAAACCCAACTTCTTATAAAAATTTTTTTATTATTGTACAAATAATAACCGGATAATGTTTGTGGTGCTACATTCAGTGAAAACATGGAACATGAAAACTGTACATTGGGATGAGGAAAGAAAATACACTTCTTAAACGTGTATTTAAGATAATTTTAACACAATCAAAGTACAAAATGTTTCCTTAACTATTCATACTGCAGATCAGGTGAAGAAAGGAAGGAGGCTTAGTTTATTTTGGCAGTTCCTTCACATGTTTACAACCAAACCAGTCTTACTCCAAAATTGTTGTAGTTACAAACGTTAATAAAATATTTTTTGGTCCTTGGAGACTGGCTACGCTTTCCTGGAATCTAGCGGTGTCAAACATTTCAAACGTAACCTAATAAACAAGTATACATTACCGAATGTAAACTGTTTGTTTTACCATTGTGAACCAAACTAATTTAGTGATTTAAAAATTTGGTATCCATTTAGGTAAAGTTTGAGTGTTGAGACAAAATAACAAAGTAAAACCGTAAACATGTTCTATTAAAAAGGTTTACCTGAATATTCTTAACCCATTCATGTTTGCATATTAATATCCGTATCAAATTAAAACGATTAAAACCAAGTCAGAATACACTCGTTAAATTTCAATTTTGATTTATTTAACAACCAAATTCATGAAATTGTTGGCTTCATTTAATTTTGGTTGGCTATTCACAAGTTTAGTGTTAACATAAAGACTATTATAATAAGTTTTTTTTCTTATTCTATAATAATAACAATGTGATACTAACGCTCTCTAAAACTGGAGCTTCAAGTTCTTCATACACAGTTACACAATTTCAGCATGTTTAACGATCAAGACTGAAGTAACAAACAAAAGCTCTTTACTAAACCAATCAATCACAGTATTCAACATTGTTAACGTTCACCAGTTAATGTTTCTATTTCTTTGTCGTTGTTAACCTAGAAGTCTTTGTTTCAAGCGAGTTATACTTCATACTGTACACAAACCAGCACTGATAAAACATTAAATAAATAGTTCAATGCACTTCACAGACTTTCGGAACATTTCATTTAACTTCTCAAGTTGATGAGTCTGTTTATTAATGCCTGAAACAAAAAAATATCTTTAGATTAATCGAAGATCTTATTTGACTTACAAAAGAACCAGTTGAAATAAAGGAAAATATTAAGCTTTAGGTTCACTGCATACTAACTACTTCTTGAGAGGCAAGGCTCCGAGGCTGTGCACAGTGAACTACCCTTAGTCACCAGTCGCTTACCTGTTACTTACTAGTATGTAAGGAGCTAAAAATATGTCATGACACTAAGCCAAAATGATCTACATCAATCATTATCAAAAAGCAGGTTTGTTTCTAATAAGAACCTGAAAAAAATAATCAACCACACTACTGTAAGCAAATTTTGGAAACATCTAAATAGCGCAGTGCAGGCAATTGGCCCTGAACTACAGTGGCAAGAGGAAAAAGAATGAATTTGCAAGTGTTAAAATCAAGTTTAAAATACAAAACGGAACGTAATATCCTTTTTAAGAAATTTGTATTAATTTAAAACTTTGTAAGAATTTTAAAAATTATGAAAAATGTGACATGAATGATTTAATATCCTGGATAAAAAATACTTTTGAATGCTGTCAATAATTTATAACACTCAAATTGAGTATGGAATGTGAAGTGATCTCAACACATTCTATAGAGGTCAGATTGTAACTTACTTTGACTTCTTGTGGGACTTGTGAGGGCTGCTGTCTTCTCTGGACCTCTTCTTGTCACCTGAGCTGCTGCTCTTGTTGCGCGAGCTTGAGCTGGAGCTCTTGTGCGGACTCGAGCTCTTGTGCTTGCTATGTGAGCTTGAACTCGAGCTTTTGTGTTTGCTCGGAGAACTCTTGGCCGATGAAGATGAAGACTTGTGCCTGTCTTTGCTAGACGAGCTGGTAGAAACAATGTACGTTTAGCTAATCACTTTTTTTTTGTGTTGTGTTGAATTACAAAATATTGTTAAGTGTTTTATTAAATTGAGTGTAATTTAATATTTTAGGCAGAGTAATATACTCTATTCTACACTCACTGTGCGGTGATGAAGGTCGTTTGGTTATAAATGCTTATGCTATAACATTACTGGAAACAACATGCAGTAATGACTTGAGTCAAAACTGGCCTCGCGTCCCTCATGAAGAGGCTCAAGTCAAATTTTCACATCTCCGTAAATTTATGCTTACAGCATTAACAAGATGATATTTTGACTCCGAAATGGTAAAATTGTGGAAAGTGGTAAAAATCTTAAGAAAAAAGTAAAGAGTTAAACACTAGGTAGGTCTTGATGTTTTTATAACGACTAGTGTTGTTGAAACATTAATTTTAAATGCATTGTTTATGGACACTCGGTACACTGTCTACTGTCTACAGAAAAAATGTAGAAAAAGTGTAGACCCAAGCCATCAATCATGTTTACTTACAACTTGAGTTTTACGAGTGAAACTAGAGCAGTTTAAGTAGAACAATGCCACTATTCTTTTGGAATTGGGATTGATTTTTTAGTGAATTTAAGACTGTCCTAATCAACATTTTTAAATTGTTTCGTCCATCTCCTATTATTATGAAAGCTATAATTCCAATTTAAACCAAACATACTGAGTTTGCCGGTAAGTTAAAAAAAAAAAAACTGTATAATTAATCTCAGTAACATTTCTAACCTACTCTGTTGTAAAAATTATGCAAGTGAGTTTATATATGATCAAATGTCTTGCGACAATAAGCCTACAACAATTAGGAACGTGGAAAACTTGTCAAAACAGGACAAAGATACATTTGAATTGAAAATCATACGAACCTGCTGTGATGAGATGATTTGCTCTTGTCTTTATGCGAGTCTTTGTGACTTGAAGAACTACTTTTGTGTTTAGAAGATGAAGATGAATGTCTGAAAGAATGTTTATATTCCATTAGTTTATTTCAATGGTTAAATAATATAGACTCAACCTTATTTAAAGGGTCTAGGATAGCCCTTAATAATAAATTTACCTCCCTTTCAATATTATTAAATGTTACACTTACACCCAAGTGGGATCTTGATTAGTTCTCGCTTTTTACTATTGATACTGCAAACTGAAACCCATCAATATGAATTTAACATAAATACAACACACATTCTTACAGTCACAACATTGTCAATGGTAAATTTGTAAAATTGATTTAGGACTTAAATATTTAGTCTGAGAATGAAGAGCATAAATATTAGGGGTGTGCGATGCATCGAAAATGCATCGAAATTTCGATTCGATTCGATTCGATGCATCGAATTGCGATTCGATTCAGTGGTGGTCAAAAAACTATTCGATTCACGAGGGAGTCAGTATCCATATACGAAAAACGCCTGCAGAAAGTCAATGCAATACCCGCAATACAGGAGCGCGTTGCTGTTGCGTTTCCTTTACGAAGGCGTTCTTATTTAATACATTCTTTGCATTAAATATAGCTTTAATTGTTTTATATTTTTTTGTTTTGACATTGCAAATGATTAGAGGTTTTGTTTTTTGTCTTGATGTAAGCAGTGTGTGAAATATTTTACTACTGTGAACCTAGCCAAAACAAGGTAGGTTACTCCAAAATCATTTAAAAAATAAGTCTGAAAAATTGTTACTTAATACTTAACTAGTAAGATCAATGTTATAGACTGATACATTTGGTATTTTTGTTAGGTGTCTGTCGGTCCCCGTCCCCGAATTTTTGTTGGGGCAAAAGAAAAAAAAAGAATAATTTATTTCCAAAGAAACACTCTTATATTATTATATCTATTACAGAGGAATTAAAATGTTCAAATGAGAATTAAAAATTAAGTTGGCTCACGACCTTTAAGAATAAAGACACAACAGAGCAATTGCCGCACTGCCACTAGCCAGAGCCAGGTCTAGTCGTCTACTGATAAGAGTAACAAGACAAAAGCCGTGACGCAACACTAAGTGCAAAGAAAACAAAGTCAAAAGAATAGAAAGACTATTTATTTATCCAGACATACTAGTATAATTATTTATTGTTCATTCAATACCTAATTAAAAATATATTTTAGTATTTTACATAATAAATTATAAACAAAAGAAATATCTGATATAGTGAACAGATCTGTATCTTGGTTAAATAGGGTTAAAAAAATATATTTCTAAGATCCAATACAATATTTACAACTCACAAATTACATTGAATTAATTTCTTTGAAAATAATCTCTAACAGTTTTGTGTTTTTGAATAAAGAAATATATTTCTTTGTCTCTACTTCCTTGTTTCATCACTTGCATTTTGTCAGCAATTGAAGCAACTGGGTAGCAACCGGGTGGTGTAAGAGGGGAGGGGGAGGGTCTATGACCTTGGATTCACACATCGTTGCCCGGGCCTGGCTGGTGAGACTGATTCTTGTTTTTGTTGACATACTACTACCCTTCCTTAAGAGAAAAAGGCCCTGCTGTTCCAAAAAGATTGAGGGTAGTTTAAAAACATTGACCTGTGTTGCCAAGGGCACTAGAAGATAGCATTTAACTTTCTTGTCTCTTGATTTAATATTATTTTAATCTTCTATATATTATTTAAGAGTTACTTTTCGGGTACCTAATTAGTTGTGATATTGTTTAGCTTCATTTTATGGATTTTTAATTCTTTTCATTCATTAGCTATCAAAATCAGTTGTTTTAGGATTTTAATCTCTTGCAGTACCGGTAGGTCTATACAGTACTACTGTATGACATGATATGCATTTTTTAGTCCTTATTAATTATACCATAAACAATGTTTGTATGTTATTTACTGTTTTTGAGTTTTATAGGAAATTAGTTTACACAATATCTTTTCTTCAATGAGTTCTCCACTTGACATGTTGCTTCTAGCCTATTACTATTTTAGGCCCTATAAAAATAATGCCTATGTAAAGCTGTAGGCCTACTGATGCCAATAATAATTCTTTATTTATGATGATGTAACAAATAATGTAAGTGTGAGGTTATTATACTAAGGAGGTTAGGAGGCAGGGAATGAATGATACATGTTGCATGGTGGAAACATATTATTTTTATTTTCTTCTTGCTTGCAGTCCTGAAGCCGGTCCACAGGCCCTAAACTTGTGATATGTAAATTTATTTCTTAATGGTCTTTTTATATTAAGTTCCATTCAAATTTGTTGTAATTTAGCTACCGGTACCTATTTAGTTATTTAAACAGTTATTAAAATGAGAATGAATGTCTTGATAAAAAAAATATTTTCTTCTTTCTTGCAGTTGAGCCAATTCCAAGTAAAAATTATGAAATAGGCAAGTAAAGCAGCTCACTGGTATTTCCAGCAGTTATTCTAATACATATGATTGAAAATAAATATTTTTTCACCTAAAATTCATATGTAAGTATGAATAGGCCTAATACCACATCAACAAAAATTTGTATTACACAAATGTGATAAATTTTAATTATTGTTAATCCACTCAATTGACAATTATGAATAGAAAAATACCGTATTGCTTCGAATCGAGTTGCATCGAATCGAAAATCTTTTGAATCGAATCGTTGCTTCGAATCGAAAATTTTTTGCTGCTTCGCACACCCCTACTTACTTACTTACTGCTGGGGCGCTACAAATCGCAGTCGATTCTTCGCCTCGTAGATCACACACCTTCTTCGCACACCCCTAATAAATATAAAACTATATTTCTAAACTAAACATTGGTTAAGGATACAATAAACAGACTTGCCAGAACGGAGTCCACTCTGTGAACGAAACACTAAAAACTGTAAACAATACATAAAATGAAGGACAGTTAACGATAGTTATTTCAACCGAGGAATGTTTGTGACTCACCTGTCTTTGTCCGACCTGTGTTTCTTATCAGGACTGCGATGGTGTCCGCCGCTGCCGTGGTGACGTTTCTTGCCCTTGTTGCTAGTGTACTCGTCCTCAAAGTTGTCCACTTTCTCTCTGTCCTCCTCGGCTGCCTCTCTCTCCAGGTCTGACCAGTCCTTGCCCGACTCATCTGAACTCCCCAACTCTGACAGACAACACTTGCATATTACTACAGTGGCATTTGTAATCGTCTAACTTGTTCTGAATCACCATCTAACTACCCCATACACCCATAGGAGATTCCTCCCTAAAATAAAATAGTTCTTAAAAATTTATAAATCCTGGCGTTATTAGCTAACTACAGAAAAACCCCGAATAACCAAAATAAATAACGCTTTGTATAACTTATATTTATGGATGATCAAAGGTGTGAATGTACAAAGAAACAACAGTAGTTTGACAAGTTGTTTTTATTATTGTCATTTTAAAATTGACAACTGTAGGCAAAAAACCTGTTTTTTAAAATAATTGACAGTTGTTTTATGAACTGTATCTCTATCACAGAATGAGATGCGTCTTTTTGTCTTCTACTCCTTCCATTCTGTCGACCAAGCCGGGCCAACTACTCACGTCGTGGCGGACAATGCCCGTTTCCTGTTCATGTTATTCGAGGGATGTGTTCAAAAGGGGATTTCCGGTGTATTTTTGAATGACAGGAGAAAGATTAAAATTCTTTCTTTCACCAGTCAAAGTTGTGGCCACACGGCGTTACCACAAACCGTAGATGGTGCATATTGGTGGTACATATTGGTGCTTAATAGTTTGTAGTTTTTTATATCCTATAAACAACAAAATACTTATCTAACGGGTCAAACTCACCCTCGGTGTCTCCGCTGTCTTCTGAAGCCTCGGAATACTCAGAGTCATCGTCTGATTCGTATTCAGACTCGATATCAGTCGGCTGTAAAAAAATCAACATTACTGTTTCATGTCCCAACACAAACATGTACTAGGATTGTGTTAATAAAAAAGTAGTAAAACACTGTTAGATTAAGGTAGTGTTTCACACACTATATTTATATGATACAGTATTCTCATGAGCACATATAATAATATTAAAACATACAAATTTCTTATTTAATGACATTATAAGGTAAATCAGTTGCTATCACACTAATCTGAATTAATAATGTTTATATTTCATCCAAACAAAATAGGCCTAGTTTCTTAATCATATTTCTTGAATTCTAAAAATTTGTTAACGAGTAAAAATACACATTGCAAGACACTTGGAAACAATAAATAAATTCAAAGTAGGCCTATTCAATATTACAAAATGGTATTCAGAGAGTTCATAATTAAATATTAATAATAGAGATGTGAATGCCTATGTTACCAGATAGGTTAATATTTTTGAAACCCCTTGAAAATTGAACCGCTTGCACACTTCTACAAAATATTAATATTTCTTGACACCAGCTTACGAAAAAAAAAAAAAAAAAAAACTACTTTGGATTATGCACACATTTCAGCTTTCCAGCCATCATCAGATCATCGTCAAAGAACTTATCTTGCCGATGATCTGATGACGGCCAAAGAGCCAAAATGTGCATATAGGGTGAATCCTGTCAGGACAAAACATGGACCATAAGGCAGCAAAAGGTAATCTAACCTATATTTACTTGTCAAATAACAGGTTCGCAAAGAACACAAAAAATGAAAAAAATCTCCACTTCCTATCAGATATGTCTTATTTTCATAGTGTTGTGTTTGTTGTACCTCATAAACCTCATCCTCTTCCGACTCCTCTTCTTCCACTTGCTCCGCGTCACTCTCCGGGTCGAGGAAAGTCCATCCTCCGCTCTCAAAGAAGCCTTCAGGGTCATCAGTGATGGTCTTCATGATCTTTGTCCAGTTGAGCGACTGTATACCTTCAGAGTAGCGGATGTCACAAGAACTGTAACACACCACCAGTACTGTGTAAGCTGCGGTCTATCTATGACTTAAGTTAAAATATAGGATCATTATTAATCGAGATGGGGACTATGTGGATATTTTAACCCAAATATAAGTGAAGGATGAGTATAGAATGGAGTGAGATGATCTGTGTAGCTTTGTTACTGACTAAAATCAGCTGTTTCATTGGTCAGGACTTATTTAAGTAGGGATGGACGGGTCCTAAATTTCAGATAAATATATTCCCGATCTTGAGGTAGGATTAAGTTTAGTTAAGAATTTTCACAGGACAAGATAGTCTTGCCAATACCGAGATTAATTCCATATTATCAGTGATTTCTCTGTTAACGTTTACGATTTCACTGCTATGACGAGTTGACCATAATAGTGTCTCTGAGATCGCGGAAGATGATCTTGACTTTGCTGCGATCGCAGATGTTTATATTTTGTTACAGTCATAGAGGAAGATTATATTTTCTCTTTGTTATCATATTTTGCCACTATGGCGGTTGTCAATGACGACTTCTCTGCGATTTGCTGGAGATAATAGATAAAAATAGTGCCATGTTTATGGATTACAATTACGACGAGATAGAAAAGTGTAATGAAGATTAAAAATTGAACTGGTTTGCCATTTTTGCCATTTGTAAGAATTATGAATGAATATTTTTAAAACAAACTATAGTTTCATGTTTATTCCTGAAAATCACATAGGAAACAAAGATCCAATCCTCGTCTAAAAGTACAATTCCGTCCATTATTAGTAATAGTTAAAACAATATTGACTCCATTTATTTAGGTGTCAATCTCAATCATTATATGCTAATAATGGAGGGAGTACAATTTATTTCTTCATATGATTTGTTGTTGAGTTTTAGGCAAATGATTAAGTGTAACTTAAAATGTGATGAACTTACTTGAGCCACTCCTTGACGTGATCGAGCATGTTCATGGGAATAGCGTTGACCATGGCAACTTTTCTGTGGTAGTCTTTGAACACAAATATCATGTCAAAGTTCTTCAAATGAAACTGGACACGTTCAAAGTGGACCAACTCTATGTCTTCGAGTGTAATGACAAATGGAGGCTGAAAAACAAAGACCTTTTAAAGACGAAAGAAGAAGTTCCTATTATAACATGTTCATTAAGTTGTTAAGGTATTTTTGAGACCTAATATTTTGAATCCACCATTTATATATACTTTGAAGTTTTGTTAAATGCAATTTTAATAACTTAATAGGGGACCAACATTTTCATAGTTACACAGGTTACACTATGAGAAATTAATAGAAATGATTTTAAATTTCTCAAATATCAATTGTGACCTTTTGAAATGCTCCACATTTTTATGGAAGGAAAACTTTACAATATACGAACAAACTAGAATTAAAGATATTGTATGCCTTAGTAAATAAATAAAAAAAAAATTAATCTTTTTGTTATATTAATGACTCACTGGCAATTTAAATAAGTTTATTCAGAAAAGTGGTTATGTTCTTATTATTTAAGTCATTGACTAATCACTTATTTCCCCAACTATGCTGCGACGAAAAGAAATGTTTTGTGACCAATAAGTTTGTCTACGACCTACTTACCCACTCAGTGAGGTTGACAAGACAGCCGCTGGTAGGTTGTAGCAGTACAGTGGAGCGGAACGGAGCCCCGGGGAAACCCAAGTCTCTGAACGGAGTGTCAAACTCTATCTCCTGCTTGGTCATAGTCTCCACCTGTCGACCAAGAATATTATGTAAGGTACAAGTCATTGACAACCACTTGAAACTTGTAGTATTTTGCGTCCCATCTTCACATTTTAGCACCCTACAAATTACTTTAGGCTGAACCTGGTCGCACCATTAGCAATTACGATTGGCAGGATTTGAATTCATCCAGGACCTCGGGAACTGAAGTCCCACCCTCTGCCACTGGTCCAGCTTGCTCCCTGTCACATGAACTTGTTGGGTGAGTCAATAGCCAATTCGATAGTGCGAAGGACTACTTCACCATGACAGCAAAAGTAGCTTTCTTGGATTTGGGTACTATATATAAGAAGCAGGCCACCAACCTCTCTGAAACCCCCCAACAAGTCAAACTGTTATGAACATATGAATCAGTTGTTACCATAGCAACCAAAATGTTAATCATCAAATGCTGTTTACTATTCAATTCTGATCTTTAATATAACACAGTTACTTCTATTTCAACACTCTGTCTTATTTTATATTCTAATATTCCACTCGAAAGTCATCTCAGTTGTCTGGAAGGACGAGTTAATTTGTTTTCTTTTTGTTCTGTGGCTTGAGGTCTGTCTAGATTTTCTTCCCTTAGAGTACCGTCTAGTTCTGTTGGATTGTTTGTATTTGATTCAGACTCTGGGTGGATCTCTTGTGGTGGTGCTTGGTAGCCTATAATAGGTATCCGTCTTGGAACAACAGAACTATCTTGTTCGTTGTGTTTTGTAAATGTAACTTTCTTCTTGGATACAAGAGTCGAAATCAATTGATTTATGTGTCGTTTTAAACTTTGTCCAGAATCCAATTTAACAATGTAATGGTATTGGCCTAATTTTCTCTTGACTGTACCAAACTGCCATATGTCTTTATTTCCCAGGTGAACTCTTGCCTGAACCCTCTCCCCCACTTTAAGAGAGCGGACGCGAAGAGGAGCAATCGATTTTGATGGAAGCTTTGCCTTTGGGTTAGGGAGAAGTGTGTCAAGTCTAATCCGAATCTTCCTGTTCAAATGCAACTCTGCTGGAGTCTTGCCTGATGCCAAAGGTGTTGCTCGATATCTGAACATAATGTTTTGTAGCTTTGTGGTAATTGGGGTTGGATCATCGGCAGCAGCAAAAGGTCTTCTCTTTAAAGTTTGTACCTTTTTAGGGCATTTTTGAATCTTATTGAATGACACCACATGTCCAAGGTAATTAATACTTTCCTTGAAGAAAACACATTTTGTTCTGTTAAGATGTAGATCATTCTTCTTGAGACATTCCAAACATGCAATAAGGTTCTTCATACACTCTTCGAGAGTTTCACCGTGACAAATGATATCATCAAAGTATGCTTCTACCTTTGATAATCCGTTTAACAGTTGTGACAAAATTCGATTAAACTCAGAAGGGGCTGTTTTTATTCCAAAACTGAGACGATTCATGTTGAACATTCCTTTATGGGTTGATATTGTTTGAATCTTACTTCCCTCTTCATCGACTTTTAGATGCAAATAAGCCTTATGAAGATCCAACTTACAGAAGTATCTTGATCCGCGGAGACTATGTAGGACATCATCAATGCGTCGAATGGGGTGGTTAGATGAGACAAGTTTTGAATTAACCCCACACTTGTAATCTACGCATAGTCTGACTCCTCCATCTGGCTTTGGGATAACAACCAATGGTGACCCCCAATCACTTGATGCGACTGGAGTTATGATTCCTTGAGACTCGAGGGTTGTAAGTTCCTTTTCTACTCTCTCTCGTAATGCGAAAGGGACATCACGTTCCCTAGTAAATACTGGTTTTTCATTATCTCTGAGTTGGAGTTTGACTTCAACATTGGGAACACATCCGATTCTTTCTTCGAAAATTGCTGAGTATTTTTCGAATATATCCTCTAGAGACGGTACTAAATTAACATCAACTGTATTCATCGGTGATTGCTTTCTGTTGTCTACCTCACTGAGTTCAATTCCAAGTCCACGAATCCAAATTCGTCCTAACAAAGCAGAATGACCAGCAGGTACTATAAATAAATCAGTATTTAGTGATTTTGTATTGTAAGAGACTGAGACAGTTACTTTACCTTTAGGTTTTATTATATGGTCAGAGTAGGAGCGAAATGAGATATGAGTTGGTTGAAGTGGCACTTTAAGTCCAAGTTTATCAAAGTTCGTTTCTGAGATTAAGGAAAATCGTGCACCAGAGTCTACTTCAAATGTTTGAGGCTTGTTGTTGATAGTGACTGTAACCATGTATTTGTCTGAGTCTGGTCCTACTATGTAAAGATCTTCTACATCGTTGATTTGTGTGATTCCATACTCATCTGGGTGACTGGATTCATCTTCTGTGTAGTGAGACAACAGGGTGTTTGTTTTAGAGTTCTTTAGTAGAGACGTTATACACACTTTTGATACGTGGCCTTGTTTTCCACAGGAAGTGCATTTAAGATTGTTCCGATTAGTTTTGCATTCATTAGACTGATGGTTTGATCGACCAAATTTGAAACAAAGTCCAGCAATACCCAAAGCTTTGTAGTCAACGTGTCTTTTTAAGTTTTTGTAACGGAAATGTTGTGATTGAGATCTATTGGAACCACGGTATTGCTTGAAACTTTGATATTCCTTTGTCTTAGACCTTGAATGTCTATCAATTTTGTGTGTATCTGCATTTTCACTTGATGATTGTGTGACAGGATTACAAATTTTATTTGATTCATAGCGGGAAGCTTCTAGGGCAATTGCTTTTTTGAGGAGTGTGTCAAAACTGTTGAGATTAGTGTCTTGTAGAAGTTGTTCACGTATCCAATTGTCTTTTAGTCCTCTAATAAATTGAGGGCGGAGAAATTCATCAGCAATTGAAATTTTACTTTCACATTCATTGCAAGAAGTGTAAAAATTACAATCATTCAGGTTACTTTTCAGGACTGTGACAAAATCAGAGATAGATTGATGCAACTGTTGTGAAACACTGAGGAAATAATGTTGTGCAACAATATGAGATACTGTAGGTGACAACATCACTGTGAAATTTTCGATTAATTTTGAAAAATTAAGGTCTTTTACAGGATTGTCTGGGCCTAAAAAAGTTGTCAGATTATTGTAATGTTCCTTACCAATGGATGAGCACAGGAGTTGAGCTTTCATCTTGTCTTCTTGAATGTTCTTCAAATTGCAATAATTTTCAAAACGTTCCAAATATGATTTGAATTTATCATTACTTGGATCAAAATGTTCAAAAGGATTGATCTGAGGAGTTGAAGTTTTATTACCTAGAGCTGCAGCCAAAACATTCATGAGTCTTTCAAATTGTTCTTCATTCATTTTAAGTTGAAATGTTTAACAAAATAAAATATCTTGAAAATAATAGAATAAAACAAGAATTGATAATATTTTTTTACCAAATCGTCGCCAACTGAGATGACTTTCGAGTGGAAATATTAGAATATAAAAAGACAGAGTGTTGAAATAGAAGTAACTGTGTTATATTAAAGATCAGAATTGAATAGTAAACAGCATTTGATGATTAACATTTTGGTTGCTATGGTAACAACTACATATGTTCATAACACAAACCCAACATAAAACTTCATATTTTTTGTCAAGAACAAATCCATATATGCTACAATTCCAATTTACCAGGGGTTTTAATTGTTTACAGCCTTTAAAATTAAACAAAGAGCCAGTGTAGGCTATAAGACTTGCCTTTTCCGTGAAACTCTTGAAGGCTTGTTTCAGTTTCTGCCTTAGTTCTCGCTCGCTCTGCTCTGCGGCCAGGTCGTCTCTGTCGTGCATGTGCTGATGTTTACCCAAGTCCGTGGTGATCTCTCCCACCTCCGTGTAGAACTGGACGTCCACATGCTTTTTCTTGCCAAACATAATCGCGTGCTGTAAATGACGACAATTAGTCTTTGGCATTGTGAACATTTACAATTCATACCTTAACTTCTAGATACCACTAACATTTAAGCTTGACAACAGGCGCAGATTGCAAGGCAGACACGACAAAACTCACTTTTCCGTTGTGTCCGCCGTGCAATATGTGTTGGTTTGTCTCTATTAAATTTGGCCGGCCTACCCAAATGTGTTTATTTTAAATTGTGAACTTTATGTGTCAACATGTGTTTATAAACCAACGAAGACTTTTGTAGGATTGATTGACCAACCAATTTTATGTGGGTTTGAAAATGGGACCTTGTACCCGAAACTAGTCACCCCAGACTAATTAAAAGTTGGAAGATGGACAAAAAGGTATGTAAGCCTATCATATTATTTGTAAAACTTCACTGATAACATGTATGGTACTGACAGTTGGTGGTGGAAAAGCAACATGTAGGAATGAATAGTCTTAAAGATGTCCAAGGAATAGGTCGATAGCGGGAGTCAAACTCCACTTACAATCCTGCTTTTTGTAGCTTGTAAAATTGCCTTGTGTATTCGAGCCCTTAGTAAGGTAACATTCTGTTGGCAGTTTTACCACATGTTAAATATAACACTTATAAAGCTTAGCCCTAATACAAATTGAGCTTGTTTCTGCTAGATTGTCATGCAAAGAAAGCTTGACATTGTTGTAGGCCCTATGATAAAATATTTTCACACCTTACACTACTACTACTGTACTACATAACTTGAAACCTTGATTTAAATCAATAATAGACAAAATTTGATCGAAATAGTAAGACTTGCAGACTGAACTTTACCTTCAGATGGAAATGAAGTAGAATGATCATCTCGGAATCGCAAGGTTGGAAGAATGCGTTTTTTATATTGTTATACAATATGTCCACTTTATCACCTCTCACAGAAGTGTAGCGGAAACCATTGCTGTGCGCTTCTAGTGACCCTGTTATAACATTAAATGCACTTATATTACCTATCTTATTTCACAGTATTAACCTACAAATTTCAACGAGCGATACTTGTAATACTTATAGAAATAAAAAATACTCTCTGCTGCAGTAAACCTGCAGAATAAGCGGATTATCATTTGTCTGATTTGGTTTTGCTTAAATATTTTTTTTTACATTTAAAATTTATTCCTTGTAAAATCATAGAGTAATAGCTCCTTCCCTATTAAGGGAAATTTGCCAAAACAAAAACAAAGCAAGCTTCTGCTGAAGATATTTGAGCTGGAAAAAACAGAAAACTCTAGAACACATAAGGCATCAAGTTTAATCTTGAACTAGTAGAACTAATGGTAATAAATGTATGAAATAAATTAATAATATGACAACTGATGGTGGAGCTACCTGTCATTCGCTTGGCGACAATGTTGGGTCGGATGTACAGATCCTTCAACTTGGGGTTGCTCTTGTTGCTAGAGATGACCAGAGTATCTTGCTGTACCAAGTCTTCTTTCTCTTTCTCCTCGGCTTCACGAGACTTGAACTTCTTCTGTACCTCCTTGATCAGTCTGAAGGCTGTGTTTAGGTTTGACGAGGCAGCAGCAATCTCACCGGGCTCCTTGGTGTTCGAGCTGCGATACGTCCTACAAACCAACATGCGACAATCGTTACAATATTGAATGTCTTTTGACAAAATTTTAAAAGCAATATGACCATTAAACATACAGCATACACACACAATAGTGCATTGGCAATACAGTGACCAGTAATCTGTGTTTAGTAAAATGCAGGTTTATTGAGATACTATTTCAATTATTTAATTAGAGTTGCCAATGTAAATTTGAGACTGCTAACGTTTATGTGTCAATGCATGTTTTGTCCCCCAATTTGTCGCCACTTGCCAGTACGAGTAGTAACAGTGCAGTTTGGCATTGTACATGATTAAATCAAATGTATGTAATTTCATATTTAAGTACAGTCAGTGACTTGTATATGGTAGTAGTTTGCAAACCGAGAATATTGAATATCGAGAATATTTGAGAATACCGGGAATTTGTTTCAATAAGCTATATTTCCGTTTATCTAGTAAAATGATTTAAAAACTGTGGATAAATTTATTTAACCCTTGGCAAATCAAAGTTAGTATACTATTCACATTTTTAAAATCACATCTACTAGATCTATTTCTTCCAATCCTATCCAACAAACAAAATTACTATTAGTTATTTTGAGACAAATTGCAAAACTTACACTTCCTTAACAAAAGTGGCGTCTGGTGAAGGGAACGCTGATCCGTCGTTCCTCGCCATTGTTGCTCCGGGGTGGAAAAAGTTGATCCTGAGGTAAGTGTAGTCTCCCTCCACACTCTGCGAGATGTTCTTGATGGTGGAGATGTGGAACGGCACAGGAATACCAAACACTGGCAGAATCACCGTCTCATACTTTTTATCTGAAAAATTCACAATGGATCTATGATAGGAGATTCATAACTGAAAAAATATATGTTATTTTGGTTCTTCAATAATATATCATTTTGGTGTGAGCAAAACGATGTTCTAATTTTTTACATTGGTGAAATGAACAACCTTCACAAGGCTTATATTTACCACTTCAGTATTTTGTGCAGGTTTTACTTGTCTTTCTTGATTTTGTAAAATATCTTGGTTGTAAACAACATGCAAAATTTTGTATTGTGATGAACAAGACCATTTTATCCTAGCAGATGAAAGCATTTACTTTGAGTTAAGTGACTGAAGAATGATCATGTTGTATCATATATTAGTTAATTTGGCTTTGGTCGAGTTGAAATTAATTATTATTAACTAAATTGAAACCTGAATATAACACATTTTGTTTGATGACTGATTTATCTGGTCAGTCAGACAATGAGCAATTGGTAACTGATGGTGTCAGTTAGGATGCAGTGTGGAAGGGATGAGACAAAGGCTCCCTACAACAATGAAAGTCACACCACTAGACGCTAGTGGTATTAATCCAACAAAAATTAATTTTAGGGATGACTATAGGCTACAAAATAAAGTTACGGTGGCAAGAGAAGAATTCTTCTGGGCTTGTACATCCCGTTTGCCACTTTATTTGAGACCAGCTGTTGCCATTTTTTTATTAAAAAAGAACACAATTGAATGAGCCAGTCACAAGACTTATTTTTGCAACTGTGATTATTAATGTGGCATGAAAGATAGCCTAAGCTGAGTTTACACAAGGCCAGTAGATTAAGCAGGTTATGGAACAGGTTACTTGCCTAAAGTGTATTTCAAGATTCTTAAAGCAGGTAGCCTGCCCGCATACTCTAAACGCGGCTTTACAGTAAGTCGTCCTGTCATTTTTGTTAAAAAGTTGGTGTATTCAACCGTAATTTACATCAGCGCAATCTGTCAGTAGCGCAATCTGTCAGTGGCTCAACTGAACTACGTCCATGTTGATTCAAAACTGGCGACAATTTTAACATGAGGATGGAATGTCATAGTCAGTTGTTGCACTCACCGACATATATCTTGAGTTCCTTGACCTCTGGTTCGTTAGGCATCTGTCCTCTTCCCTTGTAGCTGACGTTAGACTTGCGTACCTTGGTCTCCTTACCTCCCCCTCCCTGCGCCGCCAGTCTCTGTCTCGCTTGCTCGTTCAGCTGAGCAGCCAACTCCTTCTGATGCTGCTTGCGCTTCTCCTCGGCTGACGAATCCGTCTATGTTCAACAACAGTTGTGAGATACTTTTACCAGTATTGTCGACGGTTACAACCTCTAAAAGGTTGGAAATTTAATCTTTAACCAATCATCAAACTCGCTTCATTAATCTTTTGAGTTGAAAGTAAAATACATTACAACCCTTTAAACCGCTCCCTGTTAACCAAAACACAGGTGACAGAAACCATAATGAAAATACTAATCAATTAGACTATTAGTTGGGCAAAGTAAATTGCCTGCAATAGCGGAATGTAATGGCGCAGATGACGACATGGATCTACTATCAACAAGTAATGAAGCTGAATACACTTACCCTGAGTTTCGACTCGAGCACAGCTGTCCGTCGGCCTCTGCCTGTCAAGGGCTCTTCTGGCTTTGGCTCATTTTCTTTTTCCTCTTCCTCATCTTCTTCATTGTCTTGTTTGACAAACATCGCGACATTCTTCAGTTTCTTCTTACTCTGTGTGAGGATCGTAGCCAGCTGACCCTGTAGTGTTCAACTTGGTTATTGAATTGTACATAATGGAACCACAAGTCAATAGTAGTGAATTATTGTGATCCAATAATGTTAGATAGAAAATGTGTTAAGCATTTTCAGAGGCCCACAAAACTGTGAATTGCCAATATAGTTTCAATCATACAGCCAATTTGACTATTCAGTTGAAATTACAATGTAACTCAGTCAAAAATGTTATAATCAAAATTTTGTAAAAAAAACTTAATTTTTAGCGGCAAACCTAAGTAGCCTACTCCTTATGTTAATCAAACAGGGAATAAATATGTTAAATTTAAAGACATTTCTTAGTCTAAATCCATTCAGACAAATGGAAGTAGGTTACTATTATTGATACTATAAAGATTCAGAACCAACGTCACAATGAATTTTAAAAACTCTGTACAAATGGAAGTTTGGTTAGTCTGCAGGTTTGCTACAACAGGGTTTTGACTTTTGAGAGGAAACCTTGCTTACCAGAATGGAAAAGAGTCCAATGTGGCACATAAGAAACACAATACAAAATTTACACAATACACAAAACATTATATAGAAGAGAAAGTTCATGTATTTCCTGGCCACCACAACTGCCAGCTAAAAGACAACTTTCTTGTTGACTCATCCTTTCCTTAGTTGAACAAGCTCAGTGACAGTAAAATGTTCTTGTCTTTTGAGAATAGTGTCAAGTTTTGTGTTTCTTGTGCCAGTTTGGAATCTTATCCGTTCATGTAAGCCTGCGATCTACACGAAAATTCCTAATCCTTGATCCTAAAACATCCTTTTTCCTTAAACTTGAAGTTTTAATTCATTGTTTTGTAAGCTACCTCGTTGACGAGTACTGTGTCTCCGATGAACAGTGCGTAGATCTTGCCCTCCTTATCACTGGCCTCCCTATTGGTGAGGTTGGAAAGGCCGACGTTTAGGTTGAACACTTGGCCTTTGCGAGCCACAGCTGTTGTCTTTGGGCCAATGGTAAGGGAACTCTCTCTGAACTCGATGCCCATCACAAACCTGTAAACATTTACTATTGAAGCTTCATAGAATTTGTCAATCTGTACATACATAAATAGCTTATTTATAGGTAAGAGAACAGATACTACATGACAGTAGAGTGAGTCTAAGGGTATAGCGTAGGACTTCTCCTTTGTGGATCTAGGTTAAAATCCTTTCACTACTTATGCCAATTATCTGATGTTGTCACACAAATAAAATGCAACCAAAGCAAAAATTCTGCTTACCGGGTCTATAAAATCCCACTTTGATATAAGTAAAATCCAGTTTCAGCCTGCATGAATCTAGTAAAAAAGTTCTGTTCTATCTAAATTGATATTTTTGTCTCTTTCAACCTTGCTATAATAAGCTAAAACAGGGGTGCGCAATAATTCGATTTAGGATGAAGTGCTTCAAGGTCTCGACCTGCCCCTGTTAGATAAGATAAGATAAGCTAAAACAGTTCAAGTAATTGGGTTCAGTTAGCAGCATATAAAACACTTCAGAAATTATTTCGATCTATCTTAAAGTGAATGTATGTGTTAGCACCAATAAATAATAGGTTTACTAGCAAGGACAACTGTCTCTTTTTAAGACATCGGAATTCCAAAAACAAAAAGCCATGTGATTAAAACTGTTTTTATTAGCCTAATGACAATGTCGAAGATACTTGGTGCAGTAGGCCTAAGCTGATATAAATTACTTACTTACAAGTTGAATACACTCAAAAGTCAAAACTCATTAATTAAACACAATCCTGATTGTTTAAAATCTCCAAACTGTTGAATTTTGAATGACAGAAATACTTTCATGAACAGTAGAAGCACAAGTTAATGTTCACTGACACAAGTTTGGAGTTTATTTAGCTGAGTGCATTGGCTTTCTGTTCAACTATTAGGCTACAATCAACCTAAAATTCAAGATAGGCTATGTAAGAGCACAAGTGGTAAATATTTCACTCACCCAAAGTTCTTGACCAGATGATCGACAAGCTCGGGTTTTGTTTTCTTCGTGTAACTGACTCCAGCCTCGTACACTTGGCACAGTTTCTTGCCGGCCTGTAGATTCTTTATGAGTTCCTCTTCTAGATCCACTAGGAAATTGTAGTTAGCCTGAAATTAGGGGTTAATTCAATTTAGTTTGGATCAGATTAGATTCATAAGACGCACACCAACACCAGGGTGCTTATTTCATGAAGAAGTTCTACATCAAACTCCTACACTATATACAATCCTAATGTTTTATGAGCAAAACTCTTTCAGCGGGTTTGATGGCAAATTACATAGCGACACTCCAAACAGGAATCTATTGAATGTTTTTATATGGATCTCGTTTTACCTGAATCGCATCAGTAGGGTCCACCAGAAGTGTCCTCACGATGTTGGAACAGTAGGACTTGTACCTGGCGCCCAGGGAACACACAATCGCTCCAAAGTGGAGGTTGTTTTTGTCACTGGAATACAAATTACAAATCAGAATGTAATGTTTTTAGGAAAAAGCATTAGCTTGAATTAAACAAATTATATAGAATGGAGAGGACACAGCCAACTTATCTGAAGAAAGTTTGCAGACAAGTCACAGCACAAATAAATTATATACACACCAAAGACTTGATATTTCGCACCTTCAGAGACATACTTAAGCTTACTTATCTTAGGCAAGTTAGCTGTGTCCTCTCCATCCTATATCATTTGGTTGGATTAGAATACAATCAATAGGCCCTATTAAGTCTAATTTTTGTGTTATGTTTAACAACAATTAAGGCACACTTATGACTCTTGATTGGAATTATCTATATAAGAATTTTAATATAGGCACAGAGAAGTAAGACAGAGAGAAAACATGCTTATGGAACAACCGTGCGCTTTTAGCTCTGGAATGGTGGGGTGGAAATATACTAGTACCACGCAAGGCAGAGCCGAACGGCTATTGTTTACAACAGCAGTTGTAGCACACAGGCTCTTACTTCAGTGTGAGCACTGTAGTACGTGTTGATGAGGAGGAAGAGGAGAGCGGAAGGGGACGACCAATAGAATTTGCACTAGACATAAGTGACTGGTGCTAGACACTACTTAAGTGACTGGTGCTAGACACTACTTAAGTGTTCCGGTACCATTGAATATTTCCTCTATATCTTATTTCTCTGCGATAAGGGCTATACATTGTAGAAAAATATTACAGATTAGGTTCTGGGGATGGATCAACATTAGGCCATTTGCCTATTGGGTCTGATGACAATTAGGGTGTCCAATTGTAATCAATCACCACTTACCACCTCTAGATGTATTTACCGTCTTGTCAGTCAACAGCATAAGTGTAAATATATGTTTTGAACGAGTTAACCATATTTTTATATAAGTTCTATAAATTTAGTAACACGTACAAAGCTGTTCAAGTTAATAGGCCTAACTTCCTAATTAAAAAAGAACACAACAAAAATGAATTATATTTTTTCAAGCGGAAAATCAGGCTTACGCCCAAGCTGTTACTGACCTGACGACGCTGAACTTGAGGTTGTAGTTGCCGCCGCTCTGTATGATGGCCGGGTAGCACATGTCCAGCTGACTCGTGTCTACGTTGCTCACGTACTTCTTGTCCGACAAGGCTGACTCCACCCCTTCCGCCAGCTTAGCGTGCTTCACTTTCTGCACAACAACAACTCATTCATTTTCAAATATCAAGATGAAATATTAAGTATTAGATCAAACTACTCCCGATATTGACTCTTGGAGCCAGTATTGTGTAAAAATTTACACAAAATTAGGCTGGATCAGAACAAAGACAGTATTTTTTAAATTTTAAATTTATACTTTGATAGGATCAAGTCATTATTTAGAAGAGAAAACAACGTCTAACAGAATTAAGGTGCTACTAGTTAAATAGTACCAAGTTGTGGGGTCATTCCATATGAAATAAACAAATAAAAAAATATTTTCAACCTAAGACCATCTCTTAGATTTTGATGGAATTTTGCATATTAGTAGTATTTAGAGTCCTGAAGAATCCAAATATCCTTTTTAAAAATTTATTTTTCATAGTTTTTAAAATAGGCCTAGGGCCTATAGGCTATACATTTTAAAGTAGGCCTAATTGGTAAACATTTTTGTTTTTGGCATGCACGCCAGTCTAAAATATTGTCTAGTATGAGCTTGTATTTGCCTACAAAGTTATGCACAGGGTGTCTAGTTTATTTCTATTATAAAATTCAAGACTAATTCCAGACTTTTCAAGACTAATTCCAGATTTTTCAAGACTAGTTTCTTCAAAAATTAGTGGGTGTTGATACCAAAATGTATCGATTCTCGATTCTTGATACCGATAAAAAATTTTATAGATTAACCAAATTTTCTAAATAATACTACACCAACCCCTGTCTTTGTCATAAAGTAGTATTATGATAATGCGGTGTTTTCAAGTGAAGAAATAATGCAGCAATAAAAAATTCTAACTAGCAAATTTGGTTTTTGTTATCATGAAATCTTCCGCGTACCGTACGTTTAGACATCATCATTGACTGCAGCGGTTACAGAAACGTGATCGTCGTCGTCCGCGAACACGGCAAAATCATTAACAATTCCTGCGGCCTTGTAGACATCAATGACATCATCGTCGTCTCCCGCGGTCTCAGAAACGTCATCGTCATCGTCCGCGATCGCGGCAAAATCATGAACATTTCCCGCGGCTGTTTAGACATCACCGTCATCTCCCGCGGTCACGGAAACGTTATCGTCGACGTCCGCAATCACGGCAAAATCATGAACATTTCCCGCGGCTGTGGAGACATCATCGTCGTCTCCCGCGGTCACGGAAACGTCATCGTCATCTCCCGCGGTCACGAAAACGTCATCGTCATCTCCCGCGGTCACGGAAACGTCATCGTCGTCGTCCACGATCGCGACAAAATCATGAACATTTCCCGTGGCCGAGCAGATCGTCGTCTACCGCGGTCACGGAAACGTCATCGTCGTCTCCCGCGGTCACGGAAACGCCATCGTCGTCTCCCGCGGTCACGGAAACGCCATCGTAGTCTCCCGCGGTCACGGAAACGCCATCGTTGTCTCCCGCGGTCACGGAAACGCCATCGTCATGTCCCGCGATCGCGACAAGATCATGAACATATTCCGCGGCCGAGCAGATATCATCGTCGTGTCCCGCGGTCACAGAAACGCCATCTTCATCTCCCGCGGTCACGGAAACGTCATCGTCGTCGTCCGTGATCACGGAAACGTCATCGTCGTCGTCCGCGATCGCGACAAAATCACGAACATTTCGCGCAGCCGAGCAGATATCATCGTCGTCTCCCGCAATCGCGACAAATCTTGAACATTTCGCGCAGCCGAGCAGATATTGTCATCTCCCGCGATCGCGGCTAAATCATAAACATTTCCCGCGGCTGTTTAGACGTCACCGTCATCTCCTACGGTCAGGGAAACGTTATCGTCGTCGTCCGCGATCACGGAAACGTCATCGTCGTCGTCCGCGATCGCGACAAAATCATGAACATTTCGCGCAGCCGAGCAGATATTGTCATCTCCCGCGATCGCGGCTAAATCATGAACATTTCCCGCGGCTGTTTAGACGTCACCGTCATCTCCTACGGTCACGGAAACGTCATCGTCGTCGTCCGCGATCACGGAAACGTCATCGTCGTCGTCCGCGATCGCGACAAAATCATGAACATTTCGCGCAGCCGAGCAGATATCATCGTCGTCTCCCGCGGTCACGGAAACGTCATCGTCGTCTCCCGCGGTCACGGAAACATCATCGTCATCTCCCACGGTCACGTAAACGTCATCGTAGTCTCCCGCGGTCACGGAAACGTCATCGTAGTCTCCGCGGTCACGGAAACGTCATCGTAGTCTCCCGCGGTCACGGAAACGTCATCGTCGTCGTCCACGATCTTGGCAAAATCATGAACATTTCCCGCGGCTGTTTAGACATCACCGTCATCTCCTGCGGTCACGGAAACGTTATCGTCGTCGTCCGCGATCACGGCAAAATCATGAACATTTCCTGCGGCCGTGTAGACATCATCGTCGTCTCCCGCGGTCATGGAAACGTTATCGTCGTCTCCCGCGGTCTCGGTAACGTCATCGTCGTCTTCCGCTGTCACAGAAACGTCATCGTCGTCGTCCACTATCGCGGCAAAACCGTGAACATTTACCGAGGCCGTGTAGACATCATCATTGGCTTTCGCGGTTACGTAAACGCAAGACAACGATCGCGGCAAAATCATGAAAATTCCCGACTTTGAAATCAAATTTAAGACTAAATCCCGACTTTTCAAGACCATTTTGAAATTTATTCATTTATTCATAATTCAATACTGATTCCCGACTTTCCCGACTACTAGACACCCTGTATGCAATTGCTAATTTAGGATTTAAATACCTTTTACTAAGTTCAATATTTCTAATCATTTTAAGGCATACAGTGTCATTACCTCAGGTTTAACTCAGTGAGGAAGAATTGAAATTTTCATTATGGTTGTCATTATGTTACCTTTTCAGCATCAATGATGTCCATGACCTGATCCTTGAGGTACTTGTTGAATATATCGACCGACACTTGGCAAGCCTTCTTCATGATGGTTAACTCGGAGTCTTCCTTGGGACTCATGATGGCCGCCACACTGACACTCATGTCCACCTACAAGTGACACAAGAATATTACATACAACTTGTCGACCTGAACAAGAACAAATAAAAGTAGACAGAAATTGGATTGTTCCAATCACCAAGAGCACACAATTCAAATTAGATAAGTTTTACCCCTCCAAATACACAACTAAACTGGAAACGGATGTCTTCGGTAAGTATGACGGTTTATTAAACGTCTCTTTTTTTTTGCAAGAGTTGTAGATTTATACGTTGTTTTCAAATTACCCGTATTTCAACATTCATTAACCTTAAGCCCTCTGTGGTAGTTTTAGGAACCAAGATAATCATTTAAATTAAAGGATTTATCGAACTAAGGTCGTTCTACTGTATAAGAAAGAAAAGAAAGAAACCCCCTGGTTGCATTATCCATTCACATAGAATCATTTCAAGCACCTAATATTTTATGCGAAAAGATAAATATAGGAATGATTAAGCTTACACATGCCATTAGGCCTATAATATATTTACATGTTAATTGATTCTAACGTATTTAAAAGTTAATGACTGGACCAATGAGTTCATTCATAATTAAATTTTTTATTAACCGTTGGTCTGATGTAGGCCTAGGCCTTTGAAATACTCTTGCTCAAGGTTTTGAATAAATACTCAACTGTGATTGCCAAATTTAGCCTGGAACTATTCAAGAACCAACTATTGTAGACTTACTTGTGTAAACTTTTCTTTTTCTAGGACAGCCTTCCAAGCAGTCATGAATGGACCGGGATATGCATCTTTCACAAACACGCCGACTGTCTTGCCAGCTTTGCTGCCTTTTATAGCATCCACCAACTTCTGGAATGCTGGTTTGTCATCACCGCCCTGAAATACACACTTTATTTTATATGGAATACCTCTTTTTATTCAGTAAGGTAAATGTTACACTTCCAGCATCTCAAGTGCTGATGAAATATTAATAAGTTCACAATTTGTACATCCATTTTAATTTAACTGAAACATTCTTTAGTTATTGCATTGGAACCTTGACAGCAAAATCGCTTGGTTTTTACAATATTTACTGGTAATATCCTATTAATTTGTTCAACAAAAGTCAAAAAAATAATAAGGCCTGTTTACATAACCGTCCTTGGTGAACCCCAGGAGCTTCCAAAACCAACAGCTCTAATTGTGAACTTTAATAATCATCTTGCCCCGTAAAATATTCTAATTTAAAAACTTATGTTTTTAAAACCCTTTACGTCAGACTGCAAGCACAAGGATTACAAACCTTATCTCTCGTATGGAGCTTCACTGGCGGAACACTGTTTTCATCTTTACTTGCTTCCACCTGGCGTAAAAATTCAATTTTCTTCTTGCTGGCCAGAAAATGAATTGCGTCTTTGGTTAACACCATGATGGTGTCAGTTAACTCATAACCGAGCAACCAAGTCTGAAATTTGTATCAGTCTGAATTAGCTATGAAAAATATAAAACAAACAATTAACAACAAGAATACCTAGGCCTATCACCCAATTGAATAAATTAGGCTATTTTAAAGTAATGAAACTATGTTTTTTTGCAACAGAAGTATTTAAGTTACCATGTAGGCCTAGTAGGTTCATAGCATTCCTTTGACAAACTATCAATAGTTAAAAAGAAAGCCACAAACTCAAACCATGCAGATATAGGTGGATTTACGACATGTATATGAGAGGGAATTTTATCCTTGAGCGATGACTTTACAGAATCAGGGCTGGATACAGAAGGGGGGGGGGGGCTGAGAGAACGTAACGCCCCCCTGCAAACAACGGATTTTTTGGGTAAAAAAATAAAAAATGTATAAATTATAAATAAATAAAATGACTTTAAAAATAAAATAAAAAGTTAACATTTAATTGTTTATATTTTAATAATCATGGTGAACAGCTAAAAAAATTATATAATCAGGATATTGTAATGTTAATTTTGTCTTGTGGTTTACATCAAGAATGTAGAAGAATGCCGCCTTTGTGAAAGAAGCCAAAGACATTACAAAAAATGTGTATTTTATCTTTACTTTAGTGACATTATTTTACCATTTCTAAGCTCAATGCTGATGTAATAAAGTTATCTCTCTCTCTCTCCATCTGTCTGTCTCTCTCTCTCAAGTATAGGGTATGGGATAGCTTAGCAATCAAAATGGGAATTTAAAATCCCTTGCTGTCAGTGTAAGACACTGTGCCTATGTCACCTTCTTATTCTCACTTTTCCCATCGCTCGTTTTGATCGCCATGCTAAGTTATGTTTTTGTATGTTTAGAAGTGAATTCTTGTTGCGATTTGAATACCTTTACCTAACGTAAATATGGCAAGTAATATTTCTAACAATACAGGTTTGTGTCTGAAAATGCTCGCCTGAATAATTGAATAGCCTACCTATTGTAATTGTACGATTATTTCAAAATCTAAAGCATAAATTAGTGGTTGCAGGAAAATAGCAAGCGCAAGCTAAACAGCCCAACCTAAAATCTTGACCTATTCCGACCACTGCAGTTTCCCGACAGTCAGTCAGTGTTGCCATTGATTATTTACAGGGTTACCGATTATTGATAGGTATGATTATTAGGGTTATTGATTATGTATCAATGGTGTTGCCACTAGTTGGATTTGATTATCTGGAAATAGATTATTTGTAGGGTATAACACAAAATTGACATTTTTACTAGGCCTAACCCTTTATATAATAATTTGGAACACTCATAATGCAAAATCTAGTTAAACATAAAGTAAATAGGGGAATTCGAATTAGGCCTACCTACTGTATTAAATAATATACCCATAAAACTTATTGAAGTGTGTGTTTCTCTTGACAAATTGCTTTAAGACCAGGTGCTGATACTTTTATACCATCACAAATTAAACAAACACTATTTTAAATCAATTATGTTTTTGCCATTTTTTGAGTCACACTTGCCCTTGGAACCAAGGTGTTTTGATTTTTGTTACAGACCCAGTTGAAAAAAAAAACAAAAAAAAACAATTAGGAATTAACTGAAGTAACTAATTTCTGGGCATCATTAATACTGTCTTCATAGGCCTTCTATAAGCCTAGCTGAAAATGCTTGTTTCATGATTCAAAATTTTCTGGGAGAGGCCCCCAGACCTCCCTCTGGCTGGTGGGTTTCCATACCCCTAGAAGCCCCCCCCCCCCCCCCAGTTGTTCTCTGGACCCTCCCGTGAACAGAATATATTTTATAATAAAAAAATAATTATAGCTTTAATACCTGTCAGCAGTTGCAGAGTTCATATAACTTAACCCGTTTAAGGTTAGCGGATCAGATTTTACCTGCAATGCAATGGATTTGCTATAAACAACATCCTCGTCCACCCCCACTCCAGACACCAAGGCATCAGCCTTGCCCAGGCCGTCACCTCCATTGTCAGCATCCTAAAAACATGATTAGTTTATTTAATACATTTATTTAAGCCTAGGACAAGAAATTACACTTATTTTTTTTGCCTATAACCATAGCCTATTAGACAAAAAGATTTAAATATAGACTGTCAGCCGTGCTGCGGTTACCATAGGTTGTGGCGCATACCGCTGTTGTAGCGCCGTGTACTTACGTAGCGCGTACGCCGTATCTACACAGTGCTCCCTGCAGGTGTGTGCCACAACCTATGGTAACCACAGTACAGCTGACGGTCTATATTTAATTCTTTTTGTCCATGCTATAACTAACACTCAAGTTTTGATACCGTACATAAACAAATTTAGGGTCCGTTATCCACAACACTAAGATCGAGTTACAAAACAAAATTGTGTTGTACTGTGCTAGGGCCTGTGTGTTCAAACTAAGTTACCTACTTAAAACATGGACTTAATTTAATACCAAAAACATTCCTTATGACCTTGTGTAGACTCAAGGCATGGGCCTAGTTCTAATGGACATTTTCAATTGGGAAAAGGCCTAGGCCTAATATTAGCCTACTTCAATAGGTACTGCATCGGTGACCGACAAAGTCGGACAAGATTGTGTTGAATTTAAAACTAGGCCTACACCTAAATTAAATAATAAAAACTACTTATGATGGCGGCGGGTTACCAAAAAGTGGTGTGATCCCTATGCTTAGCTCAGTTAACAAATACAGAGGTCTGCGCAACTAATAGTTCCTCAGTGTGTCTTTGAAAGTCCTTAAGCTTACGTCCAGCTTGCGCACTTCAGCCAGAAGTGTTTTTTAGAGATTGCTGGTGGTATAGTAGGCAAGTATTTGTATTTTCTTTCGTCGTTGACCCTCTGGCAGGGAGACTGTGTCTAGTTATTACGAAATGGTAGCGCTATAGTCCAGGCAAAACGGCATCCAGAGGTAAAGGAGATGGCCATGATGTGTCTGGTATGAGTGATTGATCCTCCCGTCAAGCAATTTTCGCTAAGCTTTCCTTGTGTGATACCATGCTATTAAGGATGTACTGACTGTAGGCTAGCTGTGTTAGGCTAGAATATATGCTAAATAGGCTTAGCCTAAATAAAAAGGTTGAAAGAGAAACAGACATTTCACAAAGTCATCGGCCTATTACCTTATTACCATCTTCTTGACCGTTGACCCATCGTATGATGGGAATAGGCTGTGTCAGCGTAAAAACTACTTATTTCAATTCCCGCACATATGTATAAAACTCACAAATTTAAAAAAAACATACTTCAGTACTCATGGCGGTCGCTATGTTACTAATTCAGCTCATCCAAACTACCTTCCAGGAATTCCTTTATTGTGAAGTAGGGATTTTTACAGAAGATATTTCCTGTGGTGGTTTTAAACTTGATCTGCTGGCGAGGGTCTTAGTGGCAGCTGGGAGTTTGTTGAAGAAACGGATGACGCTTCCAGGGTATGAGTCTAGATTTCTACTGAGGCGAGTGTGAGGTACATCGAGTTGATTTCAGCCTCTTGTATTGTAGTGTTGAATGTCAGCCCTGGCCACCAGGCCCAGTTCATTGTTCTTGATTTCCTGCATGCATGCCCATAAGTAGTGGCTATAGATGGTTAAGATGCCCAGGTTTTTGAAGATGGGTTTGCTATGCTCATGGGGATGGTTGCTTGTTATAATGCACACAGCTTTCTTCTGGAGATTCAAAACTCTGGCTGCACCAGCAGCGTGTCCCCAGAGATGTATCCCATAAGAGATATGACAATGAAACATAGCACAGTACACCATAACCAGGTAGGAACTTGTAACACACTTCTTCAATCTCATCAGTATAAATATGACATGAGCCAGCTTAGTGCAGACATGTTTGACATGATTGCTCCAGTCCAGTGTTGAGTCAAGGTAGAAACCCAATAGTTTAACACTCCCACCGATGTTGTTTGAGGTGCGTGACAGAGTGCAAGTCATTCAGTTTGTCTTGGTCTCATTTAGCTGCAGTTTGTTTGCCCGGAACCACAGCTCCACATCTTTCAGATTATTTTTCGCTAGTTCTGCTGCAAGGAGTGGTGTTTTCCCTCTGGTATAAGGTAGTATCGTCAGCAAAGAGCACAAGATTTCCATACCACCCAAGGTAATTAATGGCAATCAGGAAGAGAAGTGGCCCGAGAACTGAGGCCTGAGGGACTCTGTAGAACCTCCCTTTCTGCGGATTTTGCACCCTTTAAGTCAACCACTTGTCTTCTGTCACTTAAGTAGCTACTGAGCATGGAGAGAACTTTACCTCTGACACCAAAAGCAAAAAGCTTATCAACAAGGATTCCATGAGGAACACAGACGAACGCTGTCTTCAAAAGCGTTTGCGATTTCATCAGCAATGACTGAAACTGCTCCAGTAGTGGACCTGCTCCTCTGAAAACCGTGCTGCGAGCTACTAAAAAGGTTGTTTGACTCAAAGTAATTGCAGGTTAATTCCTTTCCTACTATCTCGAGAACCTTGCCGAGGACAGGTACCAAAGAGATAGGCCTATAGCTAGCCAGAACGTTGGGGTCTCCCTATTGGTATATAGGCACTGTCCGTGCGATCTCCATGAGTGCGGGGAAAAAACCCTGCTGAAAGCTGTCATTGATAGCTAGGGTGAGGGGTGCATTTATGACATCCGCTACTTCCTTAAGGAGCTTGGTAGACCACCCATAGAAGTCGCGGCTCACGGTGCTCTTAAGCCCACTTATAATCTTCCGGACCTTTTTTACATTCACTTTACTCCATGCAGTCTTACTAAGGTCGAGCTGGAACTCCGGCATCCGACCTTTCAAAATGTTCAAAGGGTCAGAGGGAGCATCAGGGATAGGCCTACTGGTAACTATGTCTGAGCCTGATGAAATAAAGTTGTTAAATTCATCGGGACTTGCGGCGCAGCGCATTCCTGGAATAATAAAGTAAAAAGGCTAACACATACTGATTCTCTATGATAATAACAAATACCGTTAATACATTTTATTGGTCATCTGGATACATAAGTTAAAGTCATTAACAAAAATAACGTCTATGACTTTCAGCAGTGCTGAAGATTAGCATTATGTTCCGGCGCACACCACTAGGAGTGCCGTGTAGTTACAGCACTCACCCGCTGCAGCATCTGCTAGTAGCCTACGGCAAATAGCCTAAGATGCCTGCAGCGGTGTGTGCCGTAACTACACGGCACCTAATTCTTCAATGACACATAGGCTAGGAACAGTATCTTAAAAGCAATAAATCGATTAATACAAACAATAACCACTTGACTAGTTTAGCTTCATTGGTCATCTTGGTTCCGTAAACCTAACCTAGGAATAAAAATTGTATTTCACTTTGACACCTAAAACAAGATAATACTGATGCAAGTATGGTGTGATATAAGTTACTTACACTGTTCCATCCAGCATATAATCTTTTCATTCGCCTAAAAAAGGCATCTTTATCCAGTTGTATGTTGGACATGTTTTTCTTCACCACCGAACCGAAACTAAATTAGGCCTACGAAAAACGATCTAAAACACTACTTGAAAAGAGGACAAGAGGAATGACTTCCTACATATCTTATTTGTATCAATTAGAAAAAGTATTGCACTAAATTTGGAGTTTTATTCCCAAGATATAAAGTTTAACAACACCTTGCTACTTTTCTCAAACTAGACAATATGGCGAATGAAAAATGGAATGGAATGGAACCGAGTAATAATAAAGAGATTAAGAAGAAGTAAAGTGGCGGGCGGCTTTGTCATATTTTTCTTATAGAGTTACCAAGTTTTATATAAAACCATGCAACTGCGTGGATATGTTAATGTTTTGTCCTATTTATGCAAGCCACGATCATTGATTATTAACAAAATTGATTGTGTACATATCTTCCATCATAGGGAAATGTATAATCAATAATTAAACATACTCATAGGGTCTTTTGGTACATAATCATACAGTACAGTGGAGCTGATTATTCTGGAAACCATAATCTTAGGGTCCATTTCATATCAAACTACAAGTTACAATTAGATTTACATTGGGCGATCACTGATCTACTAATAATATTAGTTTATGAGTTTGTACTTTATTATGAAATAGAAACTCCGTAACTATATTTGGCGCATGACAACGCTTCAATGTACTAATTAAATTGTTTGGTTTATTAGCCCTAAAATGGTTTTGAAATAAATTGAAAAATTTTATGTTTTTAGGGTAAAAAATGGGAAAACCAATTTTTACCCCATAAACCCCTGTTCCCACGATCCGATCATTCTGGTTCGCAAACTCGTTAAAATAAAATATAGGTGTACACGTTTGTACCAAATTTCATCGAAATCGAATAATTTTTGCATGAGTTATTGTGCTAACGGACACATTTGACCAAAATATTGGAATTGGACGCCATCTTGAATTTTGGACTTCCGAGACTCCGATTTCATTAGACTTTTAAGTCAAAATAACCAATAAAACAATTTAAAGCAATTTTTTTAGGGTTCTTGTACGGATTTACTCGACTATATACATAGTGCGATGCTGGGGATTGTGATTTACTCAAACGGACATTAGACTGATCGAGTGAGGACATGCTTCTAGTTCAATTAACCATGCACACTACTTCTGAGTGGATACTCATGCAGATGTTGCTTAATTATTACCTTATTACCATCTCTTTGGCCATTGACCCATATCTTATGATGGGAATTAATAGGCTGTGTCAGCGTAAAAACAAACTTATTTTAATTCCCGCACATATGTATAAGGCTACGGCCACACGGGCGTTTTTTCACGCAAGAACGCATCGTGAAAAACCGCGAGAAATATGAGCAGCATTAAATGTAATGAGGTATGCCACACGCAGTGTGTTTTCCCGCAGTAGCGGGCGTCCATTTGTTTCAATGCTACTCTAATTTTTCGCGTGTTTTCACGCTGCGTTTGTGCGTGAAAAAAAAACGCCCGTGTGGCTGCAGCCTAAGACTCACACAGGACTCACAAATTTTAAAATATGTAAAAAAACATACTTTAGTACTCATGGCGGTCATGTTACTAATTCAGCTCATCCGCAAACTACCTTCCAGGAATTCCTTTATTGAGAAGTAGGGATTTAACATGCAATAGGCAAACATAAATATACTGGATAATCACTGTCAAGATATCTTCGCTGACAAAGAGTGGTTTACAGTAACAGTGTGCTTAAAAAGCTGGAGTTTGTGATTATGCGCATCACCTTTTTTTGTAAGCGCAAGACTTTATCAATACCTGGGGCCATTCCCCCACAGACGAATGCCATATGAAATTATTCCATTAAACAAGCATAATACACATTTTCAGGTAGACTTTAGGGATCAGCTTCTTTAAATGCCACAAAAAAGAAATCACTCTGGATAGTCTAGTACAAATATTCTGTATGTGAGAATACCAGGATTCCCAGGTAAGTTTGGTTTCAACCAGCAGTAATACCTAAGAGCTTAACGACAGAATCTACATCTACATCAGATTGAACATGAAACTGGCACAAGGAAAAACATATTTGTTGGGTTTTATTGTTTTATCGGTGTTCAAAAGGAAGCCATTAGCTTCAAACCAGATTGTGCCATCTGCCATCATATCAGACATAATGTTGTTACAGAGCTCAGCAATATTCTGAACAGAATAAGGTAGTGTCATAAGCAAATAGGTGACTTTGTTACAAATAATATTTACAGGAAGGTCATTATTAAAACAAGGAACAGAAAAGGACCCAGAACCGATCCTTGGGGTACACCACTTTTGACTACCGCATTGATCTTAAACTAAAAGAATTTGATTGATAAATGGATTCTAAAAGCATCAATTATGTTTAGTCATTTGTATTATTATTTTATTTTTGTTTTTAAGAGGAGTATGTTTTAATCTATGGTGTAGCGTTCCCCAAGAGTGTTAAGTTCACTCTACTCTACTCTACTCGCGCGGATTTGATTCAAACAAACTACAGATTGAATTGAATCTGCTGATGTTCTGTTCAATCCTATGATCACTTTACTTCACTTCATCATTTTTTAACGAATGGCTGGTTGTTATGTCTGAAGTGTAAACAAACAAACAAACCAAGTGTCAAGTCAAATTCAAAATAACAAAACAAGGTGATTGTTGAATAGGTCGAATCGTTGAATGCCCAATGAATGGTTGTCTTGCCGGGATTCTTCTTCAAAGTGCAAAGTATTGATGGCATAGATTTATTCACATATTTTAGAAGCAAGTGTAAAAAATTTCAGTACCTACGGTATTTGTAATAGTTGTCAGAGGAAATAATATACTACTTAGGGCCTATGCATAGCTTTTAAAGTTGTTTTGTTGGAAGATTAAGTCATTCCATGCAAAGGTCGTCTAAAAGTAATAATCATTACAAAGAACAACTTGCTAATAAAGTTACTAGTAGTACCAATATTGGAAAACCGTCAGTGAATAATTTTAGGCCCGAAGTCTCAAAGGTTAACAATTTTGGAAAGGTCAAGGCGGATACAACGACCGACTTTAGGTCTAAGGATTTTGAATTCAAGGTAGGCTATTAGGCCTAAGTTTAAGTTAAGCCTTTATCATTACTACCCTAACTGAGACTTAGTATAAATCATTGATTGACTTATTAATTTCGGGTACACTTCCATATCTGTTGGTACAAACAACCGAATGAGTAATATTGATTATTCGATTGTTTAATTCGATATATCGTTATATCGATCGATATTTTCATTCGGTTGTTTGTGCCAACAGATATGGAAGTGTACCCTCTATATTGGTTTCGATCTAGGCCCTAGGGCTAATCAGTTCAATTATATTGTTTCTGAATTGTTTTTCAATGTAAGTTAGACATCAAGATAAGTTATCATCTGTTAACGTTTCATTTATGTTTAGTAAATTAAACCATTAATTTACAGCCAAAAACTAAATATTTGATGCACGCTAAGAAAACAATAACTACGCCTACCTACTTAACTTAAAACAGCAATTTGAGGAACAAACAACAAAACTTTCAATCTAGCGCTTAATTTCGTAGGGAATTAGTCTAATATAGCCTTTATAAAATAGAGAAACAGATCTTTTAAAACTAAGGATTAAAGTTACTTAGGCCTAATTATATACAACTGATAAGAATCATACTGTAAATATTTCCTAGACTGGTTAGGATAATATCATTGACTATTGGATACTGAAGTTGTATTAATAGTCAAAGCTAAGTTAATATGAAAAAAAAAAATGCCTGGAGATATAATGGATGAGTACCTACGTACCAAATTTCATCAAAATCGGACCACAGGTGTCATCTGTAGCACTGTACACATCTACACACACATACAAACATCACTTCGAAAACTACTTTTTTGGGTTCAGGGGTACCCAAAGCGGATATATCCACTCCAAACTCTAAGTTGGAAATTTTGACGAAACCAATACTTCCTCCAAATACTATGTATAGGGGGAAAATGTGATCCAAAAACAAATATATCCACTCAAACTTGAAAATTCTGACAAAAACAATACTTTCTCTATATAGCCTACTATGTAGGCCCTATAGGGGGAGAAAGTAAAAAAATATACTTTTAAAAAACACAATTTATTGTCAATTTTTTTCAAATAGCCACATATACAAAGTGTTTTAACACTTCCCGGACGGGTGACGGATATATCCACCTAAGTCTTTGGCGATAAAGGACGCGGATATAGCGGTGGCGGATATATCCGCTTATGGTTTTTGATGTTCCGGACGGGAAGCGGTTATATCCGCCTTCTCTTCAGACAGACTGGCAGGTGCTTGAGCAGTAACCAGATGTTTCGCGGTACCAAGGCGCCACTTTCCTGCTCTCTACATGGCTGCTCTCTCTCCCGCACTCCCCCCTCTCTCCCGCGCAGCCTCTACCTCTCCTACGCTCCCCCCTCGACGTTTCGCGTTCAATACTACGTTGTCTGTATTCATTGTTTACATATTGTTATTTATTTATTGCCTAACGTTGTCATGGTCTATATCTTCAAAGACAGGTGGCGGATATAAGTTATCCGCTACTTTTCTACTCATTCGGGACGGGTAGCGGATATATCCGCATAGTTAAAAACAAGTAAAAAATTATTTTGACAGTGTGAAGTGTTCTATTGTGTTTATGTATACTTGTACAACAAAACACAAATAAGGAAAATTAATTTTTATTTTTTCCTATAATTTCTTTCCGTTCTATGTCACAATTTCGCCCGTACGGGAAGGGTTAAAAGTCCTGTGAAACTTAATTTCATTATTTTGGTACTTCACTACTTCTGCTGCTTAGTTTCATAGTACGGAGCAAAGTATGGACTAATTTGATGCGATTGAGGTCCAAACCGTTTAAATGGAAATATCTCCAACGGGGATCTAGAAGACCAAAAACTCAAAAATGTTTCCAGAGGATTTACTGTCAAAATTAGGTCACTTTTGATCTTCATTAATGCGACCACATATTTTTAGTATGTAACAGAATCAGAACTGCAAGCAGCCGTGAAACAAGTCAGAAGAGCAAGACTCAAGAAGCTAGATGAACAGAGATGGCAACACTTTTTAAGATGGAAAACTTCTGAATCAACTGCATATTCTGAAGATAATGACAGTTACCAATTCGGTAGAGGAACTATCAGCCCAAAACATGATCTCGCCCACCCTCACGTCGAGTACAAGGTTGGAAATGGCTGTGTGTAGCCTTTACTGAATAACCTCTGTGATGACACATTTGTCTGTTAATAACAATAACAGTTTTAGTAAATATATCTTTTTAAACACTTTGAACTTTATATTTATTCATCGTAAAAAGTTATTTGGAAAAGATGCTACTGTACTTATATTTTGTTTGTACATTAAATAATACTCAAGATATGTAAAAAATGATCATGCGTTAATCTATGATTGGTATACGTTGAAACGCCTAATTCACTTATTAAGCAGATAATTGAACTTTTAGTTAGGCCTATCTCAACAAGTATACAGGTAATATTTGTGTTTTATTTAAGTTCCAAATAAAGTCACGCCACCTTTGGGTGTAGACTAATTTGTACCAGCCACCATTAATTGCCCTAAAATATTTACCTAAGAATGTTTTTTTCTGTAAAAGCTTTTAGCTGAGTCACCAATTAAGTGCTAAAAATTTAGTTTTCTAAGATGTTGAATGAATTTAAAAGAACATCAGATTAGCCAGTAAGGGCTCCACAATCCTATTTTTAACTAGATTCTATTGTAGCAAAAGTAGCCTATTTTAAACCCTAATTTTATGCAGTATGTTGTGAATTTTGATTCATTTTAATGGTTGGGTTTTTGTAGCCTGAACGTTTTCAAGAAATGCCAAAGGTGGAGGATGAAATTCAAGAAAATTTTAAGGGGATGACAGCACTTCCATTAGGAGCCAGCATTAGTGTCAGCGATAGCATCGGCCACGCTTATCAGGTGAATGATTTCTCTCCAAGGTATTTGCTAAGACAATGCTTTATGTTCACCATGGATCCAGACTCTTACTTTGTGTGTAAAATTGTATTAGTTATACCCGTTTTTTCCATGGTACATTCATAATGTATTTTTCATCTGAAGTCTGTCATCTTAACTTTGCTATGTTTATCCTTTCCATGCATCGTTTTTCTTTTAATTTAAGATACACTTTATTAAAACATTAAAACAAGGGAACGATTTTTAAAAATTAACTGTTTATATTTAGTAAGGGACAGTAACATGGGTATGGTAGGATTATCAGGGGAAGCAGGACTAGGGGTTATGGTCTGGGAGAGTTAGGAATTCATAAACATTAATTACACATAAATTAGGAATTCACATGAAACAACAATCGACAACAACACCATTGTTGATTAATTTGTCTGTTTTGTCAGCTGGGAGGAGTGTTGACCAAGCGACTACAAGACTTGGTGGCAACTGTCGGACGGATGACATCACTACTGCTCTCCTCCGTCTCCTCCCGCTCGACAAACTACGAGGACGAGGATGTTGACCGAGCTATCAAACGTAGTGTAGAGTTTGATGCCATGTTCGCTCGTAACCACCTCTACGAGATTAAGCGTCTGGTGAGTGTTTTAGTAATTGGTTGTCTTTAGCTTATGTAAATTCCTAGTTGTAGTTTTTTTCTAAACCCCTGTGACAGACGTTTGAGTAAGTGTTTCCACTTAATAATAATGACTATCTTGTCTTTACAGTAAAGTAGCAATAAATAATATGGGGAATAAGTAAACTATAGTAGCCTAGGTCTATTGAAGTTTGCTTGTTTATGAACAAATTTTGATCAAATTTGGAAAATTTATTTAATTCTAAACTATTCACGTTTTGTCAAAAAAAACCTTTTACCTTCCGCGTAGCATTTAGTGCTAGGATTATAGAATATGTTAGGTAAGAACTCGTAAAACTAATGTTATTGAAATAGGAAACGAATACGACATTTCAAGGATATATTTTGGTAATTTGCTTAGTCTGCAGGTTTGCTGTGGCTGGGAAATTTTATTATTATTACTGTATGTTCCAGTTGAAGGATGCCAAGCAGCTAGTGGTGGGGAAGTGTCCAGGGGAGTTGGACAGCAAACTGTCTGCGGCCCTCAAGTGTGTCATCCAGGCTATCCAGGTAGAACGTACTTGTTTGTACGAAACATATACTCTGTTCACAAAATTTAGGCAGTTTGAGGGGAAGTTCCCCCACCATTTTTGTGCTTAATGTATGTTACTTAACCAGCTGCTGTTGAGCCACTATTTTAAAGATAAGGGTTGAGATAGATTCTTTCCCCTAAAACCACCTAAATTTTGTGAACGGAAAATAGTAGAGTAAATAATGAGATAAGCTAAATGTCCATTTATGTGAGGGACGTGCCAATCAGTGCCTGGACTGGGCTTACCCTTTGAAGCATGTTAGTTCATGTTGTATATTGGTGTTATTTCCATTCAAAGTTATTATATTATACATCTGACACCAAAAACATAGTGACTACCGTATGTGATTTGAACATTGTTTTGTCTACGAAAGAGGCATTTTGCATGACTAGATTAGATTTGTGGGGCACAAACTTACCTGTGTTTTTTAAGGTGAAGTTTAGTTAACAATGAGTGTAGAATGGGTTATGACAGCTCGGATACTGAATGTCAATCAGTTCTTTAGTTAGGATAATTTATAAAAATCCTAATTATGGACAGTTGCGACCAGTTTTCAACCTTCAAAATGATGTTCATATTTCTCAGGACTGAACCAGGGAACCTAATTATTATTGAAAAAAAAAACCACTTGCTATCATGTTTAAACTTTTAATTTTTTTTAAATTTGACAGAGATAAGCCAGAGACATTGTTTGGGAGGCTTACAATACAGCCTAATAAGTATATAGAACTGCAATTTTGTCAATCAACATGCTTGAATAACTTGATCAAGTAATGTGACGTTCTGTTGTTAGGTTTACGCCAAACATGTGAGTAAGGGAGCCAGAGTGAAGTACCAGCAAGTAGTTCCCATCTTCCAGAGTATCTCTACAATACAGAGTCTCCTGGAGCAGTTGACTGGGCAAGTTGGGTTCCCCTTCCGTCAGGTACACAACAATATCAACATTATAGTCCTCGCCACCCTAAGTTGAGGCAGCCAAAGGCCGCACTAGATACACGCCGTGCGGCCTTTGTCTGCCTCAACTTAGGGTGGCGAGGACTATAGTCAACTATCTCTGCTTATGCTCTTCTAACATAATATCCAACCATAGTAAATCAACCATGATAAACCAACCATCCATGATAATCCAACCATGATAAATCAACAATAGTTTAGTTTACGTAAATTGTTTTTTTGGGACAATAGATGTAGAAATCATGCGAATGACACTTTTTGTGTTGCCCTCGGTAATACTACCTAATTTTATCAGTACAGTTGATTCTAGATATTTGTTTGTTTATGGGGCCTGGAATACTGAAATGGCCAGATTATCAAATGTATAATATAAGTCCCGCAACATGAAGTATAATATAAAACTAACCTCAACCTATTACGTATCATTTTTTCAATTTCAAATCCAACAGGATCATAAAGGAAATAAAACCATTTTGTCAGAAAATATTGTTTTTAAATTCACCCCACTCCAGCTCACTTTACCAATATTTCCGTAAACAAATTTCTGGTCTACAAAGAGTACATTACCACCTGCTTACTGTTTATTGTGGCAAAAAATAATTAAACAAAAATTATTAACATTTACGCTCTAAAACTTTCTTTTAAATTCAGTGATTTGTTTTACTTTTATGTACATGATTTCATATTCCGAGACAAAATACTGTATACGCCTACAATATTTACATGTTCTTTAACACAGTACTCTTCTGCAATTGTGGTTTATAATATATATAAATTTGCATATGCACGATTCTATTTTATTGCTTTGATGAGAATGGAACCAAAAGTCTCTAGATTCCTAGAAACCGTGTTTTAAAATTAAGGGTGGACTAACCAGAAGTTTTTTTTTTGCTAAGGAAGAGTTAGATGATCTAGTAACCTTACTGTGTGAGAAACTTTACTGTTGGAAGTTAAATAAAAATAAGCTGCACAGGAGTACTCTTATCTTTTACATTTAGAATAAGGATAGAATGGTTAGTTTGCTTTCATAAAAGTGAAATAAAACTCATTGAGCTCCTACATTTATTTATTTACTGTACGATTTGACAGGAACTGGAGGTGGCGTGCAGTTACATGAAGCAGGTTCTACTGGAGATGAGCACGTCGGACACTCAGAGAGTGACGACCGTCGTGAGTCGTAAACCTGTCAGACCAAAGTCCACGGTCGGACACAAGCCCTCGGCTGATCTGTCCATGTACAACCGTCGCCGACCAGACTGGAGACGTAAGACTGCCTCCCTAGCACGCGCCAAGTTTGGCCCTCCTTCCAGCAAGAAGGTAAGCTATGGAGTTTGTAAAATATTTTAATTTTAGTTTCTTTCCAAATCGCTAAACACGGTAGCTGAGTGATTGCGTTTTGAGCTGATGATCCAGACATTGTTGGTGTAAGCAGCTGTCTGCACCATCTTAGCATTACTGACACACATTCTGACTGGTTCATGTGACTTAATGTGACACTATGTCTTAGATCACCGTTCAGACCAGTAGCCTATGGTGTTGGGAAGTTTAGTCATTTTACTTCAATTGAAGATACAAAACTGTATCCTGGTGAATCGGTGGATCAGTCAGTGGTAGAGTGACAGCTGTGAAGTGCTGTCTCACCGCTTGCTTTACTTGATACCGTAACAAGCTTTCAAGGCTCATGTGAAAGTGCAGACGCAAGGTAACAAATAAAATATCGAAGCTTTAGACAGTGTGAGAATTTTGTGAAGTTTAGCAATTATTTAAACATTAGAACTTCGCCAGGTATTAACTCTGACAACAGACCTTTGATAGTTTACTGTGAGTAATCCGATTTCCACATAATCTATCACATAAATTACTGATTATGTTTCAATCCAAATTATGTAGTGTGAAGAACACGATGCAAACAAAAAATACTTCCTCATTAAGTAACGTTTAAATTGAAAGCAGTCACTAAAAAGTCTTTCTAAAACCGACAAAGCTTTGATAGCTCACTAAATTTTTTAATTAAAACTTAGAGATTCGAATGATGGATAAATGTAACTAATTTCAGCTTGATCAGAATGATTCTGTACCAGATAAGGTTGATTTGAACAAAAGTAACTTAGCTGACTTGATCAATGTTGAATCTCAACGCAGTGTCTGTGACAATGGAGTAAGTCTACTTCTAAAATTGTCATTGTACCAGGGCCGGATCTAGGAACCGCGAAACCCCGCAATGCAGGGGGGCCCAAGCCCTTAGGGGGCCCAAAGAGCTCTATAATTTAAAATTATTTTAATGCATATAAACATAATTGAATAGGACGGTAAGTTTAGTTTTGACAGACAAATATTGTCAATATCAAAGCTAAAGTTACAATTATTGAGTAAATTTAGACCTACTGATTTTACTCATCAACAACTCGGGACCTCGCCGTAGACAGTTTAATCTGTGGTTTACTGTCACTTTCAGTCAGTCCAGTCTGTATGCTCAGCTCAGTCCAGTCAGCTCGTCAGCTGCAGTGCACGCTTCACAGATCCACTACAGTCCGATCGACGTGGACGTAGTGTCAACTTAGTCAACTATCAGTTGAGCTGAGCAATAAGTCTGTAGTACAGGCGGGACTTATAATAACCTCTGTAGCGTTATCTAACGACCTCAGGGCCAGAGAGAGCCGTCACGGGCCTCTGAGCTGGGTGATCTCCGGCCCCCTATTTTCCCGATTTAGTGTCTAGCCGCCTCCGTGCCGTTTTGTTAAACATTTAACAATATATCTAAAACGCATAATAGTTTGATTAATTCTCTTGCTCCTAGTTGCAACTTTATTCCACTCAAAAATTAATATGTGAACTGAAAAACCATGCTAAAATCTTTGATTTTAGCAGATTACATGTACAGAAAATATTTCACAATTCACATTTGACCAGGCTGGGCCCCCTTCAGAGCCCAGGCAGGGCCCCGGGGCTTTGGCCCCTCTGCCCCACCCTCTGGAACCATGATTTGTATGTAGGCCTACCTATCTTGAAAATATACGAGTAGTGTAAAAAGAAACTAAGTTTAAATTGAGTCGTTTGTTTATTATTATACATTATTATTTATTCTTGAAATTGTTTATGTAAAACCTTTTACTTTTTTTGTACAATATGTATTTTATAATTTGTAAACCTATTTGAAAGGCTAAGAAATCCTATTGACATAAGAATAAAAAAGCTTTATTTGAAGTTTGCTGTTTTTTTTTTAGTACATAATTTTACAAAATCCGCATTTTAACGAAAATGTTTTTTTACAAACAGGATCAATATTTTATCTTTAAAATAGCGTTAAAATTCAGTTTCAGCTACATACATTTTAAACATTCCCCCCCCCCTCCCGCAAATAAGGCCTCCCTGCTATTGATGCCAGCTCTAAGGGCCCTTGGAGGATTTTTGCAGGGGGGCCCATATTTTGTAGATCCGGCCCTGCATTGTACCATAATTTTTGTAAATATGGCTTTACACCAGGGGTTTTAAGGATTTTGTATTGTTTATTTGTGCATTTTCATCTATTTTTCATCAGTAAGAGGTTAACCAATCCATAAAAAAAGTCCTTAATTGTATCATAGTAAAAAGTAATAGAAGAGTTTCTTTAGGTTACATTTGGTAGCACTAAAAACTGTTGATAGATGCCACATTCTTATGTAGAACTAAACAAGGTTACTTTTTTAACTTTTATTTTTTTTTTGCAATACTACAATCATTTTGTGACTGTAGATTTTATTTTTGAAAAATTTTCAATGGAGTACTGTAGCTAGATTTAGAAAGTAAATCAAACTCATTATTTTAGTTGAAACAGTAGATAGTTGGTTGGATTGTATAGAGTTTATATGATTTATTTTTTACTTAAATGGACATTCAGCATAACCAAACCTGTTTGTATAAGTTTGCTAATTTTTAGATTGTGTACACAGATGATGGTTTGCTATTCAATCAAAAAGATAGAGTTTTGTTCCATAAATAATGGTAAAACATATTTCATTTTTTTTATTTGCTCCTTAAATGCTTATTCTAAAAAAAACTCTTACCTTTTTGCTTGATGTGTGAAAATTGAATAGATCTTACTAGAAATTGTTAACATAAGTGTTTATTAATAACTATTAGCTTTACATGTGCTTCATAATGAGGTGTGTACTTAAAAAAGAGAAGTATTTGGTGCTTTCTGATTTCTTAAAATATTACTGTAAAGAATAGCTCTTTCTAGTTTCTACCCTACCATTGGTTATAGAACAATCTCTGAAATGTTCACTGAATTTTTAGGATGAATTGGCAAAGCAAGGACAAACGTACGAACATATAACTTTATATATATATATTACATAGATTCAAAGTTTATTTATGTCGGTTACCACTAGACAAAGAGACCAAAGGACCGTAGTTCCAGGATATTTTAAAGAACGAAGGATATGTTATAACAATGATAAAAAAATATGTTTTCCGGGGATTAGTTTTTTCTTGACTAGGTGTTGTTGTAGAATGCCGCGGCCAAGGAGGTGCCTCACAGAAGAGCCACGATGGCAGTGACGGAGGACAACGTCACTACGATGATGGATATCATCAATGACGAGGTAAACATTACTCACTACTGGCGGAAATATAGTTATCTCAACGAGAGACCATTGATTGCTTGACAAACAACTTTGTCCTCAAGCCACATGTCTGTATTTTAAAAATAAACAGATAAATAGGAAAACCGTATGTTTTGTTATTTGTTTTAAGCCTATGTTGATCGACCCAAAATCTCAAAATGCTAATTTTTACATAGCTTGCAGTAATTATTACAACTAACAAAATTATCTGATTTTTTACTGTACATGTTCATAGAATTTAATGGTACGATAAAATACATCTTGATGATACTCGTATTATTCCAATGCCGGAAATTTACTTTTGCTATTAAGTTTTTTTGGTGTTCCTACATTGAAGGGGGCCAAAACTAAATGCCTTTTAACCTGATAGTGATTTCATTGTAGTTTTGTTATATCATCACTTTTTATTCATTTTAAATTGTTGCTCAGCCAATAGAAGACGAAGAGTTATGTCTGGATGATAGTGCATTTGAAGTTCTCAAGAAAATAAACGGAAACATTGTTCCTTTACCAGCTAATGTTGAGAGTCAGGTATATCAAAATAGCTTTTAAAAGTTTAACTTACAGTAGTTCGTTTTTTTAACAATTTTTTAAATGACATTCTTTATGAACAATGTTTTAGCCACCACAATCAACTACATATCACCTAGATATTACAATGGAACTTTTAGGCTACATATGACTTTATGTGGGTTTTTACACCATTGGAAGAGTATTTTCTTCTAAGGAGTAATCATAGATATCAAGACTGATCTAGATCATCACTCTTTAATTTTAGTCTGAGCAAAGTATATGCTCGTCAACCTAAAATACAGTTCCAAAAGGGTATCATTAATTTTTTCAGATTCAACGCTTATAAATTTCAGAAAAAAGGCTTTTTACACATGCTGTGCTCGAAATTCAGCAATTTTTTGTAATGTTGGCCTACAGACACAAACATTCGGTAGAACACAGACAGAATGCAGTAGAGCTGTATTCAACAAGACATCTATTCAAATTTCTTTGTAATGAATTATTTAAAATGCCACAACTGTCCTCCATATGACATAAACAAACTGTAAGCAACTATTTTTTTCAGAAATTTCCAAAAGAAGAAAAGACAAAATGTGAATCTGCGCGTCCTCTAAGGTTAGTTACTGAGAAGTAAGATCTAGAGGAAATAAGCTTATGGAACCGTGTGCTTTTATCTCTGGTATGTTGAGGTGAAAATGCATTTGTGACTAGCAAGGAAGAGCACAAACGGCGAGCACTGTGCAGAAATTCCTATCGCACAGCGCTCAGGTTCTTCCCCCACTGCGAGCGTTGTAGTACATGCTGGCGAGGGGGGCGGTATGGAACTTCGCCCGAGACACCAACACCAGCACTAGACACAACTTAAGTGTGTTCTCTGTATCTTACTTCTCTGTGGGTTAGTAGACATATGTTACAGTTAAATATCAAACATCTGAGATCTAAACAAAAGAAGTTAAATTATTAATATTACTTGCTGACTTATGATGTCATAATATTGACTATTCATCATGCTGTACATGCATCACATCATGCTTTGAGCATGTCACCGTTCATCAGCAGAAGTGTGGATGATTTTAAAATGCACATAATTCATTGTCAGGAGTTACAAAAGCAAATAACATTTTTGCATGATTTTATATTTCAGGATCCTCAACGGTTGAGTACCTAACATCCAACCATTGAAAAATCCATTTTCAGATCTTTAACACTCTACGAGGGTAGTTTTTTAAGCAAGGGCCGTTTTTGCGTATAGCTCTGTAGTTTGCGTGTACGCTGCAAAGAGGCTCCTCACCCCTTCCTGGCTTCATTGTGAACAGAATGACATCATTTGCAGCTCTGTAGCTAACGTGTATGCTTTGCTGTTTTTGAAATTTTTAGATTATTGAATCTCCTGCAGCTTGTGGTATAAGGTCATTGATATGTTTTTCACCACAAGAAACTTATCTGAAAACATTCATCACCAAATCACTGAAGGTTTTGGCCCTGATGCAATAAGTGAGGGAAACATGTGGAAATGGGTTATGGAGTGTAAAAATGGTCGTGAAAACACTTTTTCCTTTGTGATCTTCTGTGATAAGTCTAGGCACCCACCAAAAACACAATTCCTACCAAAATAAACATTTTCTCGTCCCTCACTTAAAAAACTACCCTTGTAGTGTTGGTTCAAGTTAGTAATTATTAAAATCTAAAACTTAACCTCTTAGGTGCTACTAGGCTAATATCATACGCTTTACGTTTTAAATGTATCTATTTACATTTTACAATTTACTTTGTATTTTACTCCCTAGTGCCAAAGCAGAGCCCAAAAATGTTCAGCTCATCTGCCTTAGAGAAGATGACCGTCCTACACCCAGCACTCCTGCTGCTGACCCATTAGGTTAGTAGACAAGTGTTGTTTAGTGTAATTGATAATAAGTTTTACATTAGTTACACAACAGGTTGACTGCTAACTTTTCATGTTGTTGCAGCTGTCGTCAACAGTGAGATCGAAGATACCAAAACAACATTAACGATAGATGCACAAGAAAAAGTAGAAGCCGAAGAATTTCATAAAAAGATGAATGAATATCGGCAAACACAACCGCACTATAAAGACGGAAGAGCCCTAACAATTGTTGACAGGTACGGTAGTTGGTCATTTATTGTGTTAAATCTTCAAGGTGAAAATTGTTCCCAACAATAGGAACAACAATAACTAATTATCACGTTTTTTTCAGGTTTGCAAATCACATTCTCGCAGAAATAGTTATGGATTTTCAAAAAGAAGAAATAAACAATGTTATACAAATGTTGTACAAATTGGAATTTCAATAAAATATTTAGATTGGAACCATATGGAAATCAAACATTAAATTAGACTGATGTATATACTGATGATAGAATAAAATTATATACTCTCTATCATTCGTTTGGCTTTTATTTAATATTTTGTTGGTTATGTATTGTAGGAATTACTGGTCATTGATTTCATTAACATTACTAAATTAAATTATTAACACCTTTCAGCTGTTTCCCATGTTTGACCTGGGAAGCTAGGTGATAATCATTTAGTACTAGTTCGTACCAAACTACCTCCTTTAAAAGTAGCTCTGAAACCAGAGAGAACAGTCTTAAGCGGTATGAATATGAACCAGTGGCGGATTATGACCTCAGCACACTGTAACCTAAACACATGTTAACTTGACCCCCCTCCCCTATGGACGTAATTTCAGACTTTTAACTGGGGTGGCAAGATCTACCGTGGGGGGGGGGAGGGGGTCTGGATGTCCTCCCCCAGGAAATTTTAATAAACTGGATTTAAATTTGTTAGTTTTTATGCTTTTTCTAACTATTTTTACAACATTTTTTTCTGTCTGCGTCCCCCTGAGACCTGCTGCCCCTAATTGTGCCTAGGCCTAATGTGTGATCCGCCACTGTTATGAACCATGGTTAGCCAATGTCTTAGTCAATGTTCTATGGGTTGCAATTTATCTTGTAGTTTCTAAAACTTTCTTTTAGGGTTGTGAGGCCTCTACATGCCTTCTCACCTTTGTTTATCTGAATAAAAGGGCAATATCATTCCCTTGATATACAAATTTACTACAAAAGTTGATTCATATGTTTGTCGGCTGAGTGAAATCTGAACAACAGAGGAGTCGTGACCAACCTTCGTGAGAGAACATCTCAAGACTAAAAACTGCGCTCTCTGTGTCCCAAATATGTTTTACTTTCATCCGTTTTAAATGCGTGGACTGGAATCAGTTAATTATACTTACACCAATAGCACATTGCTAATTTAGTTTTTATTACATGCAAAGTAGGCCAGATGTAATATAGGCTTACATTTTAAGAGTGGACTCTTCCCATTGACTTTATTGCAAAAGATTATGTAATTTCTGAGTTTCACACGGAAATTATGAACACAATTAGTAAACTGTGGTGCAAGAAATCTCCACAAAGAAAGAGGTCAGCTCTTTAGGCCTTGACTTACAAAATATAAGATACAATGTTAAAAGCACTATTCCCCAACTTAGACATAAAATTATTCTAGGCTCTATTGGTTCACCCAAGTAAGTTAGATTTTGAAAAACAGTTCTTTTAACTTAGCGTATCAAATGCCTTACTTACAGGAAAATGATAATTCATAAACCAACTCCTAATTCTAGAATAAGGTCAATGAAATAAACAATAAGTTACATTTTCACAAATGAAGTGTATTTATACAAATTATAATGTTTCTTCTTCAAGTAAAAAAAAATATTCAAATTTATCGCAACTTCATTTTCAATACTGTATCTTCGTTAAGAATAGTTACCTACATTACAAAAGAAGTTTATTCAAAATATCGTTTGTGTTAGAAACAATTTCATCATAAGGAGCATGTTCTGCAGCTAGAACCGCACTTGCAATAGCAATAGTTGTCTTCACATTTTTAGCTTTTACCCATACTTTGCCGTTCATACCAATAGCAATTTCATATGCAACTTCTTTCCCCAGATACTTCAACAAAAGACATTTAGGATTAAGAATTTTTCTTATTAGATTAAGACTACATGTAAACAGAAATCCATCTGGATCTATGACTCCCATTTTACCTTTCTTGCCAGTAGAATCTATACACACTAACTCTGGTTCCATGTCCTTACTTGCACTAAGAACAGTTGCATACAGAGTGTCTCCAACATTTAAGTTAGGTCGATTTTTCTTGGTAGCGCCTTCAAAAGCCAAATAGTGTAGCGAAGCCTGTTCACTGCCTCCTATGTCAACTTTGAAAAAGTCACCTGCTTTGCTTGATACAATTCCTACAACTGCTTCTCCTCGAACTGGAATGTATCGCTTTTGGTGAGAATCAACATAGAATGTCTGGTTAATCTTCTTCAATAATCCACTCTTGCAAACAATTACTTGTTCAGCACATCTTCTAAGTCCGGGTCCTAATATAACTCTTGATTTATCATCTAAACCAGTAATACCTCCTACCACATCTCCAGGTACAACAACATCATTGACGCAAACTATCATTTTCAGAGGCTGGTTTAAATCTTTAGTTGTGGTGATAGTGTAATCTCAAAATTACGAATTATTCATATTTTCAAGCAAACTTAGCTCAAAACCATTTTCTCCAACAATATTATTTTCTTAGTTAAGGCCTAGCCTAGCTGATGTAGCAATTTTTATAAATTTTACTTGTTCAGTTTATCAGTAGATTTATTATTGTTATATTTCCTATTTAGTGAATAGTTTAGACATATTATTCGATAAAATAACAAATTTTTCATGAAATAATAAAATATTTAAATACATTTTTACTTACAATAAGTACTATAACCTCAACTAGCAACACGTTTCTTTTACATTTTTTGGCATAACAACAACAAAACGAAACAACCGTTAGGTCGTTAGGTTAGTTACATCATCAATGTATTTTTTTTTTTGTTGGATGGCTTCTAGTTAAACCATGCAACTGCATAGCTAACAAATCATAAACTGTTGGGATTATCATCATTCATCATTCCGAATCACTTTATTTCCAAATACTTTTTAGTACAGATTACAGAATAATATAATACCAAGCGATGAGAACTCTTAAAACCAAATAAACTAGGAATCGTCATAGATAAAACCATGGACTAGATATACCTGTAGGTATATTGTATATCTGTAGCCCTGGGTATATTAGTCAATGATAAAACATACTCCTTGAGGTGTGAACGGTAGTCCTGCCTGGTGGAAAATTCATTTAAATTAGATTTTTGTATTTAAGAACGGCATAGATGTATAAATTTACGATTGTACATATACGTGTAGTCTGGTGAAAAGTGGTTTGAAGGGGTACAGTTTCTTAACTGGGCTATGCTAATATCGATTGAAACTATCGATTTGATTAGTAAACCTTCGTGCGATTTTTTCACCATCAGCAAGTTTGGTTGGTTAGGTTAGGTTATGATAGTTTAATTTGATGATAAATATATTTAAAAATATCGATTATTAATCAGTGTTTTCAATTCGATAGTTTCAATCGATATTAGCATGGCCCAGTTAAGAAACTGTACCCGTTTGAAGTGCTCCATATATACAGTCGACGCTATGAGACCCACCCTAAAAAATCGATGTTGAAGCTTTGATTATATATCTCCCCAAGGGGCTGAGAGGGAACATTTATAATCAATGTTTAAAGCGTCACCATAGATTAAACATACATGTTTAATCTATGGCGTCACTAACAGGTGGAACTTTCCTGTCGTTAGTTGATAGCGCCTCTGCATGAAAAACAACTCTGTTTTTTTCTTTCTTAGCTCTTCTTCTTATCCCCTCCCCTCTCGTTCTTATGTTTGCTTTTTTGCGTTATGTTTTGCTTGTTTTTGTTTATGTTTGCTACGGTACTACTGCTTCTGCTAGACTAATAGAGTAGAGTTAGTAGAATATAAGGCTTTGTTTGTGATTTTTTATTTTTATCATTGTAATTTATTATCAGGAGGTGTATTATGGTGTTTTTGGATGACTTTAACATACTTTGGTGCTTTTATGACCCCATCGTAGTTTTATAGTTAGGCTATGTGAACACTTTTTGTAGAAAAGATAGTCAACTAGGCTACAATGAAGAAAGAGAAGACTGCTGACAACTCCAGGCCATTTAAATTATAAGTATTTTAGATTCATAGTTGTATACATTTCAGCTAAGCTTTTATTTTTCAATAATATGATGGACACGGATATCAAATTTTTTCTTTCTTAAGTTACCGGTACATCTTGAATCGTGTTCAATTGGATTCTCTAGGTCTATATAACTTAACCACAGAAAAAATACTACTATAACTTAGAATGCTAACCGCATGTTAAAAAGCGTTAAGTACTCGGAGAGAGCTTTTGTAGGCAGCGCCACCAGCGTTGCTATGCTGGAGCATTGTATGCTGGTGGCGCTGCCTACGAATTGACAGGCAAAGCTCTCTCCGAGTACTTAACGCTTTTTACCATCTAGGGTTAGCATTCTGGGTTACAGTAGGCTAGTATGCTTTCTGTGATATAACTTAATTAAGCCTAGGTACATTAGGCCTAGATCTACACTGTCATATCTTTGAAATCTGACTCCATCGCAATATTGAACCAAAACAATCTGTTATTTTAATCATATCAGTCTATGATGACTACACTAGACCCTAAGATAATCATATCATATAGGGCTAATGTTTTCATTCATAGAGGTAGGTAGGCCTAAGTTAGCGTATTAGGCCTAGTGTAAATATTGTTCGAAGAAATTAGGCCTAGGCTACGGTAAGTTAGTCTAAGTTGATCTAACCCGACCCAATCTTATCATGGTAAGGTAACCAATGCACAGTAAAATTCTGGGTGAATCTGAACTTTCTGGACTTTTTTAAACCTTCCTTAAACATTCCTACTATCCTAATGAAGAATAAACAACTTTAAAAAATTTTATAAGGTTTACACACTGAAAATTGCAAAAATATGCAGCTAACTACTTTCTCAAGTCGCGGAGGACAACACACGTCAAGGAAGAAGAGAGTGGAGCAAGGCCCCACTAGAAATCAGGCCATGCTGCAGCGCAACACTACGTCACAGTGGTGGGTAGTTGTACTAAAACCTTACCATTAAAATCTGACAAACCGCCAGCTTATTTACTTAAAACACATGGGCTATGGCAGTGAATCTTTCCACTAATGTGGCGTCATGAATCCTGCAGCATGGCCTGTTTTTGTAGTAGGGCCTTGAGTGGAGTGATAAGGACCTACTTTGGGCCCCTAGAATGGTCATTGTTACCTGCTGATCATTATTTAATTATGATTGTTTATGTTAATGTTGATTTCATAAATGAATCTGTTCTAAACAAACAAAACCTAACCAAACTTGCTGTATGATTTTGTAAATCGGTTTTATAAGAGAAAAGGCATTTGGGGAAGGCAGGCCGGGGTTTACGGGGAATCATGGGCATTTAGTGTTTTGAAGTTACAGTAGGTTAGGTAAAGTGTAGGTTAATGGGTACCTTACCTATAGTTATTTAGTGATGTTACACCCATATTTTTTTATCTTTTGGAATAGATGGTTAAATGCCGAGACAATTTAAAAAATGACCTGCCTTCCCCACATAGGTACCTTAATTAGATCAGTGTTCAATCTGTATTTCAAATAACTGTTGGTTATTTCATTTGTGCTTATCATTGATACAGTTCATAACAAAGGCTAGTTAAACAAAATTCCTGCGAGATATTATCGGATTAAATATCAATTTAGATTCGGTTTCATATATAAGTTATGTAACTTAAACGTCAAATTGAGTTGTGATCTTTTTACGCTTGTATTAAGTAGGCCTAGGCCTATAATAAATGAAACTAGGCTATCAATATTTATCTAAAAACAAAATATATTTTTATGAAATAAAACAAGCCTAAACAAATAAAAACAAAAAAAAACCAACAATCCAGGGAATGAGGGAATCGTACTATTAAAGTAGATCCGTATCACCCTACTGTTCTTTTTTAATTTAAAACAAAAACGGTAACAGCTGGTGCACCATGGGATGTTTACTTCAGTAGTACTATCCACAAAGTCGATGGTGAAATTCAATCAATAAAATTCCAATCATAAATAGGCATACAGGAGCCTATGTTATTGTTGATGAATGTGAGAGGTCAAACGATTATTTAATCTGACTTGATCGTATTTAAAAAAATTTCAACTATAGATAAATAGAAAACTATGAAATACATATACAGGGTCGATAATTCTTACTGTCAGGCTCAGAGTTAGCCATACCAAACAATGCTATATGTATTAATTAACTCTATGAAGTAAGTCTGTGGCGTACTTCCTTGGTTCAATAGTTTTGCAAAAGAAACATTAGAAACCAACCCAATAAGTGTAGGCTACATGAGGACTGAAAAGACTAAAGTAGAAGAATCACAAGTTGGCTTGTTTCTACAGGCATCTAAATTAATTGGTTTTGGTTCCCAGGCCGTGGTACGTCCGATGTTTAGCATTGTTTAAACCTCTAAAAAGGTTCATTCAATCGTGATGATAATTTTCCTTCTAGAAAGTTATGAAAATGTCTAATTTGTTTATTTCGTTTTTACAGCCCATCAGATCTTGAGCTTGACTGGAATAAACTTTCAAAGAAAAAGTATAATCGTAAGTAAAGCTTACTATGAGTTATGCGTTTTAAAAATGTATATAGGAAAATGTAAAATAATTAACGTAATATACTATTTTGCAAATAAAATCATTAGTAGAGTGTGAAGTAGTCATAGAAAAATGACTTTTAACACCCATTAACTCTAGTGTTCTTCAAAATTTTGTGTGTCTCAGGTATATGGACAAAATATATATAGTTTTATTAAATGATTTCAAATGGGTTTCAAGTAAAATCCTTTAAATTATTACAGTAAAACACAGACCCTTGTTCATACAAGACAGTTTGCCCCCAGAACTGTGAATTTAAATTAATAGTAGGCATATTCAATATGTACATTTGGCTGTTTTGTTTATTTTTAATTTTTGTATGTTTTGAGAACCTGAAAGTTGTTTCATGAGTACCAGGACGCAATAGACTCTTGAACATTTTTTGTTTAATTTACAGGGCTTTGTTGAGTTGACGATCGTGCCGCTTAGAGATACTCTTCGCTTCATTCGGTTAAACGCCAAACAGTGTCGGATCTACAGAGTTTGTTTGAACGACACTTATGAAGCCCCATTCCAATATTTCGATCCTTTCCTTGATATTTGTCAAGGGGATAGCAATGAGTAAGTGTTTCTGCTCAGTACTACTAATTCTGTTTTATACTTAAGTTAGGATATATCAGGATTGTTTTTAAAGCTATTGATTGTTGTAGTGTTCTTTATGTTGAAATATTAAAGTTTTGTTAGGTGTACTATTCAGTGGTTTAGAGTCTAGATTAATCTATTTGTGTATAACTCTAACTTCAGTTTTTAACTAGAATTATGTTTTCAAAAAAATATACAAACAATCTTATCCAAAAATTGTTTGATGTGAACCCCTCAAATTTACTTGATACTTGATTCGTCTCTGAATCCCGGATAGACTGTGTCAAACTAATTTAAATCAACAATTCCAAACCAAGGTAACTAACCAAGGCGTCAAACTAATTTCAAATTCCAAATATTATATATCCCTACCTCTTAACTCAATATCCTGTCCATTACTTTTTAAGTTTTTGCCGAAAAATTGTATCATGTATATATTTTGCTTTTAGTTTTTAAGATGTTGAAATGTCACCAGTTTTACCAGGTGTGCTGGGGAGGAAAATGTATTGTGACGAATAAAGAATCTGAATCTTACTAAAAAACACTTTTAGTAAATAAAAAAAAAATTAACACTTGTGCTCCAGGAGGCATTGATTTAACTATGCCTATTTTCATAACGTTTCCCCCCATGAAATGAAATGAAATGAATGAAATGAAAAAATATCTTTATTCATATGGTATACAGTTGCATACATTGAATGGCGTCACTAGGCTTAAAACTAAATAAAACTAATCTACAATTCATCGAAACCATAAAGTGTTTTATCAGTTAAGAAATGTTTAAGTTTTTTTTTTTAAATTTGGAAATATTATCAGTATTCCTCACCTCAGCTGGGAGTTTGTCCAAAAACCTTTTCCCCGCACAGGTGGTTTTTTTGTTAAAGAGCTCCAAGTTATGGACACTGACAGCAATTTCGTTTCTGTTCCGGGTAAAATAATTATGACAATCACCAAGTTTAGGGACCAAATTAGCATTAGAAAGTTTTTTTGTGTGTAAAATTGTATGAAAAACATAAATACTATACACAGTCATTATTCCCAATTTTGAAAAATATTGACGAGCGGAAGTATCCCATTCTAAATTTAACATAATTCTGATTGCACTTTTTTGAAGAGTAAGAATTCTATCCAGGTTTTGCTTAGAGGTACAGCCATAAATACTTATGCCAAAAGATATTGATGAATCGATAAAAGCAAAATAAAGAATCTTTAAGGTTTCTATTGAGCAAAATTTTTACATTCTATTAATAGCATGGATACCAGAAGTAATTTTGTTGACTACCTGGTCAACATGCTTATTCCATGTAAGATTTTTGTCTACAATTAATCCTAAAAACCTTGTTGTGGTGATTTCTTCCAATTTATTATTTTGAAATTGAATTACAGGCTGTACAACTTGTTTTCCCATCTTATGAAAATCCATATTCTAATTGGATTGATTTTCATCGGACATACTGACAGTAAGGATAGCTGTATAAAAACTCAAAAAGCCCCTTTCCATCTACTTTCATTCGAGCCATCCACCATTCATCTCCCACTAAGCTCTCTCACAGACGGTTGTAGGCCTACTCCTCATGCTCATGAGTTAGTTATATGTACCAGAACTGTCCGAGACGGCATTTGAATCAATGACGTTGCCTCCTGGCCCGGAAAACAACACCTTAGACTGCTCGGCCATTGGTCAGGCCTATCGATCTGCCTCATTAACAGCAGTGTCGTTTTGTCCCTCAGGTCACGACACTTTTTGTTGAATTATACTCATTTCACAAGGAAGTAAGGTAAAGAGGAAATATTAAATGGTACACTTAAGTAGTGTCACTGGTGTCTATTGAAAAGTCCAAAAGTCCGCCCCCCTCCCCCTCATGTACAACACTTGGGGTGGAGGATGACTCTGTGCTTTTAACGATAAAAGTTTCCACTTAGTGCTCGCTGCTCGGGTTCTTCTTTGCTTGTCACAAGTATGTTTCCAGCACAAAATACAAGAGAAGGGTGTTTCCTCTGTGCCTTACTTCTCTGTGCTTCTGTTAATAGTTGTAAGTGAAGGTATTGTCATGTTTCATAAGATGGCTGATGTATCGGAATCACGTCATACTTCTGATTGTTTACAGAAGGTCGCTGGAGCACTTTTCTCCCTCACATCTACATGCTGCCAACCAGATAGACCCAGACCATGCCAACGGTGAACTGGTCATCAGCATACCGTCAGAGGCATATGTAATACAACCTAATATATTACTATACAATTATTTTTGTCTCAAATCTTTCACAGTGTTTGTTCATAAAAACTGAAAGGCTGTACAAAGATTGTTCAGTAACAGTACTAGAGGAAAAAGAAATCAATATATGTTATACACTAAAAGATCTTGTAAATGCACCCCGTTAAACTTTTAGTTGAATTTTTTTGGTAGCAAAAAGTTTAGATACATTATGACAAGAATTCAAATAGGCTTAAAAAGGGTTGCCTTCGGACGCTCAGGGCCTCTTTATGTACAGCTGAAGTTAAATTACGCAACTGCTGTAAAAGACTGGCGTTGCCCGTAAAAAATGTCAAAAGCTTGCTTAATATACGAATTAGTATTGAATTGAACTGGTTGTATTTTAGTGGAAATAGAGTGAAGAATAATTAGTGTAGAATGAAATAAGATGACTTATGTTACTTTTTCTTAACCAACACCACATTTTAGCCATGATAAATAATTATTAAAACCCAATGATAAAAAACAGTTATGTCCAATTTTGAATTGTTTTGTCCTTTAGTTGCAGTTTGTAAATGACAAGTTGTTGTGGTTGTTGTTGCAGGCAGTGGTGGGGGAAGGTAGGCCGCTGAGGGTAGGAGTGGAGTTTTCCCTGGAGCAGCCCCAGGGAGGTGTTCACTTTGTAATTCCTGACTGTGAAGGAACTCTAGCAGAGGTAACTTAATTTTATTATATTTGCATGTATTATCACTTTTGTGTATTAATCTGCTAAGATTCTAGTAAAATTATGAAGACTGTCAGATTGTAAAACAATTTCCTTTTGTATTGTAAAAGTTTTGTATTGTAATTTTTATGTCTAGTGTAAGATAATTCAATTTTGTGATTCCTAATGTTGGGTACTTAAAGAAATCTTACTTAAGTGTTTTAATTGTCAAATATCATTATCCTCTGTTCAAACACCAACAACAAAAAGAAAACAATAAATTCTCGAATGATAATATTTTTTATAAAACCCAAATTTTGTTTTAATATTTCAAAATCAAAGCTTTTGAATCAAAATTCATGTTTTTGGCCCCTGGACTACATTGTTAAGACAATAATAGGTTTTTTACATACCTCAGTCAAATAGTCCAAAAATGATATTGCTCAACAGCTTACATGTTTCGTTGCGAAGACAACATTTTCAAAGCTTGCAACTCGTCAAAAACACATTTAAAACACGGACATGAACACAGAAAACATTAATATGGTATGAATACACGATAAACATTTAGATAGCGTTATCATAATACTGATTTGGTTTCTTTTGAGTCTGCTACCAGCCCCGCGCCGCGCGGGACCAAATCAGTATTATGATAGCGCTATCTAAATGTTTATCGTGTATTCATACCATATTAATGTTTTCTGTGTTCGTGTCCGTGTTTTAAATGTGTTTTTGACGAGTTGCAAGCTTTGAAAATGTTGTCTTCGCAACGAAACATGTAAGCTGTTGAGCAATATCATTTTTGGACTATTTGGCTGAGGTATGTAAAAAACCTATTATTGTCTTTTGGATCACTCGGTATTAGGCTTTAATGAGTTAAGAAACCATTGATGATGTGTGTAGTTCTTGATAAACATGCGATAGTAATTTTTGAAACAAAATTCAGAACACATACACATGCACATGTTAAAAAAATTATGACATCCTCTTCAACAAATAACCAATATATCTGTTTAGCGAATATCATGTAGTGGATTGAAACTCCTGTTAAAAGACATAGAAATAACTTGACGTCAAGTAAATTTCACCAGTTTTCTTGAATATTCTGTTTGTTCCAGAGGGGGGCACACATGTTCACCTACCAGTATGAGAACTCGTCTCGGCTGTGGTTCCCGTGTGTCGACAGTTTTGCTGAATATTCTGTTTGTTCCAGAGGGGGGCACACATGTTCACCTACCAGTATGAGAACTCGTCTCGGCTGTGGTTCCCGTGTGTGGACAGTTTTGCTGAATATTCTGTTTGTTCCAGAGGGGGGCACACATGTTCACCTACCAGTATGAGAACTCGTCTCGGCTGTGGTTCCCGTGTGTCGACAGTTTTGCTGAATATTCTGTTTGTTCCAGAGGGGGGCACACATGTTCACCTACCAGTATGAGAACTCGTCTCGGCTGTGGTTCCCGTGTGTCGACAGTTTTGCTGAATATTCTGTTTGTTCCAGAGGGGGGCACACATGTTCACCTACCAGTATGAGAACTCGTCTCGGCTGTGGTTCCCGTGTGTCGACAGTTTTGCTGAATATTATGTTTGTTCCAGAGGGGGGCACACATGTTCACCTACCAGTATGAGAACTCGTCTCGGCTGTGGTTCCCGTGTGTCGACAGTTTTGCTGAATATTCTGTTTGTTCCAGAGGGGGGCACACATGTTCACCTACCAGTATGAGAACTCGTCTCGGCTGTGGTTCCCGTGTGTGGACAGTTTCGCCGAGCCGTGCACGTGGAGGCTGGAGTTCACCGTGGACGAGTGTATGACGGCAGTCTCGTGTGGCGACCTGATAGAAGTGGTGTATACACCGGACATGAGACGCAAGACTTTCCACTACGTACTCACCACACCAGCCTGCGCTCCCAATATAGCACTGGCCGTGGGGTAACTTACTTATATATATTGTGTAAATAATGAATAGTTTGTGTGACACATTTGTGGCAAAAATAATTGAATCACAATTGGAATTGCTAATACATTATCACTACGCTCTTCTTGATAAAGTAGAGCCTCAATTAATCGTCACCCACGGTAGTCGTGATTCAAAAGGTTTTGGAATGAATTAAACCCTGTACAAGTGAATGATAATATATGTTTATATTTTAATTACTTACATTTTATAAAAGTAGTACAAAATGTTAGTACAGTGAAATAATATCATATCGCATTTAAAAATAATCTAAGTAGCCTACTGTAGCGGGGTGACGGATAACAGAATCTGATAGTTGAAAGAGGTTGACGGTCATCGAAGTTCTACTGTACTAGACGACATCATTGAAAGCGTGTAGAAGTGCACCAAACTATTCCTAACCGCCTAATAACTTAACTTTGAAGTTAAGGGTGTAACATAGAGCACAAAGGCCTATGGTTTTGGTTTTACCTTGAGCATTGGCGAGGACAGCAGGCTTAGGGCTTAACTGTGTGGTGTATACTTTAATAATTTAATACAAATTCAGTGGTAGAGTCCAAACTGGCAAAGGACACCTAAACTTTACACTATACCGTACACAAAACATGAGAATATTTCACTGTCTCTGACAGCATTTTCAAATGAGGAAGGTATGAGATGGTTAAAATACTCTTAATTTACATCTTATAATTTATTTATAAAAGATAGTACTCTTTTGGAAATATTCCAATAGGCCTATCATGTCTGTAGTGTTACATTTTGTGTATCATCTGCCTGTTTGGACTCTTTCCCATTCAGGTAAGCCTGTCATTTAAAAAAATCCAAATAACCTAATAACTTTAATTTTGTTGTATTGATAATTTTAATTAAAACTCATAATGCTACATGTTCTGAGTAAAGTAAACCCCCTGTTAACCACACTAAATCAAAACTCAAAGTAATGAAACCCTCATGTAAACTTGAAATCAATTAGAAAATAAACTTGGCAACAAGATTTGTCCACTGTGGCGAGATTAGTAGGTCCCAGCTAGGCCAACGGAATGTAATGGAGCAGACAACAACATGGATCTCATATTGTGATATAGATAAAGAACAAAAACAATTGTAGATTTATTTAAAAATTTAGTGCACTTGATGGAGTGTAACTAACCCATGTTAAAATGGTTATTAAATTTACTTATTATTCTAGTATAGAATAGATTGTAAATAAATACTTGTTAAAAAAAAATTTTAAAAATTATATTTTGTGTTTACAGTTATTTTATATGTTAAGATGGCAGTTAGAAGAATAATATAAAAACGACTGTTCTCTTTGTATAGACATAGCCTTTAAATTCCTACTATTTAGTAACAGAAAAAATAGGTTCTGAAATTGCTTTACTGACTTTTTTTAGTTAATCAGGGTTTTAATATTCAGTCACGTTTCCAAATATTAGCATGATTAGCCTATTTAAAATTACTACAATTATAAACTTGTCGACCATGTTTTGTCTCCAGTCCATTTGAGATATTCGTGGACCCATACATGCATGAGGTGACTCACTTCTGCCTCCCTGGCCTCATTGAGCCACTCAAGGTGTCCGCCCGCTACATGCACGAGGCGTTTGAGTTCTACGAGGAGACTCTGGCCAACCGCTACCCTTACCCTTGCTACAAACAGGTGTTTGTGGACGAAACAGACATTCCCGTGGCCGCCTATGCGACACTCAGCATACTCAGGTTGTGCAACGGATAGTTTGATTAATTTTGTTGTTAGCTAAATTAGTTTTTTAGTGCTATAAACTAAACAATGGTTCTAAAGCAGAGAAGGAAATTATACATAAAACTTTAAACAGATTTTGACATTTCTCGCGATGAAACTAGTAACCATAAGATTTTTAGGTTATTCTCTTGTCTTCAATGACAGTTGATGGCAAGCATTGCTATCTGGAAGACCTAGTAACTTACCTTAAGCCAAAAATGTGACAAGCTATTTTTGTTTCAGATTAGAAAACATCAATCAGCATTTACTTTCAATATATTTTCTTATATGTAATTGAAATCTGTACAATATGTCTAAATCTACTGTTTATCACCAGCACGAATCTGCTCCATTCGGTGGCCATTATAGACCAGACGTACATCACCCGCAAGGCGATGGCGCTGGCCATTGCGGAACAGTTCTTCGGCTGCTTCATCTCCATGCAGAACTGGTCGGACATCTGGTTACCGAAGGGAATCGCGACATACCTCACCGGACTGTACGCCAAGAAATGCTTCGGAAACAATGCCTACCGCGAGTGGATACATTCTGTGAGTAAAAGAATTATCATCACTAAGTTGTTCAGTAGGCCTAATCAAATAAGTAATATTAGCTGATAGCAAAATCATTTCCATCAAGAAATATAAATTTTGAACAGTGTGTTTCAGGATAAATTAAACAGTTAATTCTGTCAAAATATTGGCAGACTCGGTCTCTTTGAGGATGGTGTTTAAAGATTGAACCTCGGGAACCCTAGTTGCATACTCTACCATTAGACCATCATATTTACTTCAATCTTTAACTGTACATTTCATGGGCATGATACGCTTCAGAGCAGATCAAATCTTGTATATGCGATAATTTGATAAAAATAATTAGGATATTTTATTGTCACTGATAGCATTTATGACTATAAGCATTGTTGTATTGTTCAAAGAAATACTGAAAACCAACATTCGGTATCCAGGTTGTATACAGCTTTAAAACCTTAAATGTGTTTCATTTTCAGGAGCTGCTGGAGGTGGTGAAATACGAGGAACAGTTTGGCGGCATCATCATGGACCCGTCCCAGGCACCCGCACCCATCCCCAGTGTGGGTCCAGGGCCTCACCCGCCACCCAGACCACCCGACCCGGGCTTCTACTTCCCCATCAAGAACCTGCATACACTCTCTCCCCGCTACTTGGAGGCTATGAGGCGCAAGGCTCATCTGGTCATACGCATGTTGGAGCACAGGATAGGATATGAACTGCTGTTGCAAGTAATTTAACACAGATATGTCCTCTCTTTACGTCTTAGGACGCTAGGCTCTGGCTTGGTACCATATTACTTCAAGCTAGGCCTAGAAGGTTGTGACGTTATAACGCAAGTGCTTAAAGTCAAAGTCATCTTGGTGATTGATGGGATTCGAACCTAGAACTCTGGGGACTGAAGCCTCGCTCTTCACAACTAGACCAGCTTGCTCCATAAACATACTGTATACATTTATTGAGCTTAGCTATTGCAGCTTTGCAGTTGATAGTGTGTGTGTTGATATCTCATTACCTCAAAGAACAACTACTTTTACTTATTCCAATCCTGGTCTTCTTCTCCATTAGATATCATCATTCACATGAGATTGGCTTGTTTCACAATATTTATTTAGTATTTTAATTGGTAAATATTTTATTTCATTTGCTTTGTATATTTATGAGGTTGATGAATTGAATATCAATCGAGACTGAAGCCAAAATGTATTCTCTAGGTACTGAACAAGCAGTTATCCCTGGCATCTAATGCAGCCAGTCAGAAACACTCGGCAGGGATGTGGTCTCACATGCTCATCAGCACCAATGTCTTTACCAGGGCTATTTTCACCGTCACTGGTGAGTGGGTTATTCTTATAAGCTTAACGAACATCACAGATGTTTAATGTGGGTGATTTTGATGATGTAAGATGTAGGTGTCTGCGGGCCAGACTTTTTACTTTAGGTCAGGTCAGGTTGTGCCGAACATACCTTTGGTTGTCAGGCCAGAATTGGATCGGGCCAAAATCGGTTTGGTTGAAAAGTATTAAAGTAAAAGTTTTTTAAACGTTAATTTTAGTACCAACAGTACAACCAGCTTTTACAATGTTGTACCTTGTATCGGGAAATCAAAGTGAAATTGTGAATATTTTCTGTGATCAATATCAAGAACGTCTTCTGCAGTCACTGCAAAGCTGTAACATCTTTCCAAGTCACAGCTAATATCATGAATGTCTTCTGCGGCTGCAGAGACATGATTATCGTCTCCTGGTATTGCGACAAAACTGTGTACATTACTCACATTTAGGTATAATCAAACATCAGAACTTCTATTCGTCAATTGATTGCACATCTTCACAGACGCTTTTTGCGATCATTAAAATAAATGCTCGCAAACTGTATGTCCAGCCCGAACTGACCCCTCATCTGGCCTGAGAACTTGATTTTTTTCTATCTAATTACTACTGTTTTGTCTGTATTTTAGAAAGTGTGTAACTATGTTACAGTAGAGTTAAGATTTTACCTTGTTACTTCTAGTAATATTTCTGTACAGATTCAATGAGGTATAGCTTATGTAGCCAGTTGTATTGGGAGTTTATCAACAGCATGTTTGTTGTGCAGGGAAAGACATGGCTGTGTTTGTAGATCAGTGGGTTAGGACTGGAGGACATGCCAAGTTTCATCTTAGCTTTGTATTCAACAGAAAGAGGTAAGAACTTGTAGTTTGGTGGTTACACTAATATTGTTATAGTGTATATCGACAGTTGTGAAGATTGTTCGTTTTCTGTTTTACTTGGCTTTTCATTATCCTATACAAAAGTTAATAAGTTAGTAGTTAGTAGTTGGTAGTAGTTAGTGAGTCGGTGGCTCAGTCGGTAGCGTCGCGGACTTCGGGCCCAAGGCAGCGATGTCGTGGGTTCGGAACCTGGTCACTGCCGATTACATTTTATCAGTACAGTTCACCTTTGTACTGTACCGGCTCACTCCTTGCTTTGCTGTAAACGATCCACGCACGGGCGCTTAGTCTATGTGGACGGGCAAATGCAAGGTTAAAAGAGGCCGCCAACCTCTTTAAAAAAAAAAAAAAAAAAAAAAAAAAAAAGTGGAAGTGTAATTAATATTCTAGCATTTTTACTCAGATTGAAGTTTAAATAGTTGTGTTTATTTGCTTATCAGATTTTTAAGTTTCAATAACTCCCCTGTACAGAAGATGTTATTGTTGTCCGAAGATTAAGGTCTCCAACGAGCTTTTGCTCTAGTTGAAATTTGGCACTAGTACCATGTTATCGTCACTACTATTCTAGCTATATACCACTTATATGCAACGATTAGTTTTGTCATAGAAGACGATAACGATGTGAGGTAAAATGGACGCTCCTGCCAAATATGAATCTCTTCTGTGATAAGGTTTCTGTCAGAAGGGAATCAACAATCAACAGCTATTGAAATCTGTTGCCATTTGACGGGCGTGCTTGCAGAATAGTGTTTGGGTGTGAAAAACTGGTTAAAGAGTATCAGGTTTAACTGTTATCCTAGGTACCGTAGTAGAAGTAGTAGGGGGCTTCATATTGAATCTCCCAAAATTTAGCTTCACAGTCTTAAATAAACTGATGAACAGCCGCAACCAGCCTACATCATTCAAAATATTGAAAAATATTGTGTGTGCAAATCTTTACAACCACTTCAGAACTCCCTCCATTCCTTGTGTGTATTTTATAAATAAATAAATAATAGCCTAAAAAATATATAAATTAGAAATCGTTTCTCTGATACATACCAGTTTTTATCAGAACAGCTATTGTCACTTATACACCCAAATACTTTCCTACATTCATGTCTGCAATGGCACAAAGTCTTAAGTATTGATGCCTTAGACCACAGCAATCTTATCATACAACAAGATTCTTACTTGGCGCCGGCAGGAGTAGCGATTTTCCCTCACACCGTTATAGGCTGCTTTGCAAGTCTAGTCGTCATATAGGGATAGGAACCAGCTAAAATAATAGTGGAGGAAGTAAAGAAAGTGCCGATATTTATATTGGACCAGCTTGCTTGGCATTGACATAAGCTCAACGAAAACCTTAATAGACAGGAAACCCTCATAATTTCCTTGGATTAATTATTAACTCTGAATACGTACCTAACTGTTGTCAAACCATTGATAGGAACACGGTTGAGTTGGAAGTGAGACAGGACGCCACGCAACAACGAGGGATACGCAAGTATGTCGGACCTCTGCTAGTCACAATACAGGAGCTGGACGGAACATTCAAACACACACTGCAGATCGGTAAGTGACTACTGACGCACCTAGACACATAGCTAGACGGCAAGTTAATCTAATACACAAACAAATAGATAATTATTGAAACAGATTTGATTACAAAATGGATAATATTTCTGTTTATTAAGCCCTGTTCACACGGGGCAAGTTTACAAGCTACACGCAGGCTTTTTTAGACGCAGCTAGTAAAATAGCTCAGTATGAACGACGTACTCGCTCAAAAGCTGCTTGTAAAAAGCTCTGGAAAAAGTTGACGCTGCCGCTAATTTAAACGCCAACTCGCCAGCTTTTGAGCGAGTATGCGTGTAAAGTAGCCCAGTGTGAACACAGTTGCTTGTGATTGTGCGCATGTTATTTAAAGATGTCGGAGGATTTGGTTCAAGCTAGCTACTGAGCGAGTGGAAAAAGCATCGTGTGAACTACAAGCGCACTCGCCAGCGTCTTTCTTCATGTCTGCTAGTTGGCAAGTGGACAAGCTCCTGAGAAACAAATACAACCAAACTCGCCAACTCGCCGGCTTCTTACACGCTGGCGAGTAGCATGTAAAATTGTACCGTGTGAACGAGGCTTTACCGTACTTGATTCCATGAAAGTAAATGCATTGTTATTGATTTTGGCTTAAAAACCACCCTGTTATTGTTTGTTAGCATTTAATTTAAACTAAAGTATTTTATTTACAAAAATCAAATGTTCTCGAGATGTTGGCGGATTATTGGAATTCCCTGAGCCTCAGATGCTGGACTAAAGAAATTTCAGTAGTTCAATGTACAAATTTTAAATTTTTCATTAAATTAGCTGTAAACAAACGCCAACAAACTGCTTACAAATGCAGCTAAAAAAAATGCTTAGGAAGTTTTTTGTAATGTACAGTATTTATACAAATTGTTTTTTCCAACCTCGATCATTCATTGTATAGCAGTAAATTTTCTCGCCTCTGCAGGTCTGTATTCAACGATTATAGGCTGTAAAATAATAGCCCTCGCGTAAAAGCATGTGTTTCTTGTATTGAATTGACAATTTGAATGTTTCACAGAGGGGACTGTGGCCAAGGCTGATATCACGTGTCATTCTAAGAGCCGCAGAAATAAGAAGAAGAAGATCCCTCTGTGTACGGGCGAGGAGGTGGATATGGACCTGAGCGCCATGGAGTGAGTATAAGGGGCAACATTTTTATGGTTATTCATTAAATTTAGTGATGGTCGGATCCGGATATCGGACTACGGGATCCGCCGGATCCGAGCTAGAACCGGCACCGGATCGGATCCTACAATTCTCCATAAAAACAAAATAAAAATTTCTAATTTACAGTTCTTTATTTTCTGTGACCATTAGGTAGCAGCAGCCCTTCAATATAATAAATCATAAGTTATAAGTTTTCAAGCTCCAAGATAGTTTGAAATACAGGTACCAAACATAAAATTACAAAATTTTATGTTTTGGGGGTCAAAAATGGGAAAAACCAATGTTCACCATTAAAACCACATTCTCGTAGTCCAATCATGCTGGTTAAGAGATCATTTATTATTTAAAAAAAATTTATTTTGTCTCCTACCCAAAATCTGTATCAAGATGTTCAAGATGTTTACGCGTAGAGAATTACAGTAAATGTATGAGAGTGAGAATCTTTTACAAGAGGAAAAGATTCTCACGAAGAGCTACAGACTACCTTCTCCCAACTCACCATACACCTCAATACAGCAGGAAGCCTACCTACATGGGACGAAAGGTTTTCAATAGCCTGCCCACCCACTTGAAGATCTTAAGAAATCAAGACTTGAAGAAGAAACTCAAAGACTGGCTAATGAATCAACCATTCTACTCTCTAAAGGAATTCTTTGTTCAAAATTATCAAGCAAGATGAAAATTCAAATAACTATGTATATGACACTATTGTATTTCTAAAAGAAATCTCAATAAAGAAAATTGATTGATTGATTGAAATGTGTTCCAGTGCTGATTCCCCTGTTCTGTGGATCCGCCTGGACCCCGAAATGACACTGTTGAGGTCTACAGTGATAGAGCAGCCTGACTACCAATGGCAGTACCAGCTTAGGTAAATACAACTAGATTATTAGATTACTTGTGAGTTTAATATTTTCTATCATGGAGGAGTTTTGTGCATTAACAATATTATTCTGGGATACCTTCAGTGTTTTGTTACACAGTAGAACCTCAATAACAAGACTCGTACTTACTTACTGCCGTGGCTCTTGGTACCTAATTATAAGAATTTTGATGAAAGGAAAATGTCTAGAAGAACTGCAAAATTTTAAATTCCTAGGACTTGTACTTGACAAAAATTTGAATTGGAACCTTCATATTAAACATCTTGGCCGTAAAATTTCATCAGGGATTTTTGCTCTGAGAAAAATGTCTAAATTATGTCCTTTGGAAACATTAAAAATAATTTACTTTGCTTTTATTCACTCCCACATCTCCTTTGGCATAATTTTATATGGTGCAACCTCTCATGAAAATTTGGAACAAATATTATTATTTCAAAAAGAAGCACTTCGTATCATGTTAAACATTCAAGATTGGAGAACCTCAGTTAAAGAACAATTTTCAAAACTTGGTATTCTTACTGTTTTTGCCCAATATATCTTTGATTTGATCTTGTTTGTAAAGATTAATTTACCAAAATTTGAAACCTTGGGTTCATGCCACAGCTATCGGACAAGGCATAGACACAAAATCAGTTTTTCAAATCACAACTTAAAATTCTTTGAAAATAAACCTTCATATGCTGGGATTAAATTTTATAACCTTCTACCAGATAATATTTTACAAATAAAAGACAAAAATAAATTTTTAAAACAGCTAAAAACTTTTATGTTATCCAAGCCCATTTATTCCCTAGATGAATTTTTTGGTTGAATGTGTTGTAAATTTGTAAGTTATAAGCTTTTGTATTTTTGTTTAGCCTTTTTATATAAGTTATGGTTAGTTTTAACAATATAATTTAATTGTATAACGCCATTCTGGTGCAACATGTTGTACTCCTGAATAAAGATTATATGACTATGACTACCTAAGGAGGTACTTTGCCTTGCCAACTCACTGCCTCCAGATTTCTCGATCAATTGCTTCCTCATGGGGATTATTAAATACAACTTGATATCAAGGTTGACTTGTTATCGAGGTTTGCAAGGGGTTGACATGTGATAAGGTGTCAAACAAATACTAGGGGATTTGGAAATTGATGTGGTAGTTAGAATAAGGGCATAGGCCCTTATTCTGGAGAATGCAGAAATGTATATTCTTCGTGTCCTTTTATACAAACCACACTTTGTTTTGATTTTTTGATTTTTCATGCTACAATTTTATTTGCAGTCTAATAAGACAGCTGGTGGATTATTTCCCACCTGTTCCATTGATGTTCTCAAAATTCTGTTTTGGTTATAGGCCTTTATTCTAGCTACCACCTCAAATAATTTCACTTATTATCAAGGTTATTGTTTATGATGTTCTTCTACTGTAATGTAGTTAGAGTGACATATTTACCACGACTCACTCTTGTCATGTCGTTTGTAAACTTAAGTAAATTTTGTTGAAAAATAAAGACCAATCTTGTTAATACATTTCCTGGCTGTGGTAGGCACGAGCGAGACGTCACAGCTCAGTTGGAGGCCATCACAGCTCTAGAGAGATTCCCCACTCCTCCTTCTAGACTGGCTCTCACAGACACCATAGAGAACGACCAGACCTACGTACAGGTGCGATGTCGGGCAGCTCACTGTCTCACCAAGGTAAATAATGCAGTATTACGGGGCTAGAAACATGTTCTTTTTTTCCCCTAGAGTAAAAAATAATCAACTGGAGTCTAAGACATCGGAAGAACATTGTTTTGTTTTTAAAATTTACCTGTTAATTTTGCCGAAGAATAGTTACGGGGTAAGTTTTTTTCCATCAATATCTAAATTATTTTTGTGTTATTATCGTATCAGCCTGTATGTTCCACTATAGTAATACCGTACATTTACTTTGAAATGTTGACCATACAAATGTAGGTATTTTAAGACAAGTATGAATGGGGATGAGTGTAGGATGAGTGTCGCGATCTTGTAGTCTTGTCAGTGACTAAGGCTGACATATTCCTTAGACACAGCTGTTAATTAATAGCCCATACAGCCAATGGCAACTAAGGGACCTTCAGTTTATAGTGGAAACCGAACCACATTTTTGTCTTGTAATTAACGAATTGGACTAATTATCAGAATAGTAACATCAACATATGTATACCATTTATCAATATCAAAACAAAGTATGATTATATATGTCAATTCATTATTGTCTTGGTGGAGTAACGTGTGGTTAAATAACTATAACAGTTGTTCGTTATTGTTTGTGGAGACAAGACTTGTTTTGGTTATTTAAAAATATCAATCTGCTTATTTCTCTATATTTTCTCTAGTCATTGCAATGTTGGCTTAAACCATTGACTATTGGATACTGAAGTAGACAGCCCATCTTTATGGACCAGCTGTCACCAATTTGTTGTACAAATATGTTTGAGCAAGTTACAGATTGTGCTAGTGTTTGAAATTGCACTTTTAAATTACTTGTTACTGAAATAGTAGACACACATAAAAGATGATATAGCTAATAAGTTGTCCTATCAGTGTGACTTTGTAGAAAAAGTTAACGTATTTGACTCAGTAATTTAAACATCAGCACACTGTCGGTGACACAATTCAGCTGCCTCCGTGTGTATTCTCAAACTCGCATTTAACATTTCTAGTTCTATTAGAAGTCAAAGCTTGAATCTAGTTTAGACTAGGTGTAATCTTTAATGTCACAATCAACATTGTAACGTTTGTTGTAGGCTTGACATTATTATAAAGTGTAATTGTAGGTTGCCAACGCCATGGTGAGCACCTGGGCAGGACCCCCGGCTATGCTGGCGATATTCCGCAAACTCTACGGCTCCTTCTCCTGCCCTCACATCATCAAGCAGAACAACTTTCAGAACTTGCAGCATTACTACTTGCAAAAGGTGAAATTTATTATCAGTTTGTGTAATTTTTTTGTTAACTAAGTCAACGCTTAATTTTGAAATAGAGGCTGCAAACAGTTACAAGATTTTTTTCTTAGTATTTTTCTTTTACTTATGACATCATAAAAGTTGTTACATAATTTATACACTGTATTGAGGCTACTATTTTACATTGACAGTTAGAAAACCCTGCTAATTGTAAAATTTATTCATGACATAATTATTTGTCTAGAATAGCAGTCATTTGTAGTCAAATGCATAGGGTCATATTGTTTACAGTCTAATGATATTTGTCTTGACAGACTATCCCAGTGGCGATGGCTGGCCTCCGCAACAGTCACGGCATCTGTCCGCAGGAGGTGATCCGCTTCCTTCTGGATCTGTTCAAGTACAATGACAACAGCAAGAACAGATTCTCGGACAACTACTACAGGGCCGCTCTGATAGAGGCACTGGGAGCGTCTGTCACTCCGGTCATCTCAGTGGTACAGCAAGGGTGAGTGTCACAGTGTTAACCACTTTCTTTATCAGTTTCTTATTCATCCTGCGGTACATCTTGGTTTTTCCTTCATCCTCCCTCGTATCTGTTTCCTCCTTTCTTCTCCCTCAATTCCTTTATTCATATCTTATTTGTTCCAGCATCTTGGTTTCTCCTTCATCCTCCATTGTATCTCAGTCCTCGCATCTTGTTTTCTTCTTTTATCCTCCCTCTCATCTTTGTTTCTCCTTTCTTCTCACTTATTTTTGATTACACCTTCATTTACCTTCACATCTTACTTTTTCCTTCATTCTCCGTTGCATCTCAGCCCTCACATCTTGGTTTCTTCTTCTTTCCCCCTTACACCTACTTTGCGTTTTGCAAACATGAAACAACAGCAAATCGTGATGGATCAACTTTACAGGTGAGTCTCGGCACACAACATGTGCACATAGACCCGATTAGCTGTGAATAAATCAGGTTTTTACAGATTCAAAGATGCATCATGTCAAATTCAATTGGATGAAACAAAAGTATACTAATGAAATCATTAATTTAATTTTATATTTAATAGACAAATTTATGTTGTTAGCCTCCGGATCACTGGTATAGTAAATAAATAATGGCTTAAATAACTTTTACCGTCAAAGTGACCCCTAGTACTCGACTTCAGCAGTTTCATTCCCAAGGGGAACTTCTTCAGGCTGTGAAGGACATCAAATTTCATTCCAGAGGAAGTCGTCAAATTTGCAGTTGTCGTCCGTTGTGTATCGTGTTTCCCGGTGCCAGGTTTTTGTAATGTTAATTTGTTTTGTTTGTGCATTCGTTAGTGATTTGTATAAATGTGACTTTGATGGATTTTTTAACTTTGACGACTTCCTCTGGAATGAAATTTGATGTCCTTCACAGCCTGAAGAAGTTCCCATTGGGAATGAAACTTCAGTAGTCTTTAGACTACTAGTGATCACTTTGAGAGTATAAGGTATTTAAACCATTATTTATTAAGAAACATTGATAACAAGTTAGCAAGCATATAATTTATTCCTCACAAATCACTCCATTTCCAGTACGGAGATAACCGCGGAGTCGCTGTCAGCCGACACCAAGCTGGTGTTGGAAGAGATCACGAGGAACCTGAACCTAGAGAAGCTGCTTCCCTGCTACAAGCTGACCGTGACTCAGGCTTGTCTACGAGCTATACGCAAGCTGCAGAAGTTCGGCCACCTGCCTAGCATCCCCACGCTCTTCCGTACCTATGCCGCCTACGGACAGTTTGTAGGTCAGTGTTACTAGTACTACGGATGAAGATATAGTTGAAAGGTTCACCAATTAGGCGACTACGAAATGTTGAAATCAATCAATTGCAATTTAACAATTTATGTTTGTTTATTTTGAAGATGAAACACATAGAACATACTTCATTCTAACTTCTCTCATTCAATTTTTTTTCTCGGTTTGTAGAACTACAGTAAATAATCAATGTCAAAACAGCATGGGTGGTTCAAATAACATTTTTTGTGGTTGGAGTTTGACCATTAACTAAAGGCAACTGGATTTTAACAAATTCAATACACTAACAAATTACATTTAAACATATTGCATATTGCAATACAATGTAATATTGTGCTCTACATAACTCAGTCAAAGTAAGGTCTTCTCCTTCCAACTTCCTAACAAGCCTAACATTGGCCATTTCATTTTTCACTGCCCATCGGCCTCTTAAACAGCTCTTTACTTGTCAAACCTTGTATTGTATCGTACAAGCTATAATTTGACTGTTCAAGATGAGTTAAATGCTCACATTGTAAGAGCACTGTTATTTCTTTAAAAGTGTTTTTAACAGTAAAGCTGTGCAATCAAAAGGTTGGTGTTAATCTTTCAAATGGTTAATCCCTTCATTACCTACCAAACTTGTCCCATTACTCAGATGTTTTACTGGTCCATTGGTGTTTGAACTTTTCTTATTATGTTTACTGTTTTGTGACAGATGTGAGACTGACTGCACTAGAGATGCTGGTGGATTTCACAGGCCTGGATGGAAAGTGGTCAGACCTTGAGTATCTGCTGGACATTGCAGAGGAAGATCCTGACCCTGCAGTAAGTCTCTCTCTCCCTCCCCTCACTTCTACACCAGTTTGTATCTTAAGCCCCCCATACATTAGGCGATTTGGTCGCCCGTCGCCAATGTATGGGTATGCTTCGATCAGATTGCCGGTGATTTTGACATCCCCCGGTGACTACCTGATTGCTCGATTTTCCCTTGCAATCCACCAAATTGCCGGCGATTCGGAGATTGCTGGGTGACAAGATTGCGAAATGTGTGGGACCGAGCAATCATCTTAAGCGATATTCACCCCGCTCATGCACACTGATGTCTGACTGTCGTCACCTGATGTAGTATTATAATCTTTTAATTTCCTTTCTGATGTATTTAAAGCAGCTGTTAATTCATTATAAATATTTAATGTTAAATTGTTGTTATTGTTGTTATTCAAGCTCCATTCTCACACTGATCAACAAATTCTGATTAGATTGCCACATGATATCGCCTGACTGATTGCTGGAGTAACAAATATGTTTCGATCGGTGATATGATTGCCGGCAATACAATCGCTCATCGACGGGTTACCAAATCGCCTAATGTATGAGTGGCTTTAAATAAATTAATAACGTCTTTACTAGACTGCGCTCCTCCGCTGCATATCAGTTTTCAAAACAACTATTGTAAATCAAACTAGTGTTATCTACAATCAGACTTCATTTATCAAAAATATTTTTAAACTAAATCTTAAAAGTACTACTGGAAGCAACGGTTTTCAGCCCAATTGCTGTTGTTGTCGGTTGTCTGTTGTACAATGTGGGTCTGAAATAAGAGAAACTCAGTTATATTAAGATTATTTTTTTGGAAAGTGAAGCCTCTTACCATGATTTGATCTTTGCTTGATAACCTCATCACGGACAGAAAGCCTTTTGCAAAGGTAGTCTGGCTTACAGAAACTCAGAACTATCTTTACCATGTAATATCTGCCTTTTAGAACCTATACTGGCTCACTTAAAGGCCAGTAGACTAACTCAAAGGTAAAAGTAACATTTAGTAACAGAGGACAACTTTAGTGCCACCTCTATCTCACTATCTCTATGTCAATTATGTCACCATCTATATTTTGGGTTTCATTAGTCTTTGAAGTACAACATACTTCATTGACAAATTTGCAATCTCAATATGTAAACAGAATTAAGTGTTTTGGAACCACATCTGTTGAAATTTGAATCTGTTCATGATGCTCAAAATAATGGAACGCTGAAGTCCGGGATAGCAAAGTGAACAGCTTTATTCAGTTAAAAGAAACATTATGTAGAGAGTTTCAGTTGAATGTGTGTTTGTGATGTGCAGGTGAGGTTCGGACTGGTGCGGCTGTTGTGTGACAATCCTCCCTTCCACCACGCAACATCTCACCGTCACAGGCTTGACAGGGAGGACCTGGTACACAGACTGTGGAACCTTTTCAAGTAAGCCGCGAACTTTACGATATACATTGGTTGACCTTTCAATAAGCATTATGCTTCACTTGACACTAGTATAGAGGACAAATTTTTATTTTTAGACTTTTGTTAAATATGGAAGTTTCGTGTTGAAAGACATAAATTACCAAAAAACCAGAAATATATACAAAAATTGTAAAGAAAGTCAATGGTTTAATAACCAAACACTGATTGTGGACGAGTGATATTTTTGCCTCGTAGAGCGATAAATCATTTGCGATTATTTTGCAGCTGCATGCTGTCTCATGACACCCGGATGAGATGCTCCTTGGTAGACTTGTACTTTGTACTCTATGGCAAACGGAAACCTACCAGCCTGCCCATACCGGAGCTGGCGGCCCTCCTCAAGCCACAGAAAGTTGAAACTTTCATGGACACTGAGGTAAGTATTTATTTTCATGATGATTTTAAATGTTTTTTTCATGTAAAGTTGAAGTAGGTAACTTGAAGATTAGAGAAGATTTGTTTAATTTTTAGTAGTACCGATTTTACGTTTGTAAATATTGTTGCTAGAATGGTCAATATTTCACACCAGTAATTTAATTAAGAGTCTTGTATTCCGGAAAAGAAATCAAGAAATTGTATTTAAATTTACTGCAATATGTAGCTGCCAAGATGGCTTTGGTATGAAGAGCTAGCTTACATGTAGAGTGAGTGATTCTCCTTACTAGAAAAAAAATGTATATACACACAAGAAACATTTCATGGCCACTGACCTTTTTGTCAATGACTAAAGAGAAGATGGCGATGTGTATGTTACTCATTGTTTGAAGCCAACCGATGTTATACTTGATGTGACGTGTGTTGTGTGGTGACAGGTGCCGCTGGTGAGGCCGGAACCAGTGGAGGTGGCCGGTGGAGGGGGAGGGGTGAAGCGCAAGGCAGAAGTAGAGCTAGAGGTGGTGACAGCTGATGACCTAGGTGTCGCCACCGTTGAGGTGATTGACGGCGACGACACTAACAAGTCGTCCAGAGCCAAGGTAACCACTTGCACAATGTTCTATAGTTTATTGAATCTGTATTTGTGTTGTGTTTGAATTTAGATTAAAAGAATTAAAAACAACGAGTTTTATTATCAGCATTAGAGGCTGTCAAGACGTGTTGTGTGTTGTCATTTTGAGATGCAGCAAATAGATGCTAATGGATAGCATATGTAGGAAGCTGACCTACTGCTCGGCCCACAATGTGCTCAAGCTGGGAGAGCCTCGGTACCTCGGCAAGGTATGTGTGACTAATTCCAACTAAAAGCACAATCCTGTTGTAACAATAACAGTAATGTTTGTTGTTGTTGCAGGTGGAGGGGAGTACCACAGAGACGGAGGTCAAGACGGAATACTACTCTGACAACTCGGCCTCTCTGCCAGGAATATCAGGCACTGGTGGACCTCGCGAGTTTGAGCCTGGAATGTTCAACAAGACAACAGACCTGTCCAAGGTGAGTTGAAGTACACATCCGATTCTCATATTAAAGTAATGACAGATTTTGCTGGTGTCAATTATTAATTTCTGTTGAATCTAACTTTGTTAATCCAAGCCAAACTGAAATGATGACTAACTCGTAAACTAGGCCTATAGCATTTTTAAATTCACATTGACAATCGTAGAATAAAAAAAGGAGAAAATTTAATTTCACTAGCACACTTACTAGGGCTGTGTTGAATTCGGTGACAATTTGTTGGCTTATTCAATTGTGTTTTATTTTAATAAAAACTCTCTACGGCTAGTCCATATAGGATTTTCCAAATTTTATATATATGGTATGTTTATCCTGATATTCAAAAATAAATTATGTAAACCCAAAAGTCTATAGGGTTGCCAGTTGTATACTAGACAAGATATTTCACCTATTTATTCATTTACGTTGCCTTGCTCCTTTCACAGACAAAACAGTCCTTTTAACTGCTTACCATGCAATGGTGTTTCCCTATTTGTCATAACGCCGTCACTGTCTGGGGAACTGAAACGTCAACAACAAAGCACATCTTTGCGCTCCAGAAGAATACTGTACGGGTCATTGCTTGCATTGTAGATCAGCTAAGACTCCTTACTTTTCCTTATATTTACATTTTAAATACCATAATATTTTTAAAACAAAGCCATAGTTATTTTAAACCTTTATACTTTGTATTCTTTTTCAATGAAATGGCGACCATACAAAGTAGGTATTTTAAGCCAAGTATGAATGGAGATGAGTGTATGAGTGTAGGGTGAGTGGTGCCCTATGCTTATTTTTATTGGTCGGTGATAGTGAACCATCATAACAGTAATGTCGTTTAAAAGTAACAGTTATGCATAGTTACTTTTTGATGGTAAAAATAATTAAGTACAGTAGACTCCCTCTTATCCGGACACCTTTTAACTGGACATCGGTTTAACCGGACTACACTCGGCGGAAATGACATCTCTTTAACCGGACAATTTTTATTTATCAGCACATCAGATTAACCGGACTAAAGGGTGGAAGTAGGCGTTACTGAAACGACTGTACTCATGGGAAAGATTTGAGCCCAGTGATCACGTGTCTAAATACAATGCTCTCCTAAATTTAAGTCAAATACGCATTTAAACGGTCCGTTTTAATGAGGTTTTGGGGACGTCGGTTTAACCAGAAAACCCGTTATCTGGACTGGCCTCGGTCCCGAGGAGTCCGGATAAGAGGGAGTCTACTGTAAATTTATTTTTAAGATCAGCCATTATAGATGTCACTTGTACCTGTTGAGTAAACACTGAATTTATATTATACGTTTAATGTTTCCAGCTGAAGAAAAAGAAGAAAGACCGCAAGAAGCATAAACATAAACACAAGCACAAGCACGACCACAAGCATGGGAAGGAGAAGGACAAGAAGGATCTGGGAAAACTGAAGATCAAAGAAGAAACTCTGAGTTCAGTGAGTTCCAGTCCGAGTCCTCCTGCGAGCTCGGCCAGTCGCGAGTTCACATTCTGAGCTCGGCCAGTCGCGAGTTCACATTCTAAGCTCACAGTTGACTAGTGGTCTCATGTAAACAATGTACAGGTCCAAAGTGAATATTCGTGTGGTGTGGATGGTGTGTGTTTTGTAGTGAATTGTATTAAAGAGAAGTATTTTTATAAATTATAAATGTTCAAAAAAAATTTTGAACAATTTAAAATTATGGGAGCTTGTTACTTGATTAAAACCTTCCTTGAACTTCCCTTCTACAGCAGAACTCCGTTAATACGGCTAGTCTGACTTTGCCATATTCTATTAAAGGCAATGTTATCGTGGTAATATCGTTACTATTTTCCATGGTCGTGTGAAGATCATCACTATCTCCCGTAACCGTGGGTAAAATATTGGATATCCCCTCGATCACGGAACCATCAAAGTTTTTCGCGATCATGGAAACATTTACGTCATTCTCCCCGAATGTGGCAAAATATTGAACGTCTCCATTACCATCGTCTTCCGCGATAGTGCACGTTCAATAAATGTCTGTTAAACAATTAATTTGGTCATTTAATATACTCCTCGGATAATCTAAGGGAACTTTTCAAGGGAAACTTTTCACTGTTCCGACCATGTTCTTGATCCCTGGGTGATGGATTAGCAGTTGTACTGTATATTAAATTTGTATTTTGTCACTTGGTGGTGTTATTTTGTTGGGGTTTTTTTCTATGATTGATGACTTCATTGTCAAGTACTACTAGTCTGAATTCGTCATATATTGGATTTACATAAATAAAGTTGTAATTTGTAGAGTTGTATTTTGTATGTTAATATTCAGTCTACGGTAAGTCTTTTTTAAAACTTTATAATGTATTTTTTGTGCTTATATTGAATCAGCTTGTGGCAGTGTTTGTTGATTTGTTCAAATTTGTACTGATCCAGGGTGTAATATGGCTACAAAATGCATATAAATGATTTAATTTCAAGGGCCTTACAAGAAGTTTGTACAGTATTCGTTTATTTGATCTGTTTGTTAACCATTGTGGTAGTTTTTATTTGACTCAAACATCCCCAAACTTTTTTTAAATATCAAGGTGAGCCAAGTAGTGGAGTATTTTTCTTTTAAAAGCTCGAAATTCATAAGACATGAATACCACCTGTACCATAACGATCATGATTTAAATTTAAATAACATAATAAATATGGGGAATAAATTTACTGACTTGTACTTTAATATTTTTTTTTATTGTTTACTGATTAAACTAATACAAAATGCTGACAGTCAAAACCCTATTAAATTCAGGTTACTTTGTGCATATTTTTGGTCTTATTAGTTAAACTTGTGTAATAGGCCTACTGTGACAAATATTAGCTAACACAAAAATAATTTATCAACATATAACAAGCACGACACAACTTACACTTAAATAAAATCTTAATATTTTGTGTTGAAACCCTGAAGACAATGCAGATTGCATTAATTTCCAGGTTTTTACATATTTAATCAAGCTATAATGTCTCAAATCTTTCGGGCTCTGTATAGCTCGAGAACATCTGGCAAAAATTTGACATTGAAGAAATTAGCTAAACTTATTACTATTACTGACAAAACTATTCATCATCATGTTTTACCCTCGACAAAGCCTTTTAGTATAAGATCATTGTGCGTTGATAAAATCCCTGTAGCAGTTGGTCTAAATTCTTAAATGCATCTTTGGTAAATGCTTTCTTCGTAATAAGAACCAAACAAAAGGCTAAATCGACTAAAAGTAAATCTAATACTGCCAAAAGCAACATCTAGGACCATTATGTTTGTATTATTGTCGTATGTGTTAACTTTATTCCTTCTGTTACAAAAACAAGGCTGTGTTTTAGAAATGAATGATGATTTTCTGATGAATCAAAAATAAAAACACTACATATATAGATGTAGAAACTACCACGTGGTGAATTTTACAGTACTGTATCTTAAGCCAATGTTAGATATTGTCCAAAAAAAGATGAAGATACAAAATCCCACTTTCTCGGATTTCAAATATTCAACTAAATGTGATTTTGATAGACGTTCATAACAAACTAATAATAACACATGGTTAGTCCCATCATTATCTTTCCATGCCTCGTTCACCGTGCAGTACAATATGGGGAAATAGTCGTACTATAAATAATACTGGAAACATCGTTTTGGCTATGCAGGTTCAGAAAACGGTCCTCTTGACACTCGGGGGAATGGGTTAAAAGAAAATTTTACTTATTGTCTCAATCAATTTATTTTATAGATTGGTATTTCGACTATTGAATTGGATTTTGACTCTGCTTCAGTCAAAATTAGTATAGGCAAATAGTAGTTAGTTAAGAAGCATAGAAAAAATTAAAACCCATGGAGCGATTTGTGGGTCTTGATGTTTTTAGGACGGCAAGTGTGGCTGAAATTTCCATTTTAAATTGGGACACTCAGTACTGCAGAGTGAACAGAATGGAGTATAAAAGGAGCTTACTCGATTTGGCCATCTATTTTGTTAACAGTATTTAGGTTCCTTTGTGTATGGGCCCCCATACAGCCCAGAGTGCCAAGTTTTTAGGGGCTGGTGTCAATAACAATAGCCATAAATATTGTTTTGATTAGATTGCTAAAATACCCCCGCCGCAGCAAACCTGCAGACTAAGCGAATTTCAACTTGTCTGATTACATTGTTACTAAAATATTTCCATATATAAGACATATTTATTCTCAATTTAAATAACATTAGATTTAACGAGTGCTTAGGTTTGCTGCTACAGGGAAGGTAAAAAGCGTTTTTACCATAAGTCAATAGTATAGGATGAAATAAATAAATTTGCCAAATTTTATCAATATATACCCATAAACAAGTAAACCACAACAGTTTCATTTTCTCCATAAGAATAACATGGGAATTTTAAATTTTTTGCACTTTTTTGAATTTTCTCCGTAACCATTAGGCGTACAACAATGCTTCAATATACTAAATTATTTACTTTTTTAAGCTCTACAAAATGGATGTGAAAAAAATTCCAAAATTTTATGTTTTTAGGGTCAAAAATGGGAAAAACCCATTTTTACCCCATAAAACCCCCCATAAACCCCTGTTCCCATGGTCCGATCATGCTGGTTCGCGAACTCGTTCAAATAAATGTAGGTTTACACGTTTATACCAAATTTCATCAAAATCGGATAATTTTTGTTCGAGTTATCGTGCTGACGGACACATATATATATATATAAATATATAAATATATATATATATATATGAATTTGAACGGATGGTGTTTTTGGCCTCTGGGGACATCAAAATGAAAAAGTAAATCGGTCCCGAGTCCAGGTCTTACCATGAGACCTACGGTAATAGCTTATTCCCTATATGGGAAATTCGCTAAAAACTAAATTTTAATCAGCCTTTCAACCTTTAAATAGCGTGTAAACTCGTTTTTAAATATGTACTTTGATTCCAAAAATGTCTGGAGAGAGGTGCCAAAGTTGTTTACAGCTTAGAGCGCTATTCACACCTAATTCGGGTCTAAGAATAAAGACCATAAACGGTCAACCCTCAGCATCAACCACACACAAATTTGACCGGACAAATTTGAAATTTGATTTGGTTGCTTAATCTTAAAATAAATAAGAACAATAACAAAACTCAACCATGATTACAATCGTTTCACTAAACAAGGTAAACCATGTCACTACCAGGGCAGCTGTTTTCCGTCGTACTGATAGAAGCCTCCGTTGTGTTGAGGCCCGAGCTCCTTGAGCAGCTGTACCAGTGTTGGGATGGCAGTGTCCAGTGCGAGGGGTGCCTGTGGACCGCCCATGTCTGTCTTGACCCACCCGGGGTGGATGCTGACCGCTAGAATGTTGTCAGGCTTCAAGTCAAAACTTAAAGAACGAGTCACTGCGTTGAGAGCAGCCTGGAAACAAATGCAACCATTGTCACAATATTACAGGGTAAAGATTGCAGTGCTTGTGCATTTCTTTGAAACTTGTTAATATATTGTTATCAGAGGATTCGCATGACAAATGTCTGTTTGGTTGTATTTTCCAATTTATCTAGTGCTTAATGATTGGTACTAAACAGTAAACAACACTGCAGTACATGAAGCCTCTCCATGAATAGTTAAGAAAGGGATAAGGCTTGCTCGCTGATTCAAACAGGTTTTAAAACCGTGATTCGTAACATTCTAACATTGAGGGAAAAAAAACAACGTGATAGCTACTTTAAAAATTTAGTTCTTCAAATCAACACACTTTTCCACTTGGTATTGTAAGAAGCTAATTTGAATGACATCTAAGTAAGTGAAATCATAGATAAAACATACTCCCTTAGTAGATTTCTCATCCTTATGGAACAGCTGAAGACAATTTTATTGTTAGTTCTGTACGGTTTTCTGTAGAGGTCGTGTTTTGTTTACAATTTGTTTCCCGTTATTACAGCCACTTAAAACCTCGTTTAGCCAAATAATACGATCTAATCATAAACAATAACTTGTCCCCTAGTTATATAACCAAACAGTAAAGCACAAATCAAGAAATTAACCCTAAAATAATAGAAACAAAGTTTCGTCGACACTAGCGCCCATGTGTCACGTACATGAACTAGACATGAAAAACGTGCTTCAAAATTTACAATGGGATGAGAAGTCTACTTGTGTTGGTTAGTCTATGGTGAAATTATGTGTTTACCATGTTCTTAAATTATAATTCAAAAAAATAATCAGTAGATTTACCCTTGCGTCCAGATTTTATATTTGCCCTGTAAACTTACTAGTTTCATTTCAATGTATTATGAATCATGTTTTTGGTTAGCAATCATTTCAATGTTGATAAAAACGGGTAACAATGGATCTTGCTATTAATTTTTGCACCATGATAAAAATTGTTGTTGATATTATGTTCCTTATAGGCCTACTTAAAATTTGGTGTTTCTGAGTTCGATAAGGCTTCAAACATGACCTCGAGCTCACAACAGAAAATGCCACTTTCAGTACTAGCATTGACCATACGTAGTAGCAATGATATATTACAGCTTAGAGCGCTATTCACACTTAATTGATATATTTAGATGAGTCGGCCTACTCAGGTGTGCTAAGATTTCAAGCCCAAGGTGATGATTTCAGTTTACCCTTGTACTGTACGGCTCACCCCTTGCTTTACTGGATGGCATGTGGACAAACGGAAGGATAAAAGAGACGGCCAGCCTCATTAAAAAACCAAAAGCTATCTCCCCGGGATTAATCTTAATCCAATCCAATTGTGTAATGATTCTGTTATTGTCCATAAACTTTGACTCAAAGTTGATTAAATCGATTGGTCCCAACAAGCTGTGAGTACCTTGCTGGTTCTGTAGGGGTAGAAGCCGCCCTGGTTGTTCTCAGCTATGGAGCCCAGTATGGAGCTGATGTTGACGACAGCAGCACGTGCTGAGCCTAGTGGCTGAGAGCTGTTAGCAGCTGACGCCTGCTTCAGCAATGGTATCAGAGCCTACAGGACAACACTACCATCAGCAATGCATCATTATTTAATGCCGTCAAGTAGGGATGGACGAGATTGGATTTTTAGTTTGAGACAGGATATTTTATTTCTCATAAAATTTTGAGACGGGATTTCCCTTCTCATACAAAACGGGAAATGCACATTCCACATTTTAACCTGATTTTATAACATTTTTAAATACCTACTGATTTATGACGGAATGGTTAAATACAAAAATAATAATAATAGAAAAAAATATTTTAAATCTTTTATTTACAAACATTAATAAAAAACATCAGTAAAAAAAAAAGACCTAAGTTAATAAAAATAACTCTTCGGCATTGGAAACATGGAGATATTAGTAAGTATAGGGTGATTACCGAGAAACGTATGTTTTTCAAATAACGAGTATTCAGGCAATTCAGATAAAAAGTTATATTTACTAGTGGAAAAACACTGTACACAATATGCAATTTTAGAATAAAATTACTTACAATTTAGTTTTTAAAAATTACATCTCTAAGATGGTAACCTTCTGCTTGGTATGGAATTCCTTCATCGAACATTCCCTACAAGAGTTATCACACGTTTTGGTGATGTCACTTGGCCTTCTCGCTCACCGGATCTTGCAGTTCCCGATATCTTTCAATGTTTTTTTTTATCTAGAATTTGCATAAACAAACCACAAACATTACAGGAACTTAAAGAAGCTATTCGCCAAGAAATCAACACCACTCATAGAGACATGTTAGTAGCAAGTTTTAAGGAACACCTTCAACACTGTATCAAAGCAGAAGGCGACCTCCTTAGATATGTAATTTTTAAACACTAAAATGTAAGTAATTTTATTCAGAAATTGCATATTGTGTACACTGTTTTTCCACTCATAAATATATTTTTTGCTTTGAATTGCCTGAATACTAGTTATTTGAAAAACATGCGTTTCTCGGTAATCACCCTATATATAGTTCAACTTTGAAAAATACGAAATTTACAAGTCTAATACAACAGTCTTACAGTATAAAGTAACAATTTTTCAGTCTTGAGTCTTGTGTTATTTTTAGAATGATTTTAAAGTAACTCATTTTGGCTATGCTTACAGTAGTAAAACATGTCTCACACTGCTTGAAACACTAACAAAACTTCTCTCATATGCTATGTCAAAAAAAAATTATAAAACAAATAAAGCAATATTTCCATCCATGTAAAGAATTAATAATTAAATAAAAACGCCTTCATAAAGGAAATGCAACATCAACATGCTCCTGTATTGCGGGTATTGCATTGACTTTCTGCAGGCGTTTCTTTTAATCTCCTCTGAAAAATCTCGACCAAAATAGAATCTCGTCTCATAGGACGAGATTTAAAATTTCCCAAAATGTCTCGTAGGACGAGATTTAAAATTTCAAGACCCGTCAAGCCACCTGGACTCAGGACCGTTGAACTTTTTTGTAATGATGTTACCAGAGACCAAAAAATATCATCCGTTAACATTCATAATGTATATCATGTGTGTCGGTTAGCACAATAACTAGAGTAAAAAATTATCCGAATTTTGATATAATTTGGTGTAAAACAACATAAATTGAACGAGTTCGCAAACCAGCACTATCATACTTTGGGAACAGGGTTTTATGTGGTGAAAATTTGCTTTTTCCCATTACTGACCCTCAAAACATAGCATTTTGCAGTTTCTAACCCATTTCGTAGAGCTTTAAAAACATAAAATATATTTTAGCGCTGTTTTACGTGCATACGCAGAAAATACAAGAAATACAGTAATTTTTTAAAGTTTATTTAACTAAGAAAATGGTTTTGACTCGCATGTTAAAACAAAAAATAAATTAAATGAATATTACCTAAAATTTTACTCTGTGTGTTGACTATTACAAGTCTTTCTAATCCACCAATATTACTACAAAATGCCCATCTATCTTTGTTCATTGTATTTTTTAATACTACATAAACGTTGATAAAAGAATATAGTTGTTATTTCACGATACTTTAGTATCAACTGCAATTATTAAAATTCGCTAATGACACTGATATAATTACTTTTGCACACTTTCAAGATAAGAATTGCTAATTGGCACTAGTAGTAGAAAATTAAGTAGTGAAGATGTGTTCTAGGAAGTTGTGTGTTTAGAAAGATGATTGATAAATAGATAAATATTGGAGGAGAGATGAGGGTAGCATGTATTTGTTACTCGATAAAAATCATCTCTCTGCTTCAAATTTCACTCTTGTACAAGTCAGGTAAGATTGCAGACTTTGTACAACTTTGGTGCTAAAATGTTAAGATATTTTTAATCATATGTTTAGCTGCTTAACTGTAGTCTAAGGAGGCCCCAGACATTCGCCAATCGCCAAGCATGAAATATTTCATATTCGGCGATCTAATTATCTTGCTATTCGCCGATTAACGAGTAGAGACATCTACACACATGTGTTGTTTTCTGAGCAACTGTTTGTTTCTGGAATAGCAAATGTTCATTCACTTTGATGTGTGCAAAAATACCGACAATAAAAGGGAAAACATGACCACGAATATTTGCTGCTTGCTGAATAGATACACCTTCCCACGCTACTTGCGATTCGGAGAGTCGTTGCTTGGTGCTTGATGACTGGAGCATGTCTGGAGTTGCCTTTAACAGCAGGCCAATACTCTATTTTTTACAGCGAGATTGAGATTTTCATCCATGTAGGGTTAATGTTTTTTCTACGCATTGTGCCGTATTTTATACATTACATTCTAAATTGTCTGCAACTGTGCAAACTTCGTTCAACATAACAAATACCGCAAATATTTCACAGTGAGTTGTTTAATGAAATGAAAATCCTTCTTTACTGAGGCGAACTTAGAACCTCACGGTCCTTTTTTACAGTTAACCTCTACTGTTAACCTTGATGGAAACAATTATATATTAATCAATTATCAATCATTGAGGATGCCCACCTACGTGCAAATTTTAACCCAAATATGAATGAAGGATGAGTGTAGAATGGTGTGTGATGATCTTTGTCGCTTTGCTACTGACTAAGATCAGCTGTTACATTACAAACCTTGGTCAACATTAGTGGTGCTACGGTGTTAACTGTGAGGTTCTCAATCATCTGTTCTGCTTTTACGAGGTTCACACGGGTGAATTTTGTGGAAATTCCAGCATTGTTGATCAATACATTCAAGCCAGCATCCCCGACTATGGACGAGACTTCTTTCGCGATTCTGTCATGGCTGTTGAAGTCTTTGAGATCTGTAAAATATATTGATATAGATTATGTCATAAAATAGACAATTTCAAATATTTTCATTATTTTGTGTTTTTGTAGTAATAATAGTGGTTTAAAATCTTTTTAAGTATTTTATAAATTAAACTTCAAAATCAAAGTACATTTATGATGAGAAAAGGAAAGGAAGTTTTGAAAATATTGTGTATGTTTATTAGTAAAAATCTTCCTTACCTAATTGTAGAACATGAACTTTGCCAGGCGTTGTTTTGACAGCCTCTTGAAGGTTCTGAAATAAAATACTGTAAGTTAATTTGAAAAACTTACAAAATGTTTAAAAAAAAGTCATTAAACACAATGATTGTAGATTTTAAACAACGAGAACTTCCAAAAATTATAGATACTGTGATTTTCAGCATTTTGTTTTTGTCGTAAAAGGTGCTTCAAGTCCAAGAACTTTAAGAAACCATGTGATTAATTCAAATCGTTATCACTTATGGAATGAAGCAAAGCCATCAAGAAAACATCAACAAAACCACGATAAGGATGGAATCAAAAATGTTCCTAACAATAACTTGAAACATACTGAGAGAAGCTCGCAGACGCATAGAAAAGGTGGGTATAATCAAAATTGGTACTGGTACTTGGACATCATACATTATGTGGTAGGTAACTGGTTGAATGTGGTTTTGTCCCTTTGGTATTTTCATCCTTTTGTGCAAAATGGTATAACTTATGATTATGTATGAAGCACCTGCACCTTCAAGATTCGGTTGATAGAAAATAATAGAATATTTAAGACTCAAGGCCATAGCCAGGGGGGGGGTTAGGGGGTCAACCCCCCCCCCCCCGAAATCTCAAAATTTAGTTGTAAAAATTAAGCCTACTGTAAGTTTTGAAATTTATGAATACAATCGTCATAGTTAAGTTTTTAAAATATCTACTGGTTCATGACAAATGAGAGGTGAAATGCGAGGTTTTTGGACACAGTTCTAGACGTTAAACATGGATTTAGAAAGTCGCCAAGACAAGAACTCCTTTTAGGAGGATATGGCCATAATCTACATAATGTTTTAAAATTCTTGAATGCAATCGTCATAGTTGAATTTTTTAAATGTCTACTAGCTCATGACAAACAACAGGTGAAATGGGTGTTTTGGAGAATTGGACAAAGTTTTAGGCGTTAAAAACTTCTTTAAAAAGTCCCCAAAAGGCTTTAAAGATGTAAAATTTTCTGAGGGAGAACCCACAGACCCCCCTTCTTTCTTGGGAGTGCTCCACCCCTCCCCCCAAACCCCTCCCCCCTCCTTGATACAACGTGACCGCGATAACTTGAGTACTTTTAGTCTGATTTTGATGAAATTTGGTTTAAATGTGTAAGGCGGGATAAGCTTGAATGAGTTCACAAACCAGCATGATCGGACCATGGAAACAGGGTTTTACGGGGGGTTTTATAGGGAAAAATGGTTTTTCTCATTTTTGACCCTCAAAACACAAAATTTTCCAATTTCCTTCTAGACTTTTTTAAAGAGCTTAAAAAATAAATAATTTAGTATATCAAAGTGTTTTTGTACGGTTATTGGTGTAGGATTATTGTTATCAGCTGAGTTATAAAGTTATGAATCATCTGCTATTTGGTTTGTTTACATGATTATTGTTTTTGTAAATAAATAGTTTTTGATTGAGTTTACTTAAATGAGTTTTATAAATTAATTATTCTATATTGGCGACGAGAAAATGCCGAGGAAAACAGACCAGTCTCAGTATAAGAGTGTAATTGATTTTAGTAAGATGTCTTGCATACAAGATAGAATGAGCAGATTTTCATTTAAAGAATATAATAGTGAACAATTGTGGGAAGACTACATAGCTCGTTTTGAGTTGACCTGCAGAGTTAAGGGACTGGGTGGTGCTGACTCAGAAGAACAAGCGGCTCGGCGAGATCTTCTGTTGGCAAATATCGGAGAGGAGCACCTCAGGGCACTGTCGGACCAGATGTATCCAAGGGCCTGGGAGGAGTGCACCTACGACGAAGTCAAAGAGGAAGCCAACCGGTTGTTCAAGCCTACAAGGACCCTTTTTGCAACAAGGTTTGAGTTTGAAAGAGCTATAAGAAAAGATGGTGAGACATTTATTTTGTTTTATAACAGATTGAAGTCTTTAGCTAGAAGTTGTAAATATGGAGATAGCTTAGATGAACGAGTACGAGATAGGTTTGCAGTAGGAAGCAACTGTCCAGAATTTGAAGTCGAAGTCAGACAAAGATGGCCCGAGGGAGTTGATAACCGAGGTGAGCGTGTTAAGTCAACAGTAGTACTAGAGTTAGCTCAATCCATGGAACGTGCGAGAGAAGAAGTTTCCAAACATGCGTGTAAAAATGAGATTTTCAAAGTAAGTGACAGTAAGGAAAAGAGGAAACCAGAGGTAGGTACAGAAATCTACGGGCTTCAATAGGTGTTATAGATGTGGGTTTACACATGACCCTAGTGAAGATAGATGTCCTGCTATTTCTGCTGTGTGCAAGAAATGTTCAAAGAAAGGCCACTTCGCAAGAATGTGCAAAAGTAAAAATAATTTTGTCAAGAGAACAGATGGTAATTTGAGAAAAGTAGATGATTCTTGTAATCGAACTTATGATGATGAGTGTAGTTCTGATATTGATGTTAGTGGTACACAAATTAGGTCAGTCAAGAGTAAGGTTCCCAGAGCTACAATAGATGTAGAATTGAACGGGTATAATGTTAGAATGGAGTTTGATTCCGGGGCTCGGGTAAGTGCTATAAGTTTGTCTCTTTGGGATAGGATAAATTCAAGTGGCGAATCTCTCAAAAAGACGTCTGATGTCATCACTGGCTATGGGAAAAATAAGCTAGAAGTCATGGGTAAGGCTTTTGTGGACGTTACTTTACGTAATCGCACTAAGCGATTGCCGGTCATTGTATTACTAGAAGATGATGTTCCATTATTTGGGTTGCCGTGGAGTGTAGCTTTCAATCTTAATTTACCTAGAGAAGTAATGGTTAGGCGTATTGACAATGGAAAGACAAGTAGTAAAGAGGCAGGTAAGAACGAAGAAAGTTATAGAAAAGAGTTACAAAAAGAAGTAGAGGCATTAACTCAGGAGTTTTCCGAACTCTTTCGTGATGAGCTAGGAACGATATCTGACTCTAATGAGGTCATCCATCTAAAAAGTGGAACAAACCCTGTATCTTACGGGGCACGACGAGTTCCATTCCCCTTAAGGGAGGCAGTGGAGCGAGAATTACAGAGATTAGTACAGGAAGGAGTTTTGGAAGCAGTGGACCCTTCCGAAACACCGATAGAATGGAGTACCCCAACAGTCAACGTAGACAAGGGTGGAGGCAGAGTAAGAATCTGTGGCGATTTTCGTACAACCTTGAATCCAAACATCGTCCCGGAAAGACACCTCTTGCCAACCTTTGATGACTTGACTTCCAAATTAACTGATGGAAAGATATTTTCAGTCATAGATCTTCGAGACGCGTACTTGCAAATGAAAGTACACCCCGAGTCCCAAAAGTATCTGACAATAGCAACTCATGTAGGTTACTTTCGCTACAAAAGGTTGCCCTTTGGACTTTCCTCGAGTCCGGCAAAATTTCAAAGGTATATGGAAAGTTTACTAAAAGGACTTAATGTCGGAGTTCTACTTGATGACATAATCATTTCTAGTAAGGATAAGACTACCCATATAACCACTCTTAGAGAAGTTTTGAGGCGGCTAGAATCAAGTGGAATAAGAGCAAAACTATCAAAATGTAAGTTCTTTCAGAAATCTGTAAAGTATTTAGGTCATACAATAGATGGGAATGGTATCCATCCCTCCGAAGACAAAGTTGAAACCATAAGACACGCACCAAGGCCAAGAAACGTGAAAGAATTACGAGCTTTTCTAGGAGCACTAAACTTTTACGAAAGGTACATACCTAATCTTCATGCGATCGCTTCGAACTTGCATAAGCTGACTGGTACGAAGACTAAATGGAAATGGACTGACACCGAACAAACTACGTTCGACAAGTTGAAGAATATCCTGTCATTAGAGAAGACATTAGTTCCATACGACATATCAAAGCCGATCATTATTGAATGTGATGCTTGTGAACAAGGGGTTGGTGCAGTACTGTTACATTTGATGCCGGATGGAACGGAAAGGCCAGTCATGTACGCCTCGAGGACACTAACGGAAGCAGAAAAAAGGTATGCTACAGTTGACAAGGAAGCGATGGCGTTAGTTTTTGCAGTGAAGAAGTTTAGACAATACCTCAGTGGGAGACATTTCAAGGTGAGGACGGACCACAAGCCACTTGAAAGAATATTCGGAATGCATCGAGATCTTACCAAAGTAGTAAACAACCGATTGGTTCGTTGGGCTTTGTATTTAATGGAGTATGATTTTGAGATCCAGTACATCAAAGGACAGGATAATTGTTTGGCTGATTTTTTGTCTAGATTTTCACTCAAGACACAAGAAGTATTGGATCCAGATGAGAGAGAGATTCGAGCATTGGTTCAGGAGAAAATCGACGTCGTTTATCCAAATCAGGAACTTGTACTGGAGTATAAGAAAGACCCAAATATGAAGAAACTTATAGATTACCTGGAACATGGTTGGCCAAAAGATACAGGAAACTTACCACCATCCATGAAACCATATTGGAATAAGAGAGAAGAGCTGACATTAGAAAACGGTATAATCATGCGATTAGGAAGAATAGTGGTGCCACAGATTTTGAGAGAAAATGTATTAAAAGAACTCCACAAAGGACATCCTGGAATAGAGGCCATGAGATCCCTATCAAGGTATTATGTATGGTGGCCTAATCTGAATAAGGATGTCGAGGTTTATGTCCGTAGATGCCACCCTTGCCAGAGTAACCGATCATTTGACACAGAAGTACCTCTATATCCTTGGAATGTGCCAAGTGATCCTTGGGAGCGAATTCATCTCGACTTCGCAGGACCATTCGACAACCGATTCTGGTTAGTAGGAATCGATGCTTACTCAAAATGGGTTGAGATCGAAGTTATGGACCGTACGACAACTGCTGCTCTTGTAAATAGATTAAGGACTTGGTTTTCGAGGTACGGCGTTCCTAAAAAAATTGTATCCGATAATGGCACCCCCTTCACGTCCCATGAGTTTAAGACTTTTTGTAAGAACAATAACATATGTCATGTCACATCGGCACCGTATCATCCAAAAACCAATGGTTTGGTAGAGAGGATTATCAGAACCTTCAAGAGTAGATACAGTGCTTGCAAACAAGAAGGTCTCAGTTCATCACTTGCACTTTTACAAGTGTTGCTTGCGTATCGAAACACCCCACAAAAGACCACAGGACAACCACCATCAGTCCTTTTCTATGGTAGAAGAATACCAACAGCTTTGGATAGGTGGAGGTGTAATAGCAGAGAGAAAATAGAGAATCAAGTGTGGCGACAGAAGTACTACCACGACTTAAAATCTAAACAAAAGGAGTTTTCTGCCAAACAAGAAGTGTGGGTTCAAAATGAAACGAAGAAGGGCTGGAGACCAGGAACTGTACAAGAAAGGACGGGAGAGCTATCATACAACGTTTTAGTTGGGGGTGAAATAAAGAGAAAACACGCTGACCAGCTGAGAGCAAGAGAAGGTGCAACTGATCCACCTCAATGGAAAATGCAAACGGAACCTGAAGATGAACACAGTTTCGGAAATTCAGCCTAAATTGGGTGGGGAGAAATGTAGGATTATTGTTATCAGCTGAGTTATAAAGTTATGAATCATCTGCTATTTGGTTTGTTTACATGATTATTGTTTTTGTAAATAAATAGTTTTTGATTGAGTTTACTTAAATGAGTTTTATAAATTAATTATTCTATAATTGGTAACGGAGAAAATTAAAAAAAAATTTAAATTTAACATTCTCATGTTAGACTATTCTTATGAAAAATTTTGTAAAATGTTGTTGTTTGCTTGTTTATTGATATATTTTTATCAAACTTGGCAAATTTATTTATTTTGTTCTAAGCTATTAATATTTTACTAAAAATACACTTTATTAGTTTCCTTGTAGCAGCAAACCTAAGTACTCATGAGACCTAATGTTATTTATATTTAAATACAGTAGATTTAAATGAAAATCAATTCAGACAAATGGAAATTTGCTTAGTCGGCAGGTTATATGCTGCGCCGAGGGTATTTCTTTAATAACTAAATACACCTATGTTATTTTTAAAAAGTTAGTAAAGACCCTAAACACAATAAAACAAACTAATATAATAAGAATGTTTAATATCCTTTAAACATATTACAGCGTAGGGTATTCATTTTTGAGAATAGTGTCATGATATTGCAGTAATTAAATATATAAAACAAAGAAATAACGATATTTTAATTAAATAAGTTGGCCTACAACAGTTCTACTATATTTAAAAAACCTTATCATATAAGTATCACTTTTTGACACACTTCACATCTTGTCCATATTATTTTTAATTAAGTAGAAATAATGTCAATACTTTATAATGTTTACTTTCCAGGCTAATTATTGTGTCATTTTTTAATATTAAATTTAATTTTACTAAGTACCTATTAATTAAAAAATTTTCTAAAAGTTCTTTGAAACATGGATAGTGAAGAGAAAAGTGAAACCATGAACTGAAATTGAAAAATGTCCATCACTGGTTAATTTAATTTATAACTTTAGGCCTTATATTTGGTACATAATATATTACTGAAAATTGTAAAAGTTTTAAAAAGGTTCACTGACATTTTTACAATTAATTATTGAACATTTTCACTAAACATGTAGCTGTAAAAAATCAAAATCAATCATGTCATCATGACTCATGATGACTATGCAAGTTTTTTTACACGCTGTGTGTATGAGTGTGATACGTGTTCGAGATTGTTCCATTCGAAGGGGGAAATCTTTTCGATTCCAAGAAATATGGCAATTCAATGTCAATGACTAATTAATATATGTGTGGGACTCCGCCAGCTGTAGCGTCAGCGTTCAGCATTGAGGTTGGTCGTGACGCAAGTCTGTCGTCACACTCACGGTTCACACTGCAGCGAGCAAGACATCGTTGTAGTTTCTTTCACATCACCACAGTAGTAGACCCTTCAATTCTACAGTGCTTTAATTTTGTTGATTATAATTTATTTGAAACGGACAACTTTGTAACAGCTGTTTATCTTTAAAGTCAATCCCGTGATTTTTATCTACAGGCAGTGGGAGATTTTCTAGTCGAGGTTAAGTTTCTATAGATTAGCAGAATTTGTCGCTCCTTGCACCGGTGTTTATTTGCACAAGTGAACAGCTGTATAACTTGAACATGGCTCCTACCGGCTCAAGTAAGTAGTTATTGTTTTATGACATGTCTCAAAGATATACAACAACTCATTAATGTTATAAATAAATTTAAAACTTCTTACCGTTGCTTGATTTGGGTCCCGACATGTTGCAATAATGTGTTTCACGGAATTATCACTGAGCAGGTTCTTTACAAGCCCGAGACCTATACCACGATTGCACCCTGTTATTAAAACTGACTTCATCCTTATGGAACTTGATGTACCTATTTCAACTTTAATCGCCTGAGATAGGTGGCAAAGGATAATCTAGTGGAAAGTGGAACCTGTTTACTATGGCTTCTTGTTTACGTAACCTCTTGTTTCGTAGTGATCGTGATCAAGTCTGGGATGAACGGGGTCAAAGTAAAATCTGTTTTTAAAAGTGACAATCATCTGTTGTTAAATTAAAGTTGTTGTCAATGGATTGAGTTTAAAAGGCTTATTATGTACTTAAAATCTATGTACTAACCATTGTTTATTTTAATTTAAATAACCCAAAATGGCTTTTAAAGTGTTGAGACAAACCCTCAATCTAACCTTAAAATATCCTAGTTTTCAGTTTCAGCAACACCGATACATTTCGATTTCATCATTTAGGTTTAGTGATTCAAAAAGTAAGTTTCATGGAATTCCTTATTCTTTGATTCCAAGATGTTTAAGTTTATTTGTCATCATAAAATATTACTCATCCAACCAGCTGTTTCTTAACCTCCTCTAGTTAACATGTTATGATGTTATGTTGTGTATCCATAACAAATCAACTTTGATCTTGTGTAACTTGTTTACCATTGATTTGTTATACATTTTGTTTGATTTTATGGGTGGATGTGTTAGCTATTTGCAGTGTCAATTTGGGCTAGGTAAACTAATTAGTCTAAATTCAGAATCGTCAACAACTTAATAACTATAGCTTATGCAAATGTCTAGGTTTAATACACACGTACAAATCTGCATTAAAAACCTTTTCCAAAACTCTTAAGTTAGCCTATTACCTTTGACCATCAATACTAGTCAATGCTATAACTAAGACCTTGTAAAATAGGCTAACCAAACCAAAATTACTTATCAAACAACACAAACTTACTTTAGATCTAATAGATATTGTGGTTTAGCCCATCTTTTGCATTAACACTGTAACTTTAACGTAAGTTTACTTAATTTGCTGTAAAAATGATATCAAAAATGAGTTTAAAACCTTTTGTGCATTGATGAGACAGACCAATGCTAACTTATGTTCATATTTTTAATCCATCCAGTAGCATTTAAGTCAGGTTAAGTGAATAATATAGTAAGTAAACTTCATAACATACCTCTCATTGGACAACAACTACAGTAACCTAAGTTAAACTTAACTGTTAACTTTACTTTAAAATTGACAAAATGTAAGTAGGGCCTATTATGAATGTAGTGCCTGACTACTTCACTTTATCTTTGACAAAATACACATATTTTTACTCTTGTCTAGCATTTGTGAAGCCACAACTTCATTTAAGTAGGCCCTAACTTTAACTTGTAATTTAAGTTATGTATTGAGTAAATTGTCCACTTTTATCATATAATAGTGCTGAGTTATTCTTCATGAAAGAGCAATTATGTTAGTGTAGGATTAAGTTAACTTAGAGCTTTAATTTTAAAGCCGTTAAGTTTTTACATGATTTTAACTCTTTTTCTAGTAGCTTAATGCCCAACCAAGTGATTTATTCAATATTTATCTTGGACCTAATTTGCTGGAAAAAATCTTAAAACTGAGGAATGCAAGATTATTACGGTCATTTTCTTCCACACTAAATTCACAATGAAAGCTTACTAAGTTTGTGGCTTTTAACTTGCAGGTTCAAAGTACGACTACGATCTGGTGGTGGTGGGGGGTGGCTCCGGGGGTCTAGCCTGTGCCAAGGAAGCTGTCAGCTATGGCAAGAAGGTGGCAGTGCTAGACTTTGTCACCCCTTCGCCTCAGGGCACGACCTGGGGTCTGGGCGGCACCTGCGTCAACGTGGGCTGCATACCCAAGAAACTGATGCATCAGGCAGCGCTGCTCGGCGAGAGTGTTAGGGTGAGTCACTGTCAGATGATTTTTATCCTTGTGTACAAAATCCAACCCCCATTGCATCACAAAAAAAGTAAGATACAGTCCACTCTTGGTAATTCAAACACTTGATAATTCAAAACTTTCGATAATTCAAAATGAAGACTCAGTCCCTAGAGAATCTCTCAATATTTCAAATTTTTACCATGCATTTTGATACACTCGGTATTTCAAAGTCCAAATAGAGGGCAGGTCAATTTGTAACATGCAGTAATTCGAAGTTTCGTCGGTAAAAACACTCTTTAATTCGAAGTAACTCAGTAATTCGAAGTTTCGTCGGTTAACACTCTATAATTCGAAGTCATGCTGTAATTTGAAGTTTCGTCGAAAAAACACTCTATAAATCAAAGTCACACAGTAATTCGAAGTTTAGTCGGCAAAACACTCTATAATTCGAAGTGATCTCAAACTATACAGTACAGTACATCCTGTTCCCATGGTAGGCTAGTGTTGGACGTTTTGATGTTTGTTTAGTTAGAGCAGTAGTCAGAGTTAGTTCGCTGACTTGTTTTTCTAAGTTGGCAATCCGATCTCTTGATTGCGCGACATCTCCTTGAGCACAAACGTAGTTGTCGACAGCTGATAGTTCAGCTATTGGCAAAATATATAGCGCTAAATAACAGATTTCTTTGCAACTACAGTAACTGAAAAATAAGCCGTTGATTGTTTAAAAGTGTACTAAAATACGGTATGATGTTTTATTGGTTGTAATGTGCTGTACCTTTGTATGTATTAAACAAATGAACTCTCTGTAATTCGAATGGTTTATTTTTCTCCCGATAAATCGAACTCTTGATAATTCAAAACTCTTGATAATTCAAATTTATATGCTTGGCCCACCAATTTCGAATTATCAAGAGTCTACTGTATAATGTAACCAATGTATTCATAAATTTTAAAAACATACCCCAATTATATCATTTATGAATAACAATAACAGTGTCTAGGATACAGCCAACCTGGGAAACAGGAAGACTGGGATGGACTTATTATATGAATATTACGTCGTAAATTTTAGATTTTTTAACAATAAAAAACACCAGGCCTATATCGTGGAAAACGATCACTATGTTGCCGTGATCTCAGAGTCTTTGTGATCTTAAACAAATTCACAAAATGTTTTCTAGATCTATTGCAACTGTGGTAAATCATCACGGACGTTGCTGGGATGGAAAGAGGTGATCACTGATGATGTGACCGCAATCGCATAAAACATCAACAGATATTTATTATTGACAGAGTTACTTATCACAGATGTGTCGATGAATGTGAGAAATCATTACGGAAGTTACTCAATCATGGGAAATCATCAGTGATGTGCAGCAATTACTTGAAATGCTCACAACATTAGTCAAATAATAGTAATTTCATGATTTCAAAATTTTCTTTAATATTACTTGGCAGGTTTTTTTTCTACTTGGCAGGAAATAATAACATGTTTTCTGTTTTGTTTTAATGAGTTTTAATAAATACAAGTACAGTAAATGAACTGTAAATGAATATATAACAGACTAGTATTTAAATACTTACAGCTGAGTATTAACATTGAGTAAACGATCTTTTAAAAATAAAAGCCAAAAATTCAACAATTAAAACTAAATGTTCTGAAAAAATTAATTTTTTTTGCTTGCGCCTAAAAACCTTTTTAGCTACCTTTTTAGCTGGTAGCCTGTGACACTAGTTGTCGAGTTAGTGATGTTTTACTCAAACTCAAATAGCTTTATTTTTGACAGTCGTTACAAACTGCATAATAGCGTCAACAAATTTCTCTTAAAATAAAATATTTACTGTAGTATATTTTAGTTAGGATAGCCTAGTTAAATTTTATATACAGTCTAACCCGTTGATTTCTATCTTAGTTATTATACAGTGGGCTATATTACAATATAATGTTCATAATAACAATTACAGTATTACAGGCTATAGCGCATTTAGCCAAAATGCAATTCATGTAATAATGTTTTATTCTTTTTATCTAAATTGTTAAATAGTGTAGGACTGAATACAAGTTTTTGTCAGTTTCAATTAATTATAGTAATTATTGTTTTTACTTATCAGAGATGTGTCGATGAATGTGAGAAATAATTTTTTCCTAAACCTTATCACCGAATTCCTCTGTTATCTTCAAATTTTAATTTTAAATTTTATTTGATAACTTTCTAACCAGTTGGCCTAATTTTTAACCAGTACCAATCATATAGATCAAAGTATAAAAATATCCGTGGATTAGATATTTCTTTACATTTGTTCCTTTGCATTTGTTATTTTTAGACTGTAACAATAAAAAAGTTTGCTTATTAAAGTAAAATGAATTTTGTGTCAACAAAGGTAAACTTTCCAAAGGCTATGACAAATTAAAATTCCAAGGTGGAGACAGATAATGGGTGTAATCTAGAAGAGCCTAGTAGTAAGGTAATTGAAGGTCAAATGATTACATAACTATTGTAGTTGGCTCACCAACCTGTTTGTGTATTGACTGAGGTAGTCGTACCTATGATCCATTGCTTAAAATTTAACACTAGGACATGCCATTGTGACCTTGACATGACCATCAATCTTTATGTTGCAAGATCTTCTGTTGAAACTTTTGAAAAATGTACTTACTAGCCTACCGGTACTTAATTTTGAATATTTGTGACGCTGATAACATTTTAAACATAAATTATGAAACATCAAGTAAAATGTGTAGTACTAACCAGTAAGTTATGAAAAAAACTAGCCTAAATTATCAGTGTAATGATTGGCAGGAAAAGTTATAGATTTTAACTTAATTTTGTAAAATTGTTACTATAGCCTACTGAATTACTGTAGTGAATAATTTTACGGAAAGTCCAATTTTACGGAACATGTACGATGCTGATCAAGAAGTTAATTATTGAATAATTTTGTAAATCAGCCAGTAGGCCTAACAATATCCATTTTGCATGGATACTCATATTGAGTAGGTACCTTAATAAATTGATTGGAAAACAACTGCTTTGTAATAAAACTCCATGTTGAATAATCGGTTGAGGACCATTAATCTTTTACGGAGCGAAAAATAATGTTACCATCAACATTTTTTATCTGGTTTCGTAATCAATCATGCCATAAATTGTCTATTATCTCTTAAATATTATGTCTGAAAGTATTGTTTTGGATCATTTACGTTAAACAATCATGTGGCTGGTTAATGTGAATTCCTGAAGTTAGCTTATTTAAAACTTTGTTGTATTCACTGTTACTTGTACCTACATTCAATAAACTGGGA